CCGGCTATTCTAAAGTTCGTATCATTCTGCACAAATGTGAGATTATATTCTTAAAGTACAGATAACCATTTAGCATACATATTATCTTTAGTTTCCTCACAATGTTTGATACCATGTTTGAAAGCTTTTCTTATTAACTTATTCTTATTATTGGCGATTAAATTCATAGTTCTTAAATTCATTCTTTCAGAGAATTCCTCAATTGATGGTAATCCTAATCCACCTTCTTCTAATGGCAGGTGAAAGAAACTTGTTGGAGTTGCTCTGTCCATTAATAATTTACGTCTGATTGCACCTCTAATTGCACGATCTATTTCCTGAGCTTTCTTTAAAGGGATTATATTGATTTTTGAGAGGTGAGTGAATAGGCTGATTGCTTTAGCATGCATAATTATTTTAAGGTTTGTTGGCTGTAATTTGAATAATGGTAAAAATCTTAATGATTTTGTGAATTTGTCTATCTTGGATTGGATGTCTTGTGTTACCAAAGTATCATCCCAAGGGTAATGGCCAAGTACTCTAAGGTTTTTCTGTTTAGGTACTGGAGTACCTTTGATTTTAGGTGAGACTGTGCTCTTTTTAGGTAATAGAGTTGCTACTGATTTCTTAGCATTCAATTTAAATAATAATTGATGTAACCAATCATGAATATTGTCTAGTCTCTCATTATATTTGGCATATCTGTCACATACAACATTCATATCATCAGCAAAACAGCAGAGTGCAATATCATTTGCACATAGTTTGCCTGGTTTGATTGGTATCTTCCACTTATCAATTGCTTTGTCAATTATTAATTGGGTAATACAATCGTAAATAAGAGGGGCCAGTGGACAGCCTTGTGGTATTCCTCTTGTTTTCTTAAATTTATCAGAGAGATGATTATCAATTTCTAATTGAAGTTCATGGTTAGCATAAGCATTTAAAATGAATTGAGTAAGTTCTGAAGGGTATTTGCAGTGGTCTAGGGCCATTTTGATGACAGGTAATTCGACTGCATCATACGCCCCTTCTATATCTAAATTCACTAAAATAAAAGTCCTTTTCCTTGTTTTCATTGCTAAGGCAGAGAGTAATACACCATGATTCAAAGTATTTCTGTCTGTAATAAATGCTTGTTGTCTAACATTAATATGAGTTGATGCCCAAGATCTCAATCTAAATGCTATAATATTAAATAATATTCTGTAAAATATTGGTAAAATAGTAATTGGGCGAATATCACTTAAGGTATTAATTTCTCTTTTAGGAATGAGTTTTACCCATCCTTGTTTCCAATTTTGTGGAATATCACCATCTCTTAAACATCTATTATATTCTTCTAAGAGGATTCCTTGATTAGCTTCTGTAAGATGTTTAATTATATCAAGTGAGATTAGATCAGGCCCAGAAGTGTTTGATTTCATTCGTTTGAGAGCATCTTGTAGCTCTTTAATATGAATCGAATTGCTCCAATCTGGACCTTCTTTGATAGTTGAATTACTTGGTGTGAATGTTGGTTGTTGATTAGTGGAGGTAAATTTGTTTGTAAAGTAATCCACTATTTCTTCTTCTTCAAAGTTAAGGTCTTTCCACATAATTTGGTTAGAGTGTATCATTTTATCAAATTGATACATTCTAGATGAAGAGTTATCATTAAATTCATCTATAAGTTTTTCCTTAATCTCTTTTGCATTATTAATATGTGTTTCTTTTAGGAGTGTTTGTAGTTCTTGTATTTCTGATTGAGGAATATTAGGGTTATTAATTTTAGATAATATTTCATCCTCTAAATCTTGAATTTCTTCTTTAAATGCTGTAGAAATTCTTCCAACTCCTAATCTATCTACTTTGGATCCATATTTAATTATTTGAGCCTCAATTGCTTGATTCAGCTCTTGAAAATTGTCAATTTTACACTTATTAATTGCTTCGTACATTCTTTTCCTCTTATTCTTACTAAAGTAAGTTCTCCAAGTAAGATTAGATTTAAATTCTAAATCTAAATAAAAAGGGACATGATCATTAGTGGTCAAAGGTGTCATAATTACTTCCTTTACCACTCTAATATTCTTTGAGACAAAGATATGGTCAGGTCTAGATCTAATTAAAGTTCCCTGACTTCGTCTAATCCATGTATAATTTGGTGTTTTGAATTCTGTCAATTTTAACATTTCAAGAATCCAAATCCAATCCTTTTCTCTTGTAGTAGTGGGGTTTTGAGTATCAATATTAAGATCCCCACTTAAAATAATATGTTCATCTTTACATGTTAAAACAGCATTGATAAAACTGTTAATGGCTTCTTGATCATTTTCATAATCATCTGATCTGCCACTTAAATAAATAGTAAATAAATTAATTGGAATTCCCCTGCTTTCAAATCTTGTCCATTGTAAGATTCCAGGTACTAAATTATTATTGGTAATGTTACGCTTTCTATGATTATTTAAAAAGTGCATAACTGCTGTTCCTTTACAGCCTTTAGATCGACCCATAAGGGAGTTAAATAATAAATAACCTGAACCAGAATTTCTAACTTTAATTTCTAATTCAGTAGTGTTAACGTGTGTTTCTGTAATACTCATCATATGAACTCCATGTGTTAAACACATAGATTTCAATTCTTGAGTTACAGATTTATGGACTGCATGCTTGTATAGACCGTTAACATTGTAGCATGCAAGTCTTAAACTAGTGGTAGTTCCACTCAAGGTTGAGTAGATTCATTAGATGATGTTGAAATCAAATCATCATCTATCATTACAGAGTTAGTATTATTTACATTATTTATATTATTAGTAATATTGACAATTTCCATTAAGTTATTATCTAATGGAATTACATTATTATTTGCCAATCCTACAACAAGGCTTGAAAAAGCTTTGGTGAGTAATATTAACAGATTATTTTCATTATTATTATTATTATTAATATTATTATTATTAATATTATTATTATTATTATTATTATTATTATTATTATTATTTGTTGTTTTAGCAACTGATTTAGTTGTTGCAATATTATTAGTAGAATTAATAGTAGGTAAATAAGGAAATAATCTATTTTTCTGTTCTATTTTAAGATCTAAAATCTCAATAGAAGGTTTGAAATAGAAATTGAAATGGTTTTTGTGCTTATCAATAAGAGAAATATTTTTCTTACAGAATTCATCCATTTCATCCTTATCTGTGTGTGATAATTTAACTAATTTATATTTTGAAGTACCAGAGTGATTAGTTGCATCTGATATTTGGTTGACTTTTAATAGGAGTTGACCTTGTTATTTCTGAATATGTAGCAGGTCTATTTTTAGTTTTACCACTGTCATCTGGAATAATTTCCGATTCAGTAGTTTTTCCACAATTTGATAGATTTCTATTATTTGATAGATTTCCATCATTTGATGGATTTCCACTTTTTTGTGTAATAGATGTAAACTTATTTGCCTCATCCATTAGATTATTTACAAGTGTGATTGGACCGTTATTATTATTATTTAGTATGTGGTCGCTTATAATATTTACAAAATTTTGAATAGATTCCCGGAGACATGTGTTTTCCTTTTGGGAGGTTTCTAATGCTCTCTCTAACACAAAGATTCTGTTAGCGAGCAGAGTACTCCCTTCCGTATCCGGAGGGTGGTCATGTTGAGGCATTTTTTTAGAAGGACGAATATCAAAAAAAAATGCAAGACAATAAACCAGAACTAATTGCTGACTCTCACATGGGGACTGAATCTATGGTGGCACATAAAATTAAATGTGATGGATATGTTATTCACGGTTCAGAAAATTCAACCGATAAGGATATTCTCTATTTCATTGTGGATCCGAATCCATTTCCATCATTTCAGGATTGTTCTGTATTTTGTCGGAGTGTGAAAATTATTGAAAATGGAAAGGAAATTGAGGAGAATAGAAATGTTGCACTGATACAGGATGGAATAATTGTAAAGATTTACAAAGGTAAATTATGAATTATTTGATGATAATTATTTTGGAATTTGATTAAAATAGGAAATGAAGATGAAGCCAATAATGGATTGTTGAAAACCTATGCTAATCATTTAACAAAGCAAGAATTTGAACATCCAATCAAAAACACTGTTGAAAGAGTTACCATTTTGAAAGTTGTTAGAGCATGTAGAGCTATTCTCACCTATTTCACCAAATATAAAAAGTACAGAGCTCAAATTAAGGAAACTTTGAGATCAAATGATTTTGGACATTATATAAAAACATTGAAGGATATAATTGACATTTCAGATTCTAGTTTTTATGAACTTGTCAATAATAAGGATATGATTAAGAGTTTTGCCTTTCAATTGGGTCAAACTCTTGCTCTCATCAAGGGAGATGAACTCTACACAAAGAATGAAATTGCTCAGGAGTTCCCTGAATTGAGACCCATGTTAATGAGAGAACCCTCTACTGAGAATACTTTCAAAATTATTGAAAGTTATAAGACCAAATTGGTGGATTGTCTTGGATTTGTAAAGAGTTACAAAGTGCCGAACACAACGTGGAATATTTTCTTTAGTGATACCTCTCATCCATCTTTTGATTCCAATTTCCTCCTCTGTAAACAGGTAAGCTGCACAATTTGCTGAGAATTAACATTCATTGAAATCATTATTAGCTCAAAGGTGTTATTATTGATATGAAGCCAGGAGTTGAGTTTTGTCAATACTTCCCCTCTTTGGATGAAAGCATGTTGGAAGGTACTACCGAGTTGATTCCAATGCATGTATTCGAAAAATCTAACTGTAATTTAGATATTTGGATTTGCACAGATTACAAAAATAATCAATTTCAAGATAATTCTGAATCAACTTTGCAACAGGTAGGAATTGACAGAAAATCTTTGTTGGACAAGCTCTCCATTGACAAGTCGTTTGATTCAGTTTTCGGACTTGATATTTCATCTCACGAAATCAAAGTTATAGGCAAAAGACATTCACTCTCTCATAAAATAGCTTAAGAAAGCAGATTTAAATTACATATGTTGAATTTATTGAAATTTACAAAAGAATTTAGAACTTGGATGAAAGCCACTTTTGAAATAGTTAATAAAACAGTTTGAAAATCAAAATACTTACTTGGAAACCTTCTCCATAACCCATTTGATTCACTATGCTGCACATGAAAATTTCAACTGGACGACGACCTCCATCCTTGTCAATTCCGTGTTGCTTGCCTGTGAGCAAACCATCAACCTTCAAATAGTAAGCCAATTGTTGTTCACCAATAGCTTGTGGCTTGTCGATCTTGTTACCTAAAATTAAGAATGGAACCTTTTGCAAATCTTCATATCCGAGAAGACCGTGCAATTCCTTTGAAGCTTCTTCGAAACGACCATTATCAGCAGAGTCGACTAAGAAGACAACAGCACTAACGTCTGATGTAAAGTAATCCTTCCACAATCTTCTAGCTAAATAATTTTAATCAACAAATCATCACATATTAATATTTACCTAAGACGTGTCCACCAAGATCTATTGTTTTAAAATTCATATTTCCCATAGTGAGTTCCTCAACGTCTATTATTATTAATATTATTATCAATATTATTAATATTATAATAATTTTACAATAATACAAAAGATTTTTAAAATATTATCAATAATTGATGATCATATGATGACAAAAGAATTCTCCTCACTCCACTACATTGTATTAATACTTACTTGGATGTTGAGTTGGTGAGTAAGTACCAAGTTTTTCGCTCTTCAACATGTGCAAGAGAGTAGTCTTACCAGCATTGTCCAATCCCAAAAACAAAATCTTACCAGACTTTTGATACAAGCCGAGAGCACTCAAGATGGACCAAAACCAATCGAAGAGGAACATGGTGATAGATAATAAAGATTTAAAGAATTATTTTTTATTAAAAACTTTTCATTGTCCGCTTCAATCCTCTGCTTCTATGCTTAGCGCTGAATTGTTGTTTGCTTGATGGAGTAAAAATATGAACGTTGAAATATGTTCAGCCACGTCAAGAGAGCGAATAGGAAAAATTTCCACTACAATGATTAAGGAGAGATGAAGCAAAATACAACAATATAGGATGATGGAAATAGTAGCATAATTTAATTCAATGGATAATGATGTTGTTATTTGAATCAATGTACATTGTTTTATTAGAATATACAGGAAAAAATCAAATGTGTTGGTAGAGAAGAAAATATGTGGTGTTTTCCCATTTGGATATTTAATATTAAACAATATTAATATTCAATAACAAAGCTTACAACTCGACACATTCCGAAAATGTCGTTTTCTCCGAATTCATTGTTAATATTTAACAACTTGAAAAAAATGTCCAGCAACAATAACAACACAATAGAACCCATATTAAAAGTTAAAGATGATGAACAACCATCATCGGAATTGAAGAATAAACAAACTATTGATGATACACCACTAGATGAAGAAACAAGGAAAAAAGTTGAGGAAATTCTGGGAAAAACTCCAATTGTTTTACTGATAAAAGGAGATGCCGATAGACCTTTCTGTAAATTTTCAAAGAGAATTGTTTCCCTGTTGATTAGTAGGGGTATTCAATTTTCTTCATTTGATGTTAAATCTCTGGATCAAAATGATGAGGCTCAAAAGAAAATTTATTTGGGATTTAAAAAGTATGGAAATTTCCCAACATTCCCTCAAGTTTATGTGAATAAGGAACTTGTTGGTGGGTTGGATATTTGTTCTGGATTGGATGAGGAAAATCAATTAATATCGACAATTAAGGAAATGTTGAAGAATAATCAAAAATGCATTTCTGATAGTTTATCAAAGAGTGAAGCTTCTAAAGTTGTTACTGAAGCTGAACATGTCCAAATCAATATTAGATATGTGAATGGTGCTGTTCAAAAATTAGTATTATCTACTAAGGATACAGTCGAAAAGCTCTACGAAGCTGTGTTATTGAACTTTTCCAAATTTGATACACAATTCAAGAAACCATTCCTTATTGCTTATCCAGGAATTGGAAAGAAAATTTTCGATAGAAATTATTTACACAATACATTACTAGAATGCTTTTCAAAGGAAGAATTTGAACAAGATTTGCAAATTTCACGTGAATGTGAACAAAAGATCAAAATTATTCCACTCACCATTTATTACCTGCCAAGTGCCACCCTTGTCACATTACCAAAACCAAAAGTTGACCCAAGTGTCTTTATGCTCAAGAATGTTTTTGGGATTTTACTGAAAAGTATTTTCAAAAGACCATTCGATTTTGTTCAAAACACATGGACAAGTCTCTTTTCAAAGAAATGGTGGTAATGCAAAGTTAATAACATGGGATTTTACATTGCATTTACTGTATGATTTTAGAATTATTCATAAATTATTAATTTTCTCTCAAACATTAATAGCCTGATAGACCAGATCAAGCCAAAAAGGCCTCTTTATTTCTTCTCTATTCAACATGTCAAAACACTTGACAAGCGACAAAAAAAACTCCCAAAGTTCTCGTATGCTGACAGGTTGTGTAGCCACACAGTACTTCTCTCTGATCAGCTACTGATAGAACCCTCATCATTTTCAAAAAACAATTACCAATCATCATATCACTATTTCACCACCAACTAGAACATTCTACAAAACTGACATAAATTGGCGCCAAAATTTACACAATGAAAATTGCATCGTTTTTTAAATTAAAACAAAAAAGCTTTAGGAAGGGAACATCAAGCAGTGGCGAGAATACACCAACCACTCCAACAACACCAAAGGGAGGAAAAAGCAAACACTTTCCATCGGCATCATCATCTTCGTCAATATGTAGCACCGAACTATCGACCAGTGAAAATTATCCAAATTCAGTGGTGTTTGGACATCCACTTCCAGAGGATATGAATTTAATTCCCAAGTTTGTTTGTAGTGCAATTATTTATCTGACTCAGAATGGTTTAGATGAGGAGGGATTATTTAGAGTATCGACTATGAAGGATAGTTTGGATTCTGTAATTTCTCAACTGGAGAATGATGTAAATATGGATATTGATTTTTCAAAGCATGATGTACATTTACCTGCAGCCTTGATCAAGATTTACTTTAGAGAATTGAGTGATCCTTTATTATCATTTGATTGTTATGGAATGTTTATTGCTGCAGAGAGAATTCCAGAAGAGAGGGCAAGATTGGAAACCATCAAGAAAGTTATTCAATTTTTACCAAAACACTATTTCAATACTTTGAAAATGTTATGTGACTTTTTACGTTTGGTCAGTCTTAATTCCTCTAAAAACAAAATGACGGCAGATAATCTTGCAATTGTTTTTGCTCCAAACATTTTGAGGGATAGAGGTGAATTGGATGTAATGGATTTGATGAGACATGCCAAATGGATTAATCACTTGACAAAAACACTTATTGAATATACAGAATATATATTTGGAAATGGTACATTACCAGATGATGAAGCTGTGGAGCAAGCTCCAAGAAAAGTTTCTGTCAGATTTGCTAAACCTAAATCAATAATACAGACACCACCAATTCCAGCAATTGAAAACGATTCACAACTTATGGAGCGATTGGCAACTCTCATGGAAGATCAAGAATCTAACGATGAAAAAGAAAGAATGGCAAGAAGACGTCAAACTCTGGAAAGGAGAGTTAACATCTCAACTTCTGAACGAAAAAAGACAATTGAAAAGATGGTTAAAAACATTGATATTGTTTCCAATACATCATCAACACCTACCAAACAAATTGAGGAAGAGGTCTCTACTCCAAAGAAATCATCTACACCTGTTGTTGATTCAACTCCAAGTCCTTCAAATACAGAGGCAACAAAGAAAGTCAAGACACCTAAAGTCAAGAAGGATCCAATCCTTAGAGAAATCCAAAAAGCAGTACAACGATATCTCTGCTCAAACAATATTTTTGGTGTGAATATTGAGGTTAGCATTTCGGAAAAAACTGTCAATCTGTCACTTTCTGGATTTATTCTAAGTGACACTTCCTGTGATCTTAACTCTATTGTAGAAAGACTTCAAAGTGTTACTTACTATGATCCAGTTGAATTCATGTTTGATGATGTAGCAGAAAAACTTGGTAAACAACTTGGAAAGGACTTTTCTTTCAATGTAACATCTGATTCCCTTCACGATTACGATATCATGTTGGATGAATGTTCAACTATTATGTTAATATCATGCCTTCATGCGATGACTAAATATTTCTTTGAAACCTGCGATGATCCAAAATTGGATGATCAATTCTTTGTAGACTGGATTCTATGCATTTTCCCAACATTAGCTTACTACCCTTACTATCATATGGTTCTTTTCTGTTTACTCATAAGATCTTGTTATAAGAAAAGTGATACAACAAAACTTGCATTGCTTTTAAAACCAATGGATCAACATCCCTTCTCTATTGAGAATTTGAAAAAGCAAAATGCCTATGAGGATGACAAGATTACCAACTATGATAGACGTGCTATTCTCATTAGTAAAATGATGGGAGGCAAAAATCCATTTTTCAAAGAATACAATCCACAATTGGATTTTGCAAAACATTTCGGATTTATTGTAACTGAAGTGTTACTTAGGGATGCTGTCTCTGAAAATCCAATATGCCTCTTTGAAGACTTTTCCATTCATCATGATGTTGGTTCTGTTGCCAGAGTTAGAACCTTCGATAAGAATGAGACTGTTCTATTTGATGCTATCAGAGTTCCTGACATTGCAGTAATTCAATATCTCATAGAGGAATGCTTGGTCGATGTGAATTGCGTAAATCAAGATGGTATTTCACCTCTGACATTGTCTCGTATTTTATATAGTGGTATGATTAAGGAGGAAATTGATGACTATTTGACATTTGTTGGAGCTAAAGAAATCAAACCTCAAAACATTGATTCAGTTACTCATGACATGTGGAGAAAGATATTCGAATTTTTGGAAGTGAAAGAAATTGCTACCTGGTGCCAAGTTTCTAAAAACTTCTACGGTATCAATGTTATTGATAATGAAAAGTTATGGATGGACATTTTTACAAGGATTAAAACAGTTGAAACTGTGGCTTTCAATCCATTCCACAAATTGCAAAATATTATGCAAACAAGAGAGTGCAAACTTTCATGGAGATGCTTGGCAGAATTCAAACATCACTTCAAGAATGAAGACATTACCTATTTTATCTTTAACGAGAAGGATAGAAAACACAAGGATATTTTAGACAATAATACAGTATTGATGAATACTCCTCCATCATTGGACAGTGCCCACTTTATTTCCCTGCTCTTGTTCATTTTCAATGAATGCAACTTGGATGACTCAATGTTACAAATGTACGAGAAAATCAAGGCAAGCAAGAAATCTGAAAAGAGTATGCTCAGATTTATTGAGGAGCAAATTTCACATCACGCCCACCAGTTGACTAACTTTGTTTTTTCAATGCAGAATATTGCAGTCAAGAGAGAAATGTATAAGGAAAAGATTACTCAAGTTTTGTACTATTCAGTTTTGGTAGATAATTATTGGTATCTTTTTGCCTACAATACCAAGCACAAAGTAATTGGTGTCGTAATTGTCGATTCAAATTATGGCGATAATCCATATAAATAAATAGCCTTTTATCAGCCTTCAAAAGAAAACTTCTCCCTTACATGTAGGTTTGTATTGATTTTAAAGTGTGAGCCATTAAAGAAAGTTTCGTTAAATCTTCAAATTGTATTTTAATAAAAAATTATTAAGGAAGTTTAAAAGCTTGCTTCTTCAAATGATCGGAGTACTGTTTACCAGTTTCTCTCACAAGAGAGGAGAAATTCGATCTTTCATCCAAGAGTAAATCCTTAGGACTTCCAGTCTCAATAATCTCACCCTCCTTCATAAAGACAATACTATCGGAATCAATGATGGTGTCCAATCTGTGAGCAACAGTTATGATGGTACTATCTTTAAATTCCTCTCTGATAACCTTCTGAACCAATGCATCACTATTATGGTCCACAAATGCAGTCGATTCATCAAAGATGATAATCTTTGCCTTCCTCAAAATGCACCTACTCAAGGAAAGCAATTGTCTTTCACCAATTGAAAAATTGCTACCATTCTCAGTAACGGTGAATGAGAGCTGGAGTGGTTGAATCTTCTCTTTCATGTGAACTCGTTCGAGGGCATTCCAAATTTCATAATCCTCAAATTCATCAAAAGGATCCAAATTGTATCGAATAGATCCAGAGAATAGAACAGGTTGTTGGGGAATGATTAATAAAGCTTTACGTAAAGCTCTCAAACCAATACTCGAAATATCTGACCATCAATGGAGATTTTACCTTCGTTAGCTTCGAGGAATCTGAACAGTGAAATCAATAAAGTACTCTTTCCACTTCCAGTTCTATTATGATTATTAGAAATGTTAAGAAATATTAAACAACTTACCTTCCTACAACACCAACTTTGGTTCCTGCTTTGATATCCAAATCAAGATTCTTCAAAACTGGATCTAAATCATCTCTGTATCTTACTGAGAATTTATCTAATTGAATATGTCCCTTAGTTGGCCATTCGGTTGTGGTTGGATCTCCTTCTTTGTCATAGGCAGCTTCTTGTGAGATACTCTGGGCATAATAAACAATTCTCTCCACACAAGTCATATTACTTTCAACTTCAACAAAAGAACGAACCAGACCTTGGAAACAATCACTCAACTGGAGAGAGTTTGAAATAGTCAAGGCAAGGAAAGCTGGACTAATATCTTGTGTATTTTTGGCAATGATGGCAAAAATTGCTGTGAAGAACAAAACTGATTGAGAAACTGTGAAATATATGAGAAACATTATTAATGTGAATAGATACTTACTGAGATGAATTCTTACTCCCAACCATCTGTTTATCATAAATCTGTTAAAGGTATGTTTGTTGGCAAAGTCAATCTTTGAAAAACTATCTGCATAAATATTCGAATGTACAAGCGATGCCTTAACAGTATTGACACCTTCGAGGCATGAATTGAAATGTGACATGACTGGACTCTTTGAGATTGATTCCAATCTTCTAAGTTCTCTTGAGGTAGTTCTATAATATTCTTGAATAAAGTAAAATGCTAAACCGATTGGAATAACCACAATTAAAAACATTGGATTGATTATAGATATCAGAGTTAGGGTAAAGAAAATATTCAACACATTTCCAATAAAATCAGAGGCAGGCATTACCATATTATCCAAAGTTTCTAAATCTTGAGTAAATCTATTCAATACTCTTCCGACTGGATTCTGATCAAAGAATTGTATTGGAGCTCTTAGAATGTTATTCAGCATACCTCTATGCAAATTGGTCGAACCTCTTAGAGTAGCAAAACCTAAAGTTAACTCCTTAAAGAAGATGATGAAACAATCCATTAATCCAAAAGAGAAGAAGACCCAAACATAGGTACCCAGAGGTAATCCAAGCAGGTCACTATTCATAACAGATATCCAGACTTGACTTGCTGTTTTTGCTCCAATAGATAATAGATTCATAAAGAGACTGAGAAGTGTCAAGAAAATTCCACACTGACGGATATAGGCCATAAAGACAGCCCAACTAACTTCACCGTGGCTCTTATCTTCCACAGCTACAAGTTGGCCCTTCTTTTCATCTTGTTTCTTTTCCTTCTCAATTGCTTCTTTCTCTACAGTTTCAAGTTCTTCTTCCTGTTCAGAGATTAGTTTGGAAAAGTCATAGGAATCCTTAATATCCTTCAGAGGGCCTTTGGCAATCAATTTTCCATTCTCTAAAACAATGACTTCATCAGCCATTTCCAACAACTGCAGCGAGTGCGTTACGAGAATTCTAGTTCTGTCCTTCAAATATCCACTAATACATTCATTAAAAATCTTTCTACACAATTTGGCATCAATTGAGTTGAGAGTGGAATCCATTAAGATAATTTCAGAATTACTATAACATGCTCTGGCTAAACTAATTCTATGTTTTTGACCTCCTGAAAGGTTAATTCCAGAAAAACCAATTTCGGTTTGATCATGATTTGGGAATTGACTGAGGTCGTCTCTTAATTGACACACATCCAATACTCTATTGTATCTTTCCCTGTCAAAAGTTAAATTCTTATCAAAAATTATATTTTCCATGACAGATGCATTGATCAACCATGGAGTTTCATCACTGAGTGAAATATTACATGATGGGTTAACTTGAACTTTTCCACTCTTTACAATAGATTCACCATAAATTGAGGAGATCAGAGTTGATTTTCCACTACCAGTATTACCAATTACACAATAGAGCTTTCCTTTCTCAATTTTCAGATTTAAATCAGTGAGAATAGGAGCATCCTCTTCTGACCATCCAATAGATGCATCTTTACATTCAATAGCTGAATTATTATCCATAATTGATGACAATTCAGTATGTTCTGAATCAAAATCCCACAAATTCGCCTTATTTTCATGATCATGAGGTAAATTCAAAGTATCTTCACAAAACAAGAATCTACCAATACGTTTAGCACTCACATAGGCCAAAACCAAGTTTGAAAAGACCCAAGGCAAATACAATAATGGTAATCTAAAGGTGCTAAACAACACTAGACCAGTGAACATTTTAGGTAAGGTCAAATTTCCACCTACATAATAGAAAGTAACAAAAGTGGCTCCACTTCCAACAACAGCAATCAAAGAAGAAGTAAAGCAATATCCACTCAATACAGTAATATACTTTTTGAGGAGTGAATATTCCTTCCCTCTTGCTTGATTCACCTTTTCTTTCATCTTGTCTTCAAAAACATAAAACTTGACAATTCTAATACCATTCAATACCTCACTAATGTGCTTGACTCTTTCATCTCTGAATTCGGCAGCTTTGGCAGCAAAACTAGTTTGATATTTACCCAACAATGGAAGAATAGGTCCACAAACTACCATTGCAAGAATACCAACAAGTGAGCTATAACCAAAAAATAGGAAAACCAATACAACACCAACAATTAATGTCAATGGCAATAGCCAAGCCTCGTGAATATCAATACCATCCATGGCTAATCTTTTGGCATCTGTGGCAAATAAATTGTTCAATTCACCACTTTTGAATTTTCTTCTTTCCTCACTCTTGATTCTATTCAGCTTTTGCAAGATTGAACCTTGAAGTGCTCCAATGAGTGGAATCCAAATTTTTGAAGTAGCATAGTAATACTGATGGATGCACAATGAAGCCATTGAGTTGAAAGTAAATAATAAAATTACCAAAGTCAACTGGAAGAAAATATTTGAGAGTGGCAAGTTCTCTTGAAACCAATTTGTTTCGTTGTTCATTGTGTAATTGGAGGTAATGACAGTGTCATTATTCAACAATCCGTAGGAAGAAATTGGTATTAAAAATTGAGTTGCTGCTGGTATTGCACTTTTCACATAATCATCCACCTTGATTGACTCGAGTAAAATATAGAGAATGAGTGGTGACATGTACAAACATGCCATTTCAGCAATCTTCCACAAGGATATTGAATATAATCCTCTATTTCTATAAGCTCTCTCAATCACTCGCAACAATAAAGTTCCAAAATTCTTCCTAAATCCTCCATCCTCACTATAATAACCTCTCTCATGATATAATTCTCTGTACTGTCTTTCGAATAATTCACAATGCCTGTTTGCCTTGAACCTTTCATCCAACTTGGGAATATCTCCATGATTCATTCCCTCCTCCTTTCTAATCTGAAACTGACCAAATATCCCAATTCGATTCAACATTTGTTTGATCAATTTTATCAAATAATTCTCACCAGCCTTTCTAAACCCAAGACTCATCAAACTTCCAGCAAATGAAAAGAACACGAGTGATATCCAAGAAGCTCCATTCTCTAATGGCTCTGAAGACGACCCATCAATCTCCTCCTTAAACACATCCACAACATTTTCATTCCGAGCATCGAGAAGATCCTCCAATTCATCATCTTGATTATGAGATGAATTTTTGATTAAAGTTGGTGCTTCTTCGTTGCTGCTCATTTTTTTTACTACTTTCAAGTTGATTACAAGAAACATGAATTTGCAACGTTTTATGATTTTTAAGAAGGTTACCACTTGTTGTTTTGTGTGGCATTTGGAAAATGAGTTGGATGCCAGAGTGGATGGTATTATTTATAAATTGTCCTCATCTACTCCGCAATTCCGTTCCAATTGTTGGCGAAATCAACTTCATTTTCAAACATGAATTGAATTTGGTAGTTTACCTTAATATTCAACAGTAGTTTGTTCATGGCTTTCATTTAAATGTTATATATTCTAAATTGTTTCATCTCCTCCTTACTGAAATTGAGAATTTACAAAATAATAATAGAAAATTTAAAAAAGTCAAAATCATTAAAGTCAACAAGTTTCAAATTTTCAATAGAATTTTGGGATAATGACTCTTGATGTTCTCTCAATATTTCAATATTAAGATTTTGAAAAGATGAATGGCTACGGCCATATCACGATGAATACACCTCATCCCGTCCGATTTGAGAAGTTAAGCATCGTCGAGCCACATCAGTACTGAGGTTGGAGACAACTTGGGAACCTGTGGTGCTGTAGTCTTTTTTCAATTATCTTAACATTATTCAAATACACCACCAGAAAATTCAACTTGTTTTAAACTCATTGGAAGTACTGATTTACAGAGCCAATTTAGAAGCACTTTCTATGAACAAAACCAGGACCAACCTCCTCATATTCTTCTTTCGATATCCACATCTGCTGAAAGGTTGCAAGGCTCGCGAGGACACTGCCTCCAATCCAGACTGAGTACTTTCTTTCAGGTGGGGCTACAACCTTTATCTTCATTGAGGCTGGTGCCAAAGCAGTCAATTCCTTGGTCATCCTTTCAGCAATACCTTCGAACAGGGTAGTACCTCCAGACAAGACAACATTTCCAAACAATTCTTTTCTAATGTCAATGTCGCATTTACCAATTGAGTTGAAGGCTATTTCATGAACACCAGCATCTTCCATACCAACGAAATTAGGTTGGAATAAAACTTCTGTACATCTGAATCGTTCGTTACCAATTGTTATAACAGTGCCATCTGGCAATTCATATAACTTTTCAACAGAAGACGATTCAGCAGCAACTTTCATTTCTTCTTTGAAATCCAAAGCAACGTAACAGAGCTTTTCCTTAATATCTCTTACAATTTCTCTTTCAGCAGTAGTGTTGAATGAGTAACCTCTTTCCATCAAAATCTTCATCAAGCAATCAGTCAAGTCACGACCAGCCAAATCCAATCTCAAAATGGTGTGTGGCAACGAATAACCTTCAAAAATTGGAACAGTGTGTGAAACACCATCACCAGATTCTAAAACTATACCAGTAGTTCTACCAGAAGCATACAAAGACAAGACAGCTTGAATGGAAATATACATGGCTGGAACTGAGAAGGTTTCAAACATGATTTGAGTCATCTTTTCTCTATTTGCCTTTGTATTCAAAGGAGCTTCAGTCAACAAGACTGGATGTTCCTCAGGAGCAACACTCAATTCATTGTAGAAAGTGTGATGCCAAATCTTTTCCATATCATCCCAATTAGTAACAATACCGTGTTCAATTGGATACCTTAAGGTCAAGATGCCTCTCTTGGATTGAGCTTCATCACCAACATAGGCATCCTTTTCACCCATTCCAATCATGATTGACTGTCGCTTTAGTCTACCTACAATTGAAGGAAAGACAGCTCTTGGAGCATCATCGCCAGCAAAACCAGCTTTGCATATACCAGAACCGTTGTCAACAACGAGAGCTTGAAAGTCTCCATAGACAGACATTGAATGATTTGTTTTTGAAGTTTGTTAAACGAGGCGACACTTGAAGTAGACAGTTGTTCACTACATGTCAGAGCCATCACCTTTTCGTCAAGTAAATGAAAAAAGAACACTTTCATTTGGGCTGTAAAGGTTGAGTTTGGAAGTGAAAAGACTGCCTGAACAAGATGGAATAGATACACAAGACACTTCAACTTCTCTTTCCGAAAACAAATTTTTGTTCTTTTTATTCAAATATCAACCAAATGGATTTAGAGTCGACGTAGAATCGAATGTATTAAATTTCCAAATCAAACACTCTTCCTTTCAGATTATTTGAGATAATTAAAACATGCAATAACAATTCATCGAATTTGGATTTACAATCTCTGTAATTGCATTAAAAAAATCTGGTAATGTTTTATTACGTTTACAATACGAATCTATTCAGATTCCTGCTTCAAAGACGTGAAGTCAATGATCTCCAATTGTAAACAGTTCGCAGGAAGCAGCGCTTCTTTCACAGATACATCATTATTTAAAATGAAGGGGACTTTTGTAGAGACATTGGAGTTATCGCCTAGCCTTCAAGCTTGATTTGGAACGAAACTAAACCTTTTGATTATCCATAAATAGGAATACACTTAATAAAGATGTTATAAGAGTTAACCAGGAAGTCTTCTATGTGCCTGCTCAACGACACCGAGCGGAATGGATGGAACATTCTGTCTTATGCTAATAATTAATTCTTCACCAATATCAACGAACCAATGTGTTTTCGTTTTACAATACATTCAAATTCTTTTCATAATTAAATCATTACTCTCCACTTCTCCTATTACCTTAGCTATTTTATTTTTGCCCATGTTGATCAACCCAAATCTACTTTAAACCTTTGAACCGTAAGGTAGTTGTACTATATTACCCTCCATGCTAATATGAGTACGCGATTTGCTCTGACTTCTAAACCCGATGCTCAAGTTTTGGTAGTTGATCAACCTCTGTGCTGCTAGCACCTGGCCTCTAGCCAAAGACGCTAACTGTTTCCCTCAAACAGTTGTTGTATTTTTTTAAAGACAATTGCATTAAAAAAATGAATCGAGTTCCACCACACATACATCTACAAGCAAATATTTGGGACGAAACTGAAGAATTATCAACTACTTCAAATCAACAACAACGCAGAGTTCCAATCATTGTTTCCCATCAAAAAGATCAAACTTCCCCAACTCGGGTTGACTATTTAATTCCACACAAGAAAATTCACATAGATCCGAATATTTATGAAATTGATTTATTAAATAATGATGAAATATTTGATAATCAGCAATCAAATGATCATGGCAATGAGAAACAAGAATTTACTTGTCTTGATTGTTTGTTCGTGTTGGAACAAGTTCTTTCTCCGGAGGAATGTCAAGATTTGATCGATGTGACTGATGAATTGGGGTATCATTCGATTGATAGAGAATATTCAAAAGAGTATAGAAATAGTGAGAGAGTAGTGGTAACTAGTAAGAAAGTTGCTGAAATATTATGGAATAGGATAGTGTAGGTTTTACAGTCTCGTGGTTTTTGAATGTTATTATTTTGAAAATAGACCAATGATGAAGAAGGAAGATATTACAAATGTGAAGCCATATGGATTTGATAACAATGGAAAATGGGTTCCAATAGAATTATCCGAATGTTTGAGATTTAACAGATATAAGGAAGGAAATTTCTTTAAACCTCACATGGATTCTCACTTTGTCAGAAATGACAATGAGAGAAGTATATTCACCATTCTTATTTATTTAGATGATTCTCCTTACGGAACTACCTTTTGGAAAAAGATTCCAGACGAAACAAATGAAGACCTTTCAAAAATGAAATTCAAGAAACTCTTAACAGTTCAACCAAAAGCTGGGTCCATAGCAATATTTAATCATGATATTTACCACTCAGGAGATTATGTAAAGGAAGGTTTCAAATATGTTGTGAGAACTGAAATGATTTTTAAGAGAATAGATTCTGAGAGTGTCTACAAGCAAAATTACATTGAAAATAGTCAATACCAAAAAGTTTTACAATTATTGGAAGAAAGTGAACAATTAGAGAAGGAAGGAAATGTTAAATTAGCAACTGAAAAATTTATTCAAGCTCAGGATTTACACACAAACGAATCAAAAAGCATTCGAATTGAACAATCGGCTCGTAAAGAAGATTCACCAATTACAATTTATGCAATTTCAGAAGATGCTTTCTATGCCATATTTTCATTTATGAAAGCAGAAGAAATTTCTCAAACATTTCTCAAGCTTAATAGAGAACTGAATGCCATTACAAGACACTCATACATTTGGAAAGAAAGATACTCTCAAAAATGGCCAATCAATCCTATAGTTCCACTTGGTCGAGAAATTGGAATTAAAAATCTAGACTTCGAAGAAGAAATAGAGGAAGGAGTTATTACTTCAATTGAAAATCAAGCAACTTATCAATATCAACAGACAATAGGCGATTGGTATCATGCTTTTATATCGAGATCATATCAGAATAGATTCTCAGATGTCATCTTATTGGACTTTATTGATGGATTTTACAGATTTGGACTTTCATCTTTGGCTTTATTTTATTCTTCTCCAGCTTTGTGTGCAGAAAAAGTTGGTTCCCACTTTAATGTTCTGGCCTATGGATTTAAAAGTCTCGTGTGTGGTGATAGATATCAAGTCTTCCAGCGTGATTGTTCCAAAGAAAATCTTATTCTTGATTGCAATTCGAATATCTTGGATTATGACTATTTTAAAGAACTAATTATTCAACTTTATCAAGACGATTTGAAAAAGAGCTTTTTCACACCGTTGCTGTTAGCAGTTCCACTATCTTGGACAGATTCCATTATTTCAAAAGTAAGCAACATTCTCGTAAGTATTTTCTGTCACTATTTATCAACAAATAACATATCATTAATTAGGACGAGTTGGAAATTGATGTAATTTATGTGGATGAGGAAAAACTTAGAACCATTTACTATCAAAAACCAACCTGTACTGTTTTGAAAGTCAACAGAAGTGGAGTTTATTTAATTCCTGTGATTGAACACGAAACTGTTAGAGAATACATTGTTTATGAAGAATCTAAATGCAATGAAAAGAGTTTGGATGTTCTTAAGAGTGCATATATTCCTCCAACTATTGATACCAATGAATCAGAGTTAAACATTGAACCAGTAAATATTTCACAAACTTGGACACCTAAATATGTAGGAAAACAGAAGAGAATTCATATAGGTTCAAATATATTGAGCACACTACTCAATTCAATTTCACAATACGAAACTATTATTCGTGAGAGGAATAAGAAGGTGGAAGTCTCTAGCAATTTTATAATTGTGGGAGAATTAGCTCATTTAGAAAATATGAAACCAACAATCATTGAAATTCTTACAACAAAATTCCCACATGCCTCTTTCACCTATCAAGAAAATATTCATTGTACAGTTCAACATGTAGTATGGGATGTAAAGAAGGGATTATCAGGTGGATCTTTTGATGTGTTGGGTGGTGCAAAAATCATTTCTTCATTGAGTAATTTTCGACAAATGTATCCTCCAAAAGAAAGAATTGTCAGAAAGAAAAAGAAATGTACCATTGCTTAATTAAAAACCAATATTCTTGTTGTTGTATTCATTATTTGTAATTATTTGTAGTGTGAATCAAAGGCTTGGTTTTTTTGTTCGAGCCTTGATTGGAATGAAGGCTGCAAAACCGACAGTAATAAAAAAAATGCCCCCACAACGAAAGATTTATTTGGCCAAACGAACCTCCACAAAGCCATCCAATTCAGCACCGGCAAGTGAGAGTTCTTCATCATCGGCAACAGAATCGCCAACAACTCCACTTCTGAAGAGTGATCAGCCAAGAACTGAACAAGTTTCCTTCACTCCTCTGATGTGTATGAAGAAGGAGAAGGCTTCACTTGAGCAACGAATTAAAATTTTAGGCTTGGTAGATAAATTCAACAAGGAAGGTATTGTTGGTATTCCTTTGTATAGCAAATCGGATACTGCAACTTTGAGTGAATTACGTGCAACGAATGATACATCTGCTGAGAATATTATCAAGTTGAATATTGGTGGAGGTATTTACACAACAACCAAGAAAACACTGAACCAAAGAGAAAACATGTTGAAAGTTATGATCAACTCTGAATTCCCAATTGATAAAGATGAGAATGGATGTATTGTAATTGCTGATAGAAACCCACATTATTTCCCAATAATTTTAGAACATATTAGAACAGGTAAGTTAATTGTTATGAACCCTTATTTAACTCTCTCATCAGGATCAACAAAATATATCGGCATTCCTGAAGAATACCCATCTGAAGAAAGTTTGATAGAATTACGAAACCTTTTAGAAGAATCGGACTTTTTTGGAACTCAAAAGTTGAGTAATATTATTGCACTCAAAATCAAGAAGGATAGAAAAATATTATCAAATTCCAATCAAGAGAAGAATGAATCAGATGAGAATAGAAAACATGATGAAGAAGAATCTAAATTGCTAACAAGAGATATTGTCTATTTGACACAAGAAGAGAAGGAGCTTTTTGATAAATATGTTGCTGATAAAGACACTGAGCTAGTCAAATTAAGAGATAAATTGAAGGAATTAGATGAGAAAGTTGAAAAACCACTCAAAAAATTCAATGTAAGAGGGGTACTATTTGAAATTGGTTTTGAAAAACTTATTAATCGTGACAGTTTATTAACCACTCTTTGTAAAGAAAAAAGAAACGATGAGGAGATATTCATTGATAGAGACCCATCTACCTTTAGAGTACTAGTTGAGTGTTATAATTCTGATGACTTTACAGCTAATATTCCAAAAGAAGTAGCACCAAGAAAGCAACTTTATAACTTGGCAAAAGAATTGAATGTTAAATTTTTGCTTGAACATCTCGATCCACTTAGGTTTCCTTTCGAATTGCTAGGTGAAACTAATCTCAACATTAAGAAAAATGAAGACTTTTTGAGAGATATGTATAACTCTTTATTAGAAAGAAATAATCCAATTTTACAAGATCCAAAACTACACTTGATAGAATTATTTAATGATGAATCTTCCGATTTGTGCAAGAAAACAGAGCTACCATCCTCTATTTACCCTCTTTTCGACTTTGAAAATGAAAAAGAGGCTGCAGAATTGTGTAAACGTGAACAAATCAAAAAACCACCAATCCCAGTTATTTGCAATTCAAAAGAAACTTTCCAAAATCAATTCGATGCTTTTTCATGTTTTTTATTGAAAGACCTCGATTGGTCAAATATTGCATGCGCTGGAGGTTCAGTGTTAAACTGCTTATTACTTGCTGATCAACAAGAGAAACCTCAAGCCGAGAAGAAAAACTTTGAAATTGAGGAAAATACATACAGTGATCCAAATGATAAGCCATATTGGACTGAAGATGATGAATCCAATGATGAAGTAGAAACTCTTGAAAATAGTGATTACTTTACATCTTCTGGAGACGAAGAATTTTCCAAACTCGTAGCATTTAAGGAGTCCAGGAAGAAGGAAGAAGATAGTCCAGAAAAAAATTTATATTCTTACTACAAGAAAAATTTTGTTAAGAGTGATATTGACATCTTCCTTTATGATATTGACGAAAAAAGGGCAATAGATAAGATAATTTACATTTATGAACACTTAAAAAAACAAGTCAGCAGTATTCCAGATTCTAGTTTTTTGAAAAAAACATACAACAGAAAGACTGAGCTAAATGACATTGCAATCATAAGAACAGATAATGCAATCACTTTTACTTTCCATCCTAATTTTAGAAAAGTACAAATTATTTTAAGAATTTACAAGAGTATGTCAGAAATACTAATGGGATTTGATGTTGCAAGTTGTTGTGTTGCATATGATGGACATCAAGTTTATGCTTTACCAAGGGCCATTAAAGCATTCTCTACAAGGTGTAATATTGTTGATCCAGATCGTCAATCTACAACGTAAGTTTGTTTTTCATGATATCTAATCAATACCTTAATTAGATTCGAGACTAGACTTGTAAAATATGCGTAAGTATTTATTTATTAGAATGAGGATTAATTTTCTTAAAGATTGAGAGGCTTTAGAATTGGTGTTCCTGGTTTTTCAGAAAAGAAAATATGTAACAAACTTTTGACAGATTCTGATTCATTGAAACAAAACAGTGATTGGTGGGGCGTTACTGGTAGAAAAAAGAAATTGAATATTCAGCAAGTCACTGGTCTAGCAAGAATATTACTAATTAGAAATGGAATTAAAAATTGTACTAGAAAGAATTCAATGTGGTGGTCTGTTGGAGGAGGTAATACTTTAGAACAAACCCAAAGAAAACTTATTCGTCCTTCTGCCCCTTATGTGGATTTCACAGCCGGATTAGCTGACTATAGTACTCCGAGAGATGTCTGTAGAAAGATTTCAAACAAGTTATATGGCATAAGACACTATAGTAGTAACCCTCCTTTTATAAAAACAGCCCTTAACGATATTAAGGTCATAGTGGATCCAGATTCAAAATCATCTGGAAATAAGAAAAAGGTCAAACAACAATCTAACAAACTGAAATTTATTACAGCCAGTCCTGGTACTCAAAACGTAGGAAGCTTTTTCCCTCACACTAGAAATTTCTTCCAAGATGCATACATTTCTGGAACCAGACTTAAAAAATCAAAGAATACGTATATTTGGAGAGAAGGACAAACCACTTATTCAAAAGAGATGTCAAAACTATTTGAAAAGAAATATCGTGCTTTCTTAAAGACAAGAGATACTAAAGATGCAGAATTTCCATTACCTGATGATAAGGAAGGAAGAGTTATTGACTTTAGGAATATGTATGTTGTTACAAAAGACAAAGTTAAGAATACTAGAAAATTTGGTTCACAAATGGAGAGATTTAAAGATAATAATAGAGTTATTCCAAGAATCAAACAAATCGCACAAGTGGACCACCAAGCTGTCCTATTTGGAGAGGAAGAAAGTGATAAGGAAGAGGAAGTTGTTGGTGACGATGAAAGTTTTGTTAGAAGCATTCGACACCAACCTGCCAGACGTGAGGGAACATATCAACAACGTTCTATCTATTCTCAACAATTACCTACAACAGTACATGACGATGATGATGATGATGAGGAGGATGATGAGGATGATTATAGAGGTGGTGATTATTATGATGATGATGATGATGACTTTGACGATTATGACTCTGATGAATTCCATCCAGATCAAGAAGAACTACAAAGAATGCTCATGATGAACGCTGCCTTAATGAATCAGAACAAAGGACCACAATGTCCACAACAATAACTTCTTATTAACTAACTAATATATAACATGGCCAGTACAGATAATATGCCTGTAACCTTATTATTCGAAAGGGGATTTTCGAATTTGTATACCCTTCAGAAGGGAAAGTTTATAAATATTTAAATTACTTTTCAGTGAACAATTTGAAACAAGGAAAAATTTGGCGGGAAACTGAATTCCACATAAAAGAATTTCCAAACCTCTCTTTAATTAGAACACTAAAGTATCAACAGATTCAACCCACTAATCATGAAAAAGAATAACAATACAGTATTCTTCACTCTTCCTATCAAAGGAGGTTGTATGTATGATAATCCAAATTCATTTCCCGATTTGCAAATCAAGATTATTGTAAACAAGCTAATCAATACCAAGAATGAATGTTTTATGGAAATCAAAGCTCACAGATGTTTCATTGCAAATTCAAGTGAAGTTCTGAGAGGTCTTTTTGAACAACAAGATAATCAACACATCCTAAAACTAATTTGCTCAACCGAATTTGAAGCCATGCATTGTGAAAAAGCTATCAAATCCATTTACACCTCCATTACAATTGAAACCGATGAATTTTCATCAATGTACGATATGTATTCCAAGCTTGGAATGAAATCTCACTTTGAACATTTGAAACAATTGTGGACTTTACAATGTCAGAATTCATTTCCAGTTGCAATTCACACATTAAGAAAGTTCGGGGAGAAAAATCCAGAAAACCACATGGATAATTACATTGCCCAATTAGTTTTGATTTGTATAGATAAGCTAATCACTGATCAAGAAAGGGCAATTCCTCTGCATCAATTATGGCTTTCAAAATTCATTGAAAATCAAACAACTGCCACAAATCCAGAAAGAATAATTTCCTTGATCGATTCTTCATTGAGTGAAAAGTACACAACTAACGAGCAGGCAGAAAAACTCATCAGATGTTTGTTTTTAAAACTTGATTCCAAAATGACTCAGCAACAATTCTTCAATTTGATTAGTCAATTGAGTTGTTCAAATAGTATTTACTTATCTTTCAATGTTCTCCCTCAAACTTTCAAATTGGAAATGGTCAGTACAATGCTACATGTTATCAAGTTCTCTTCCTTTATCTCTACAATTCCAACTTCTTTATTTCTTCAACAGAATCCAAGAATCACATTTCAAACAAATTCAAATTCACCTTCTTCATATAAATTGTCTATCAACGAAAGGGAATTAGAAGAATTACAAAATTTGTATTTGTCTCCTTCAACTGATGAAGATTTTTAAATTATTGAAATAAATTCCAGAAAACTACTTTTCCCACCATGTTAATATATCCATATATATATTGAATTAAAAAATTTACAATACATTTGTTCAAAGGATTGGTCAGGAAAGTGCTTCAACACTAATTTTGAACTAGTTGAGGCAAAGTATGCGTACATGTTGTCCCCGACTGGAATGTGTTGGTTGGATGGAGATGTCTTTGTTGCAAATGCTGAAAGACATTTGGTGTTTAGGATTTTTAACAACTTGTCGGTGGTGGAAGTTTATGCTGGATATGTAATAAGGATATTGTCTATTTCACAGATGCAGAAAGAGTCAAGTCAATTGACGAAAATGGAAAGTATAGAATTGTGGATGGAGGAGTGGCTCAATCTAATTTGTAAGTGAATAATTGATTGATTCAATTGATAACTATTCGAAAGATATGGTGTCTATGTTTCTAGTGGAGGTGAAATTTACACTTCATCTCAAAGTAATAATTTCGTACAATGAAATTGCTGAATTCAGACGAAACCAAAATACTTATTGGAGGGTCAGAAGGATATGGTGGTGATAATCAATTATACGATTCTCCCAATATCAAATTTTATGAACCATCTTCTTTAATTGTCACCCAAAATACAATAATAGTGGCAGATAAATCGAATAGATGTATTCGAAAGATTGATCTGCAAACCAAAATGGTTTCCACATTATCAGGTGGCATAATTATTCACTCAAAAGGTGAAAATATTTCTCCTCTCCAAATGTATTCAGCAGCATCTCTTACTTTCCCATTCTACTATAAGAATGAGTTGTACTTTGTTGAAAGTCAATATTACTTACGAAAGGTTTCGAATGGAAAGTTGAAAACAGTATTGGGCTGTCAACAAGAAACTGCACCCAAGTACAGTGCCAACATTCCACAACGAACTTTCTTTGAAATTACCAATTTGTTTTATATTGGAAATGGTGATGTTTTACTTTACAATTTTGGTCAAGATTTTTCACTTTACAATTTCAATTTGGAAACTCAAAATTTGACATTCATTCTAAACTCTAAGAATTATCCAATAAGTCAGGGATTGGCTGCAGTTGGTGATTCCTTTGAAAATTCTACAATTTACTTCAGAGATTTTCAAAATTCAATTCTAGTTTTACAAAAAGGTGGAATTGTGAAAAAATTACAAATTAATTTGGTGCCAGGAGCGGTTGGACAATTTAATGTTATTCCCAATTTAAGATATCCCAATTCAAATTCTCTATTTTTATATTCAGATGTAGAGAATATGCTGTATGAATATGTTGACTTTCAGAATGAAACTGTTTCAATGAAAGTTTTTAATTGGAAAATGCCAAGTATTTTGACCTTTGAAGGATTTTCAAGAAATGACAGAAATTTATTTTTTTGGACAGTTGGTCAACTTTATAATTTTCAATTGGAAACACTTACTTTGCAGAAAATTGGTGGATTGGATTATTTTCACCACAACATGTTCTTGGATATAATGGTGAGAATATTCCATTCGAAAACTCAGCTCTGTAAGTAATAATACCATTCTCAATATTGGTCAATTGACTACTAATTTCAACCCCTTAATAGGAATACCCCAATTGCTACCAGATACAATTCAAGTATTCTTGTGAAAAATATGTTTCACCTTAGTGAAATTTCTAGTGGGCGAATTTCCACAATTGCTGGACTAAACCCAGTCTCTAGAACAATAAATCCACTCATTCTAATGAGAGATCCTGTGAAGAAGGTATGCTACTATATTGATACTAGGACATTGAAGAAATATGATGAAACAACTGGAAAGTCCTCCTCTCTCAGTACGTCCATGTATTTATCCACATCTACTCCAGTGGATACACCCTATTTAACATTGAATATAGTGCCGAATATGGTAAGGGCATATGCTACATTCTCAAAGTTTGATAGAAAGATATACATTAAGGACGAATGTAGAATTGTTCGAATAGATCCAGAAACTATGAATTTTGAAAGAATTATTGGAAATTCTTTTGGTGCTCAATTCAAGACTGGTGTTAAGGGTATAGATTCTCCTTGTCCATTAATAATCTCTGGAATGACAATAGATGATACAAATGGCGATCTGCTCATTTCCTTATTCTTCTCCATTTATAGATACAACATGAAAACTCAAATTATTTCACTCGAATTTGCATTCTCTAACATGTTGGATATTTCCATCAATGATGGAATAATTAGCAATCAAACAAATCCTGGTGCAATTGGCAATATTCACCATAATAATGGATTTATTTATATTTTAACAGATAATGCCATTAGAAGAATTGAAAAATTATCAGAAGGCACTTATTATTTGAGAACTTTGGTTGGAAACTTTGTTACTGGATATTCAGGGGATAGATTACCTGCATTGTCATCATCTATTGATAAACCATCTGCTATCTATGTGAAAAGGAATGGGGATATCATTATTTTGGATGGTTCTAGTACGTATCTTGTTCGAATGTATCAGAAACAAAGTGGTTTGTTGGTGGATATTGCTGGTTCCAGAGCTGAATCAGCAAAATTTAATGGAGATGGATTTGGAATTTATTCAATGTTTACACTCTTCTCAAAACAAGTCGAATATGATGAAAGTACAGGTGAAATCTTTCTTATTGATGGTAGAGCTTATATTCGCAAGGTTATTCCCTATTGTGGAGAGAATTTTACTTATAATTCTTGGAATAATACATGTGATGCCAAATTGAGTTGCAATGGAACAGTGGCAACTAGTGAAAATGTTTGCAATGGAAATGGACAATGTTCTGATTTTGACACTTGTCAATGTAATAATGGATTTGAAGGACAATTTTGTGAAATTCAGAAAAGTCAACAATCAATTGATTCTACAGTATTGGCAGTAGCTATTGTGATACCTATAGTTGCAGTCTTGCTGATTTTAATTGCTATTTTCATAGTGGTCATTGTAATTATTATGTGTTTCTCAAAGAAAAAGAAGAAAGATGTTGAAATAGCTCAATTAGAAGCAAGAAATGTTGAACTTTCTGATACAAATTTCCTTTCTATGAGCTCAATGATTATTTCCTCATCTGCTAACTCTTCTGTTGGATCAAATATTGCAAATCCATTTTCCAGATATTCAAATATTATAAGAATTGGACAAGGAGCGTTTGGAAGTGTTTACAAAGTGACAGATTCAAAGACAAACAAGTTGAAGGCGATCAAGATTGTTAAATTTGAAAACCTTACAGATTTGAATACAATTATGAAAGAGGCATCTCAATTGAGTAATATTAATCATCCAAATATTATCAAAGTTAATGACTATTTCATTACCAATGATAATTTATTGATTATTGACACAGATTATTATGAATCAGGAGATTTAACAAAATTGAAACAAGAAATTTGCAGTGAAAAGATTATCAAACAAATTTTGAAGCAAATGCTGACAGCTTTGAGATTCGTTCACGAAGAAATGCACATTATCCACAGAGATATTAAGCCAACTAACATTTTTATCAAGAAATTATCAAGTGAGAATATTGACATTGTATTAGCAGACTTTGGATTGGCTAAAAAGTATCAAGAAATGACTGGTCAATCCTATGTTGGAACTCCACTTTGTAAGTAGTTGTTTTTATTCACAAATTTAACCGATTAATAGTTATGAGTCCTGAAGTTGCACTTGGTAGTTCGTATTCATTCAATACAGATATTTTCTCTTTGGGTGTTTCAATATATCAAATCATGACCAATGATCAAGCAACTTCGATTAGTAACATGCTAATGGGAAATCAATCAGAGAATGCAACAAAAATATTGACCAATCAAATGAAGGAATCTAGTCAGAGTGAATATTCTGAGGAATTGATAGAGATAGTTTTGAAAATGTTAGAAAAAGATGCAAATCAAAGGCCATCAGCATCCCAGTTGCTATCTCTTAAATATTTCAAGTAATATATTATTGAAATATTTCACAAGGTTATTGGAATTGGGAAAAGTTGTTATTGGCTTACTTAAAACTTGTTCAATACATAAATTAATTTGTACAAAAGAATCGAAAGTGGTTTATTCGATCGAGTGGGGAACCCCCCAGCAGTAACTTAGTGATTCTTGTTTGGCTTGGCATACCGAGCAAAAGATTTTCTTTGACATTCTCCTCCCTTCTTTGGATCAAAAACTAACTTGATATATGAACCTTCAGCAGTGAAAACAATGATAGAACGGCTATCAAGGCCAAAACAAACTATAGAAGGACACTCAGGACCTTTGTACCAAGAATGAGACCATTCGGACCCAAAATATCCTCCAAAGAATGACATTTTCGATTTACGATTTGTAATTTGGTCTGGGGATGAGCCTGTTGGTGTACTGGTGGTAGGTTGTTGTTGGATAGAATTTTGTTGTGTTGGTTGGTTATTATTGTTAATGTTAGATGGATTGACTTGGTAGTTGGCACCTGTTCCAGTATTATTGGCAAAAATGTGAATAGTTCCCTTGTCACTGGAAGCACAGAAGAATAGAGAGTCTGGAGAGAATGAAATAGAATAAATATCAGCCTTATCAGCACCACGTCTCACTTCTTGTAATTTGGTTCCCTTCTTAGTGTCAAAGATACGGATCAATGTACCCTTTTCTGAGGCAGTAGCAAGTCTCGTACCATCGGAATTTAATGCTATACAGTTAATGACACCATCGTGGGCTGGGATAATGATAGAGTTATCTTGATCGAGTAATTCAACACGAACAGTACCCTTGGTAGTATTTGGGAAGGCTAACACACAATCATCAGAAGGACTCAAGGCCACAAGACCTTTTGGATTCTTGTAAGTTTCAAACTTTCTAATTCTCTCCAACTTATCAAAGTTGTATACGTAGACATACTTATCGAGGACGACAACAATCTTGTCTCTTCGTAATTTGACTGCTTTCACTTCTGATTTAAATGTTAATTCTCCAATAGGAGCAGATTGATTATCATCCCAGAGAATAACCTTGTTCTTATTAAAAGCTGGTTCAGTGCCTCCACCTACAATGGCAAGAATATTGCAACGGAAAAGCATTTCTACCATACCGATAGAACCAGAAAATTCTCTCTTGAAGGTTTCCTTGTATGGATCGCAATTATATATACGAAAACCGTTGGATACACCTGCTGCCATGCAGCTATTGTCTTGATTAAAGCCCAAGAATAGAATATCTGAAGCTGTGGATGGTGGTGGATTCAATCTTGTAAGGTGGATTGAAGACATTTTTATATGATGAAGTAATAAATAAAAAAAACTATTGTTCTTGTTGTTGGGAAGTTTTTCACGTTTGATGAAGATGGTTGCTACCTCGTAACGCTCTTGTTAAAAGATTTGATGTTTTGTATGGATTGTTAATGTTTTTGAACGGCTTTCAGCCACAACGTATGTTCTCAGAGGAAAAAGAGAGGAGCGGTTGTTGAACGAGAAGAACAGAGAGGGGTTGTGGTGTTGCGTGTATTTTTTCTCCTATGCTTTTGGAGGCAAATTCTCTGTTCACCGTTTTGTGAAGAAAAGCAAAGCGTCCGGGGATGAAACTCCGGCCAGGGTTTTTTGGAAGGAACCTTTTTCGAGAAACACACCAATAACCGAGAGAAATTCAAATCCTCCCTTCCATCACTATTAATAAGATCTTATCAGTCAACTAGGAAGGTGATGGAATGAGAAATATCGAAAGATTAATACAAAGATTTTTGAGTTGCATTCGATTAAAATACCTTAAATCTTTGAAAAGATTTGCAATAACAAATAAATCCTTTTTAACTACTGTAATAAATCACTCTCAGTGCGAGAGAGATTGATTATTACAGTATTGTTGCCAAGATATTATAAGGAGAGAAGCGTGGGTCTCATTTAGATCTTTGGAGAATATTGAGGAGTTGCAAAATCTCCAAACTACTACTTCATAACAATACAAAACAACAATTCAATTCTGAATGTTTCATTGTATAGATCATCATTAATATTACTTCAATCTCATCCAAAATTTCAACCCGATTAATAAAAACGATATCTTCTTGCTACGCCTCATCACGTTGATTATCATCATAGCAAGAAAACACAAATTGAAAAAATGTTCTCTTGGAGCCCTTTCAAAAAATCTTCCAAGTCATCGAAAGGGTCTCAATCGGCACCCTCCTCTCCTGCCACCTCATCATCGAGTGGTAATAGTGGGTTGGTGAATTCACCATCACTCCTCTTGGTACCTCCATCATCATCATCAACAGAGGCCGATATTAATATATTATTTCTAACTCAAACAATTTGCCCAATTTGTTCGTTTGTTGAAGATGGAAAGGGATTGGAAAAGGAACATTGGAAAGAAGGTCACATAGTAAAGAGGAAGGATGATATTTGGCTAGTAATTAAGTGTCAAGAACATGGCAATCAGGAAATTAAAATTAGTTCTAGTTTTGATTTCTTCATGAAGACGTTGGATTACTCTCCCGATATTCTAGAATCAAAACCTAATTTCAATCCAGATATTGAAGAGTTGGAAAAACAGATTCATAATGATGGAACAATAATAGAGAACACACCACTCATGGTTGATTTGGATGTTTATTCGGAGGAACAATTTATTCCTGACCAACATATTTTGCATTCCATCAAGGAAACTATGAAATTAATACCAAAAGATAAGAATGTATGTTTAATTATGATTATTAATTATTAATAATATATTTATAATTAAATGTTCATTAATTGATAAATTAAAATTACAGGTAATAATTAGAGTGAATGGAAAATTAGTGGAAGATATGGTCACTTTGAATAGGAAGGTGAATTTGATTCTTGCCAATGTACCAAAGGATAATCCAATAGTTTTAGAGTTATCATTTGATAGAGTTGTTCAACTTTCAAAGCTGGACGATACCTGCTTGTTGAATCCTCGTATTCACCCATCTGTACAAATATTCCTTCAAAAAGGAATTGAAAAGCAAACTGCTTTAGAGTTGAACAATGCGTTTTTGATATTGAAACAAATTACCAATTTGACAATAATTGTCAGAATTGTTGTCAGTCGACCATTCCCAAAGTTGGATTCAATTTTGAATTTACTTCGTTTTCCAATGAAGGGATTTTGTAGATTTATTATTATCGAGGCTGAGAGAACACCAAACCAAATCATGAAACAATTTAAAAAGTAAGTTTTGATAATCATCTGATTTACTCATGTTTATTAGATGTGCTGTACCTTTTAATGAAGTTGACGAGTCTTTCAATGTGGATCCTTTGGAGTTGCTAAAATTAATTGAGGAAGATACTAAGGGACAAATTAAATTGGATGACTTTTTCCCTGCCAGTGTGGGAATGATTTTGGAACCATTCCTATCAGTTCTTGGAAAGGGAAATTACAATATTCGACCATCACCATATTGTGGATTTGCTACTTGTCTCATTAATTCTGAAAATCAGCAAACATACCCAAGCGTTCCAATTTCTAGACTTTTGGACATTGAAAGATTATTCAAGGAAATGGTGCCAATAGTTAAGAATATCAAGGCATCGAGTGGCTCCAGTTCAGACATTGGATTTTTGCAATACATGTCTCTAAAAAAGGCTGTGGAAAAATCTAAAAGGGAGCACCCGGAGTATCCACTCCCAAAAGACTTGTTCTCTTACATGATTTCAAAAGACCATACCATGATCAAAAAGACCAGACAAATCATTGACGATTTGCAGTTTCTTGTTGTACATAATGTCATGGATGTTGGCACTTTGGATATTAACAGAAGAGCTAGATGTACACTTTGTAGATACCAACCAGATAAGGGTTTTATTTCCTCCTGTACAAATTGTATTTAATTGATCCTTTATTTACCTTATTAATAAAGGAATTGTAAATTTTGAACCATTCATAGGAGACGGAGTTGGCATTCCATTGCGGCTTTATTATTTGTTTCGCAATTTATCCAGCAATCTCCACGAAATAAGATTTTCATAGGAGTTGTACAACTAAAGTGAAATATTTACAAAGAATATACTTGTCGGTGAGAGGATTGATTGAGGTAGAGCTTATTGTGCACTGCTCCTTCTCTCAATCGTTCCAATTCAAAAGTTGCATAAACTATTAAACTTGAGACAAGGATTTCATTTTAAACAACTTACTATCGGAATGAATAACATCACACATATTGACAACTCCATAAACATCCAATGTATAACCTTCTGACGAGTTAGTATATCTCCCATTGAATGCTTTGATGGTCTTGTAACTTTCATAATCTTGAAAATAATTCAACACATCTCTTTCTAAATGTTTCGAAATATTGATCGAAAATAGTTGAAGATTGGAAAGGTTTGAAATCATATCCAAAATGTCAACCAATTCAAAATGTTCGATTGGATCTGTTCTTGATTCCTCTGATTGACTCTCAATATCTGTATCTTCCAACTCTTCTGGTTCTTCATAAAATTCAGTTTCTAGTATTTTAAATTGTTCCAGTTTCATTGATCCAATTACTTTCAACACAGATTTGCTTAATTTACAAGTCAAAGCAATTGATAATTGTTTCAAATTTCTAAAGGAGGAAATGACTTGAAAGTATGAATCACAATACATGTTTCTACTATATAACTGAAGTGAAAATGATTCGATAGAAGTTTTTCCGGCTAATTGTTCAAAATCTTGTGGTGAAATATCATCTCCAAATTCTAAATGTCGCAACAAGTGCATATTCCTAACAAAATTAATCATTTCAGATAAACATTCTGCCTCTTCGTTCTCATCATTTTTTGCAAAACTTCCTCCAAACTTTCTTAATCTCTTAATTTTCAACACTTTCAAATTGGTCCAATTTACAAAGAGAGATTGAATCAATGCAAATGAATAATACCCTCCTTTCAATGTCAAAATGTAAATAGTTGTGAAAATACTTACTAAGGTCCAAAAACTCCAAACCTCTTGTCCACCAACTCATCTCAAATTGCATAGGTGACCCATTCCATGAGAGGTGCTTTAACGAGTGACCATTACTCTCAAATGCTTTGAAAAACTCTTTTGGAAACTTTTCATAATATTCTTCAATATTGTAAAACCGAACATTATCCGTTAGATCATCTTCCCCTTTAAAAGTTTTAAGATTTGAACATTTCGAAATGATAAATTCCAGTAATTTAGGGCATTTATATAAATAGGTTCCAGTAACATCCAATTCCACTATTTTTCCTAATTGATTCTCAATCAAATCTGTAAATCTCAAGAATCTCCTCTCAATAATCATTCTATAGGAATTCACCCAATCCTTCTTCTGCATTTCCATCTTTGATATTTCGAATAAATTAAAAATATACTTTGTGGCGGAATTATTCTTATTGAATTTAAATTCATCAAGAGAAAGTAATGGTATTGAAATTAGACTAATTATTTCAGAAGGTGAATTAACATGTCTGAAATCGATTCTTATAAATCTGAACATGAATCTCACCAATCTATCCTTAAATCTTCCATAATATCTCCTAATAAATTCCTTAATCATTATCTTTCCATTGGGTGTTGAAAGTGATTTGTTGCATTCTCCACCATAGAAATCCAAAATATTCCAAATTGAATCGGAATCTAATGATTGCAATAGGAGAGCATATTTTGATCGGTTTTTCTTCTGTTGTTGATGAAGATTTTGAGGAAATGCAACCATTCTATTTACATGATTTGAAACGTAATTTGTAACTTTTGGAGAAGATGGAATTTGATGCTGTTTTGACGAGTTTTTGCTTTTTGGAATCATAATTATTTCCTCCTCTTGATCTTGATTAGGATTGGAATCAATAAGGGTCCCTGATGAGTTGTTTTTAGTATTTCTTGTTCCGATCTTCAATTTTTGTATTCTAAAAGTGTTTGATAGTGCTACAGAGGTGAACCTTACAGAATTTTGATCAGCATTCTTTTCGCTTTCCTTAATGTTCATTTTTGTTTTATTAAACGTAAACACAAAAGTTTGAGGACAATAAGTCGTGCTATTTGAATTTAATCCTATTTTTACTCATACTCCAAAAATCTATAAAACAGATTTTCATCATGAATGTAAGCCTTCCTAGCTCAGTTGGCAGTAGCGCTGTCCTAGTAAGACAGAGGTCTTGGGTTCGATTCCCAAGGGAGGCAATCTTTTACTGCGCTGTGGGTTTGGTTATTTTGAAAAAAACATTGCATTTTAATTTATTTTACATTCTCAGTTATCCATTTTCAAACTACTATTCAGTAAAGACAAGGATAATTGAGCTTTCTCGTCTGTTGGATTCAATTGAATGGCTTTCAATAAATTGTCACGAGACTTGTTAAACTCTTTCATGCTATACAGTATCTCTGCTTTGATTCTATACAATTCATGTGGTTGGACATTATGATGTCGGATTTGTTTTTCGTGAAGTACAATACCACGATTTATGTCATCAAGTGCTCGCTTCAGCTTGTTGGCATGAATGAAAGCATTTGCCCTTGAAAAGAAGACTACTAATTTCTTATCCTCATTTTCCAATGCTAAATTAGACTCTAGTTCAATAATTTCCTCTTCTGAACTGTCACGGAGTAGTACAGAGAAATCACTAATAGCTTGTTGATACTCATTCAAGTTGAGATGACACAGAGCTCTATGATAATAACACAAACTTGAATCAATGACATGTTGCTGAGTTGATTTTTTAGATGCAAATAGCAGAATAGTTTGAGAATAGTCATGAGATGCTTCTCTATACTTTCCCATATTGAAATAACAGGTAGCTCTTCCATAATGTCCCAATATTTGATAAAAAGTGTTTGGATGGAAATTTAAGATGGTTGAGAAACAATTCAAAGCTTCTTCATATCTATTCAGAGAATTCAAGCAATTTCCAGATTCTAACCAAGACATCCCCACTATGTGTCCCTGTTGAGAATTTCCAATGTGTTCATGATGATGACTTGTTTTGGAAACCTGAATAATTTTTTGATAGAATTCAAGAGCCTCTTGATAGCTTTTCACTGCTTTCATACTAGACGCCATTGAATACATACATTTTATGTCATTATGACGATCGGATTCTTTAGAAACTTGACATTTCTGAGAGAAGAATCTACTACTACTTGTTGACTTGACATTAATGTTCAAAAATTGAGCACAAACTGTTGTATTTGAAGAATACTTGGAAAGGATTCTGGCAAGTTGCTTTAGATTCATTTTTTTAACCTTCTTGCTGCTAATATAAAAAACTAGAGATTACAATTACCAAGTTGACCGAGAAGATCTGCCCTAAATATGTCCAAAAATGGAGAAAAGCAAGAATCTGTAGCGCTAATTTTTAATGTATTGAGGAATAATGAGATTCTTAAATGTTGCTAAATTCAATTTCCTTCCTCAATATTGGAGTGAGTGAGACTTTGGAATTTGTTTTCTTATTGATATTATTTATCAACCATGTCTCTCCTTTTTAATGTTTAGAAATTGTGTATATATACTTTGATTTGGTTTTCTGAATATCAATTCCTGCTATCCATATTTCACTCATGAAGGATACTAAAAAATGGCTAATCATTCCAAAGATAATTACCATCATGCTAAAAGATATGAATGATAACAACAAATCTCACATCTGTCACTCACTTGTCCCCTCCAAACATCTCTAAAAAAATGTCCAATTTTATTGGCTGGTTGAAACAATCATCTACAAACAATTCATCACAAGTAGTGGATGATCTCGCCCAATTAGAAAACAATTCCTCATGTTCAACAACAGACAGCAAGAACATGAAACAACAAACTGAAAATAGTAAACAAACTGCTAAGAAATTGCCAACAATAACAACAATTAAGGATATATTTATTGATGAAATTACTATACATATAGCACGGTATTTGCCATTGCGAGATTTGAATGAATTTTCACAAGTGGATTCACATTCTTTGAAATTATTATTTAATTTGGAAAAGAATTTTGGAGGAAATTCATTGGAAGAAAATGGCATTGGACAAATGGATTATGATAAGGATGAAGTAATGGAGTTTGAAAGAGTTCAACAATTGATTTGGGCACCTCTGGTTCAATATTGTTTCCCTAAATTTGGAAAGAATCTAAATGTTAAAAATTGGATGCATGTACTGAGACGTAGAATGAAACATATCAAATTGCACGGGAAAAACTTTATTATTGACACTCCTGAATTTGCAAAAACAGTAGAGCAACAAGTATACATTGAGAATTGCGAATTTATTTACAAATGTCCATTGCAATTCAATCAGTTACCATCCATTTCTAATGTCAGATTTTGTAATGTTTGTAACAAGAATGTTTATATGGTTCATGATATGGAATCATTTGAAATGCACATGATACAAGGAGATTGCATTGCCTTTACTCCTATCCCTCCGATGCCAACTTCAATTCCAATGCCAATTACAAGCATTGCTGGTGGAATGCGTCCTCCACATTGGATTTCAACTACTCCTCTTACATCGGTTAGGGCTAGTCCAAACCCCACCAAAGAATCATCCAGAAATGAAATTAAAACACCTAAGAGTGACAAGTAGAATTTTAAATGTGAAATAGTTCAATAATCTATCTGGGTTTATTCTTCTGCTCTTTATTCTATTGATATTCATTTATTAAGACAGAGGTGTTTATCATTTATTGAAATTGTTATACATAGTACTGAATGAAACAAATATTTGTTAACGATCCATTATTATGTTGGATTACAAGACTAATCCAACGAAAGATTTAAAACATGCATGAAGATCTCTCAATCATGATGATCAGTGTAGTCACTATTCATCATGATTGTGATTTCTTGATCTTGAATGTTTCAGGGCAAACTCTACCATTTTTCTTCGGATGAGTTTATACTCATCAAAGAGTTGAGAGTTTTCTCCCCAGTCACTCTTGTATTTCATCTTTCGTTTGTGAGTGTCTTTGAATTGTTTTTCAAATGTTAAAAGGGATTTCTTCAGTTGTTGCTTTTTGTTTCTCATCTCTGCATAATCTGGGTTTTTAAGGAGTATTTGTTTAAATTCTGGTGATTGAATTTGTGATGATTTTCCTCTAAGTGAGAATGAAATAGATCTTCTTCCGTCCATATACGGATTGTTACTTAATCTATTTCCATTCTTATGGGAATAACTGTTTCGTTTAAAAACAGCAACTTGATGTAAAGGTGATTCCATACTCATTTGTGAGAGGAATGATCTGTTTTTAGATTCGAATAATTCATAAAGGTCTCTAGCTTGGTAATATCGTTGGTAAATTGGCCTCAAGTGCTCTTTAACTTCTTTTGTTGGTTGAGAATGTTTGGCTTTCTTGTAGGCCTCTTCAAAATTATATATTTCCTCTCTGATAATTGTTTTTTCTAGATACAATTGGTTTACATTCCATTTCTCATCTACCCTTGTAGTATCTAGACCTTTGAAAACTGTTTGAGAGTAGTAACCTCTTTTGATGGTTAATCTTGCATTGATTGATTCAATTGGAGAGTTAATATCTATTGGATGTGATTCAAGTTTTTTGATTGTTTCTTCTGTTAGTGGCTCAATATCTTTGTGTGAATTCGAATTAGTGTCATGTGTGGAAGAATCATCTTCAGCAGGGGAGGTTACATCCGAAGCGTGATCCAAGTCTTTGGTATATTCTTCAACAGCAGATGATCTACGTTGACTATTGTTAGTGGCATAAATTGATGTATCCTCAGGTTCTTCTGATTTCCATGAGGCCTTCTTAGGAGGTCTCAACATGGAATAACCATCATTCAAAGTTCTCTTAAATGCCTTGTGAGCAGATTCGTCCAAAGTTTCATTAACAATATTTTTCACTAATTGAGTAATGTCATCGGTAGAATAGGTAACTTGCTTTGATTTGTTGTCATCATTAAAAATAATTCTTGTACTCTCTGGTCTAAACAATCCTCTACCAGCAGATGCAGGAGAGTCTTCATTCAATTTTAATTCAATGAGTGAGAGACCCTTTCTCTTATCTTGTCCTCCACCAAATCTTCTTGAAGATCTATTTCCAGGAGAATTATCAGTATCACCAGCTTTTGGTTTTTCTGCAGCTGGAGAGTGAGCAGCTGTGAATTGTGAAAGAGGATCATCCATAACAGCAATCTTCTTATTATCAACAGCAATTGATCCAAACACGGTATCAGATTCTCTAATTAATAAATCGACACAATATCCTTGATGAGAAACATCACCAAGCATTGCAGTTGGACTGTCATTTAGAGAACGGAACAAATTAGGACCAAAAACAATTGACAAGTTAGTAATACTCATTTTGTTCTCATCATGATGTTGAGCAACAGCTTGTAAATGTCTAATAACAAAATACAAGACATATCGACAACTTTCTGGTAATTTCTCTATCAATCGTCTCATTTCATCTGCACTAGCTTCTCTTGGTTTGTTCTTTCTAGTTCTTCCAATCTCCATAAAATCATTATATAATTCATAGGATGTGAGTGGTTCTGGTAATTTCTTCAAGTACTCCTTCAATACACAACAAACAGTGTAAGGGTCTTGAGCTTGTAGATCTGGATCTTTTCCAGTATCGTAGGCTTTAACTAAGGCTTCAATGGAATTCTTGGCACCTGCTCTTCTATAAATACCCTCTTCATGGAGTGCATATCTTTCCACAGCATCAACACATCTAGTCAATGGAAATGGTAAACCATTGAGAATGGGTGATTGTTTAATAGCTTGTTCGAGTGGTAAGCCAAACACCTTTTTCTTCTCTATTATATTTCAATTGAAAATAAATTAGATTTGTTGTTGGTTATGCAGTAATATTATTATTATTATTATTCAACAGGATTAGAAGAATGGTATTAAATGATGAAGGAGTTGTTCGCAGCGTTGACAAGTTGATGAAAGTTGAATGAAACGGTTATAATTGGTGGAGAACATGGAACATGATATGAAGTAGACGGTATGATGATTATTAGAAGTGAATTGTTGTGAGTGGTTATCGTAGTGATAATGGTAAGATTTTGTTATTGTTGAATATGTTGTGGTAAAGTTATGTTATCAAAATGTTGTTGGTTAGTCAAAGTGTAATCCACAAAAATAGATATGAAAATACAGAATAGATCGTTATTGGATAGAGAGTGATAACGTGTTGTTAGAATGATGAAGAGAGTGGTGATGAATTAGATAATTAATTTAGAGTTTGATGATGATAAAATGTAGATATGAAGTAATATTCGAATAAAAAGTTAAACGGACTGAAATCAAGCAGCACACACTTACTGAATATATTAACCATGGTGTTTGTGGTTGTTGTATTCTTATTGTTGGTTTATTAATAAGTTCAAGACAATAGGAACGTTGACGTCGTCAGGACGCAAATTGTGTATCACCAAGAAAATGGAGCTTTGTGATGACACGTGAAGGTTCTGGATGAGTCGATTAAAATTTTTTTAAAAATCTCTTAACGTGTCAACGTCAAATAATGAAAATAAGAAGGTGAAGTTTGAACAAAAATAAACAACAAGAATTTCTGGAAGTTAAAACAAGCCTTTTTGATGTTGTGAATTTGCAGCCTGGCCTCATAATAATACACAATCCAGAACTAGTTGAAAATGTTGGAGTTTTTACATGAATATTTAAAGAGAACGAAGAGCAGAATTGACAACTAATATCACACCATCTCCTCTCAAGAATAGCATTCCAATTTTACGAGTAGTACTCTTTAGAAATCAAATTTGTTGATGTGAAATGATTTGAAATACAAACCTTCATTTGTTGTTCGTTTGTTTCCTTATCAATGTCAATTTCATGTATAGTTTCTTCGACATTTCCGAGGACCATATTTAAATGTTGATCGTAAGCCTATTAATACCCATCATCGTCATCGCAATTATATTGTCATCATAATTATTCCGATAATAATAAAAATTTGTAAATATTTAAAAAAGATCACCTACATGTAAAGTTCCTCGCAATTCACGATCTCCCTTCAGTTTAATATAAACCTGTTCATCCAATGATAGTCTAATTAAATCAAGTGGTTCCAATACTGTTGTTGGTGGCATTTTTATTTAAAATTTGATTTTTAATTCTTTTTAAAAATTGTGTTGTTAAACAAGAAGGCTGTACCTTGCAGGGAGAAGAACTACTCCCCGAATATGAATCACCAATTAATTGTGTTAAATAATTTCTAAATATATTGAATGTAGAAAGAGTTAAATGTTAAATTATTCCGAACACTTGGCCAACAATATTAGAATTGCATTATTCAAAGCCTAAAAATTGTTCAACAAGTAAAACGATGCTTTCTCAACCATCACTGTCGACACAAACAGGTGATAATACTAATGATTCGAATAATAATACAATTATTACCATTGAAAAACCGAGAGCCTATCAATTGGAATTGCTTCGGGAATCAATCGATGGAAACTCAATTTGTATTCTACCAACAGGTACAGGAAAAACACTTCTAGCCTGTCTTTTAATTGATCAATTATTACATCAAAATGATAAAAAGGAATATATGGGAGATGAATACTTTTTATCCTCAAAGTGTTCATGTTGCATTTCTGATCAGAAGAAACCACCAACTAATGGACCACCTGATAAGAAGAAACTAACAAAGAAGATATTCTTCTTGGTTCCAACGACTGCATTGAGGAAACAACAACAGGAGGCTATTTTCAAATATTTCTACAAAAGGGAATGTAGCAAAATGAAAATTAAGAAGGACTTTACAATTGATTCGAGCAAATCTTGGAATGTTATTGTGAGCACTCCTCAAATATTGTTGAATGCTCTTCAGAGTCAAATAATTTCTTTTGAAGATATCTTGTTATTGGTTTTTGATGAGGCTCACCATGCTACTAAGGATCATCCCTATGTTAAATTGATGAGAGATTATTATCACAACAACAAGCCTATTGATCCTTCACTATTAGCATATAATTTCAATTTCCTTAAAGATAGACAACCAATTGAGCTTCCTAAAATTTTAGGTCTTACTGCGACACCGGCTTCTCAATCTCTCTACAAGACAAGTCTTAATGAACATACCTTATTTTTGAGAAAGGCCAAATTAGAATTTAGCCTTGATGCTTCCATCAAAGTACCTTATGATTACATGGAAGAGATGAAAAAACATGTCAACAACCCGAGACAACATAGCGTAGCTTATTCATCTAAGAGTGAGTTGATAGAGCCATTGAATGCATTGAAAACGTTTCATTCATATCATAATTTTAGAGATATATCAGTTGATGATATAGAGAAGAATTATCGTGAATTAGGTTTGATTGGAAGTCTTATAATTATTTCACTAATATGTGAGTTGGATGTTTTTGAGTCTTTCAAATCATTTTATCCAATTTTTAACTTGAATCAACCAATTGAGTTTTCAAGTATGAATGAAATTAATTCTTCACCTTTCATTTCAGATAAGGTCAAAATTCTATTTGATTTAGTCGATACATATGAAAATACAAACGAAAATATGAGATGTATCATATTTGCTGAGCGAATTGTTCATGTAAAGGCAATTGTAAAAATGTTTAGAATGTATAGAAAGTTTATACCTCTAAATTGTAAAGAGTTGATAGGAAGTTCAGTTATGTCTCGACAAGCTCAAGCAACTGTAGTGAAGGAATTTTCACACACTACTCGACTTCTCGTAGCTACAAAAGCCGGAGAAGAGGGTCTGAACATTTCCAAATGCTCTTTAGTGGTTCAATTTGATATTTGCAACACAACTAGAGAACATATCCAGTCTATGGGTAGAGCGAGGCACGAACTTTCAAGATATGTAGTACTTTATGATAAGGATGATTATTCCCAAATCATCATGTTAACCAATATGGGTAACAATGAGCGAAGCATCATTGTAGATACTGCCTTGGAGGAGCTAAAAGAATATATTAAATCTGAGAAGGTTATTATTACAAATGATACACAAGAGGATATTGAACCACTCATTTCTTCAATAGAGAATCTTTCAGATGACGAAGAGATAGAGAAGAAAGATACATACATTCCAAAGCCAATTAGATATGAGGGGCCTAAAGACAACAATAATGTCAAATTATTTGTTAGTCAAATGATAATCAATAGCAACGGAAAGGAAGAAATGACTGCTCTTTTGACTTTTGGAGAGATTCAATATCCGTTTGAAGTGACTATGCATCCTTTATGGCTGAAACTTTTCCCTTGTGGATTCATAACAGTAACCAAGTCTGAATATGAAAAATTGATTGCATTTTACATGAGATTATGTAGAATTATTTACAATAATTATGCTCTTAAAGATTATTTTTATGGAGATGGAAGATTCTACTTGGTACTTCCTTCTTGTAGAGGAAACCAACCAAGGGATGTCATAGATTGGAATGTGATATATACATTCGAAAAAGAGTTATCCCAGAGTGAGAAAGATTATCCCCAGTCAATGACTATATTAGATCATTTGAGATTAGGAGTGAGGGTACCGATCGATTATTTTATTGTAACCACATATAATAAGGATTTTTATGCTCCAAATTATATTGATGAGAGTTCTACACCCTTAGAATCTTTTGAGAAACAAGGATCTACTATAACTTACCAAAGCTATTTGAAGGATAGATATGAAATTATGTGTGATTCAAATCAACCAATGTTATCTGCATATTCTCTCAAGTACCACAGATATGTCATGTTGATACCAGAATTCTGCAAACCAACTAGTTTAAGGATAGATTTTATCGAATCCCTAAGAGCAGTATTTAAGACGTCCAATGAAGGAACATTGATGAGTTTAGTAGAGCAGACCCTTGTAGCCCACGATTTGAAAAATCAAATGTTTCCAAGTTGTGGTTATATTAACTTGTCAGAGTTAAGAAATGCAATAACGCACAGAACTAGTCAGAATCTGGATACTAACTATGAAAGATACGAATTTTTTGGTGATACTATATTGAAATATGCTGTTGTTTTGGATATAGTTCTGAGATTTCCATTCGAGAATATGAAATTTTATAATGAGGAAAAGACTGCCAAAGTTTCAAACTCCAATTTGAGGAAGTTGGCCCAAAAATTATCTATTATGGACTTCTTTATCGAAACTCAGTACTATCATCACAATGTGGCTGGTATTGCTTTCTCTAAAAGCGAACAGGAAGCTTCTGTGAAAGGCAAAAAAGTACGTGCTGATATAATTGAAAGTTTAATTGGTCTCGTTGGTAAACACAGTATTGAAGAAGGTGTAAAATTGGCTAGAGATTTGAAACTGGTCAAAAAGCAGAATTTTATTGCTGACAAATTTATATTGAATTCAAATCCAGAATATGTCAAGCGTATCATTGAAAACACAATACCAGACATTGAGAAAAATGCTAAAGAATTGGAACGAATTATTGGATACAAATTCAAAAATATTCTATATGCATACTACACATTAATTCACCCCTCTGTTGATATTGGTTTTAATGTGAATTATGAAACTCTGGAATTCGTTGGCGATGCTGTCTTGGATTTATATGTTTCTCGAACAATGTTCCATAATTTTTATCTGGACCAGAGTGAAATGCACACGTTCCGTTCCAATTTTGTAAGAAATACAGCATTGGAAAAGATAGCCAAAGACTTTAGAATTGATCAACTGTTGTTTGTAAAGAAAGATCTGAAACTTAAAGCCAAATCTATTTCAGATGTGATGGAGGCATTGATTGGTGCTGTTGCTCTCGACTCTAATCTTGATTGGGATAAGATTACTGATCTGATGGAGTTAAGCATATTCTCACCTAAATTACGTGACTGGCTTGAAGGTATTGAAACCTATGAAAATGAAAAACTACTCAAATCACCAAAACAAGAATTGAATAAGGTGATTAATATCAAAGTTAGATTGAAGAAATACAAAAATAAGGATATGTTTAAATTTTGCCTACCAGTGGATCCATTATTGGCTTGAATGACTTGGCAAATATTATTTCAGAAAGGACCAAAAAGGACTGTTCCAGCTTGAGATACTATTATTTGGATGAAGAGAATGAATGGATTACTTTCGATACGCAGAAGGAATGGATAGATCTACTTTCACGATACAACAACTCCAACTCGACTTTGAATCTTTCCATTTACTGAGAGAATAATTGAGCCACTTTGTGGTTAAATTAGAAATTGTTTATTTACAGTATGGAGATGATAGCCATCATAATTGGAAGCACAATAAATATTAAAGCTGAATTAGATTCGATTGGTTGTTTTGGAACACTATCCAAATCTGCACAAGTTGAATTGTTAGATAGATTGGTATTGCTATCCTTCTCCTCTGGTATTTCTACTTGAGGATTGACAATTAGTGAATCGACTGATTCAGGTTGTGATGGAATTTCCTTTTGTGTTTCTTCTACATTACCGATTCGTTTCTCCAATTCTACCTTTGAATTTATCAGATCTTCAATTTGAGAACTCATTTTCTTGATAATTGTTTCCAGTTCATCAATTCTTTTTTGTTGATTATCCATCTTACCAATAAAATGCTCTAACATTGGATTCTCCTCTTGATACTTAATATTATGAGTGTTGACGTTTCTTTCAACAGGAATAACAGGACTCTGTATTTCCTTATTCATCATTTTGGTTGGAAAGAGCAGCACGGCCAACAACAAAGACATCATTCTATGGAAATAGCTCACAAACAGTGACTCTCCAAAATTAGAAGCAATATTCGATTCCAAACCAATCTTCTCAACCAATTCCTGTGAATACGTATTCTTTATCACAGCAATAGGTTGATTCGGTTCTGAAAGGGAAACTTCTTCAAAATTATCCATCGATTCATCAAAATCCAAAGTTCTCCTCACACCATTCACATTCGACGAGTTACCACGTGGTGTGTCCATCATCATTGCACTCAATGGTGATGAAAACAGCATTTCATTGTCATGATTAATACGGGAAGCATCAATGGTGAGAGAATTTGATTTGGTAGGAGTGTGGAGAAGTGAATTCTGCTTACTGGGCGAGAGAAGGAGCATGGTTAGGGCCATATTCATCATTGTAGATGATTTGTTATTATTGTTAATTGATGAGGTTGTATTTGCTTGCTGTTGTTGTTCTATTGTTGATAATGATGAGGAAGGATGAAATCGATTAGAGGCAATCGGACTCGATAACATATCTTGAGAGGATGATGTATTGGTGGAGACATAGTTGAGAAATTGTGGAGTATTCATCATCATGAGAGTGGATGCTTCATCACCAAGATGATGACTATTTGGTGTTTCCATTTTGCGACTTTTTTTTCAAATTGTTATGTAACGGTCAGAAATTTGAATTTGGGTCAAAAAGATTTTATTAATGAAATATAATTTAATAGGAAAATGCAATATATTACACAATCTTAAATCAAGATGTAATTATTGTAAACAATTAAAAAAAATGGAACAATCAAAGCGATCAATCATCAAACTCTTAAATTCCACCTCCAACAACCAAGAAGATTTTAGAATAATTAAAAAGCTTCCAAATCATGTTATGATTGCCAATCAGCAACAACAATACGAGAGAATAATTGCTCTCCGAATGAGAAATCAACAATTTGTCTGTATATTAAAATCCTTGTCATCACTAGCACCAATGAATTTAGAAAGCAGCTGCTATTATCAAGGATTGCAATCGCCTCTAACGATGCTCTTACCGACCAGAGATAATATTTATCAGGCATGTGATGGTGGCACCAATGATTCCTATTGTGTTGTGATGAATTGTGTGTTGAGAGAAAGATTATCCCAAATTAAAATTGAAGTGACCGATGGAATTATATTGCAAATTATTTATCAATATTTGGGAATGATGAAGAAATTAGATGATTTCTTCAAAAAACCAAATCATCAGAGAAAGTGCAATAGACCTGAAGTTAGTGTTGAAAGATTTGATAGAAAATCAAAAAGAATTGATTTAATATTTGGATCGACCGATTTGTTGAGTAATTGTGATGATGAACAAGATGCTGATAGGTTGTTAGAAATATCAGACGAATTATGTATAGGAAGAAATGAGTTTGAAAAAGAGATGGTATTTGAGATTGTGGAATTTATCACACAAGAACATGGACAAAAGAATTTTGATACACGAGTTATCTTACCTCGATTGGAAAAAGCATTTGAAAGAAACGAGTTTTCATCTATTTACCTCGATGTGTTCAAATGTATTATGAATGGAGGTCCTAAAGCCTATAATAATCTACTCAAATCCAGTTTATTTTCAACAGAGACACCAAGATGTGAATCTTTTGGATCATTCTTCAGCTCTCTTAATGAAAAACTTACAAGTTCAAAGAAAGTTTTTATGGAAGCATTCCAAATTGGCTCTGATTTAGCTCGCTGTATCCATAGCTCCTTGTCTGCTGATAGGGACATTATCAAAATGTTAATCGAAAGTAATCCAACAAATATTCAAAACATAGATACAAATTCTATTGAATCTGACCGGGAATTCATTAAGGAATTAATTGATATTAATCCATTGATTTTGGTGCATGGTTATTTCGAAAGCTTGGCTAAAGATGAAGAACTGTGGTTGAGGGCTATTTTGAAGAATCCTATTTCAATGATGGGTTATTACAGAGAGGACTATTCAGAATCTGAGAATTTTAAACAAAAATTGAAAGAGATTGCTGTTGAACATGGCTATTTGATTACCCGTTGTGATTTGGCAGATCTATTCTTAAATGACCGTGAATCTATCATGAAATTACTCTCAAAATATGGATATGCATACCCAAGAATTCCAGATGGATTCAAAGCAGATCTAGAAATTGTAAAGATTGCTCTCTCGAATTGTGGACATGTATTTAGCAATATTCCTAAAGAATTGAAGAACGATAGAGAACTGGCTTTGATAGCTGTGAAAGAGAATGGGTGTGTTTTCAAAATGTTGGATTCTGAGCTTAAACAAGATCCAGAAATCATCACCCTCGCAGGAAAATATGCGAAACCAGATGAAGATTACTATTGATAAATTATTATTCAATCATTGCAATTTAAACCAATTGTAGTTGGTTAGCGGATAGTTTATGCTTAATAAGTTTTCATTGTTTTCTATTTCAATATTAAGATTTTGATAAGATGAGTGGCTACGGCCATATCACGATGAATGCACCTCATCCCGTCCGATTTGAGAAGTTAAGCATCGTCGAGCCACATCAGTACTGAGGTTGGAGACAACTTGGGAACCTGTGGTGTTGTAGTCTTTTATTTCTATGTTTCAATCCCAAGTAGAATGAATACTATTTTCATATAAAATGTACCACAATTTTTATGACATTAATGAACGGTCTAAGCCCAATAAATATAGGTGATAAATTCCTCTCTCTTAAATTTGGTTCTTTTAAAATGATGCAGAGGTGCTACTCTATTCTTCTCTGAGAGATGTGCAGTGGTTTCCCCAATTGTTACGACTAACAGCGTAATTACCACTTTCGAGGTGCTGACTACCTTGAACCCCTTGAGTATGGCTCAACCTTAAAGAGTTATTAACAACGATAATAGAAAATAATCTCAAACAACAACTCCAAGTTGAGGTGTACATCCAGTGTTCTTAGCTATTGGAGGCAAGATAGAGCTTATCGGTCTTAGCACAAAAGAAATCTTGTTGATTTGGATTCATATATGAAATGAAGAACAATTATAATTTTAATACAATGTTGTTTATATTTATAATACAATTTAAACCAATGGACCATACTTGGCAACGAATGGAGAAGTACCCATAGACTTTTCACCCTTCTTAACACCAGTATTAGCATCAATGATATCAGCAAGAGTAACCTTTTCAATTTCCTTCTTGAACAAGGAACGAGCCCATGTTTGAGGATTGTGAGAGTAGAAACAGTTATCTCCCTTTACAAAGTTTTCAAATTGAGTCTTGAGTAAGTGAGTACCTAATTCACCCAATTGAGAGTTTTCAACCTTTTGTTCGAGGAGAATTCCCAACCATGGTTCCAAACCAACCAAATTGACACCCCAGAATGAGATTAACTTGGCTTGAACATCAGCACGAGATGTGATTTGAGTAACGTTGAGAGCTGGGAAACCGAGGGTAGTTCTAATGGTATTGTAATCTGGAAGACCAACATCTCTACCTCTTTGAATGTTTCTGGCAACAAGATCCAAACGACCTCTGATAACTTGACGTAAACCATCAACAACCTTTTCATCCAAGTTTTGAGCGTGATGCTTGATGAGACCTCTCAACAAATTATCCAATTCTTCAGCAGATTGAGTTAAAACTGGATAAGCATTGAAAGCATTACCAAAGTCAATTGGAGCTAGTTCACTACCATTACCAGTGAATCTCTTCATATCACACCCAACAGTACTGTGGCCAAATCTAAAAGCAGCAGTGGCAAATTCTGTAGTAACAGTTGTCTTGACTTCTTCATCATAACACAAGTCTTTTGGTTTTGGAGCGAATTTACCCAAAATTCTTGGCAAATATTCATTGTATGTAATGTGTTGGATTTGAGCACAGTTAATGGTACGAGCAGTTTGATAAATCCATTCATCAGCTCTTGAGTTTGAAAGTTGTTGTTGAGATACTCCAAATCTGGAAGCTACTAATTTTGCCAATCTGTTATGCTCTCTCAACATTAAAGTTTGCATGATTGAGATTGGAAGGGCTTCAGTTGCTCTATTGTCTCCAGCTATTACAGAATTGTTGACCGTTCCAATGAAGAATAATCCACTCTTTGGATCAACAAAACTCTTTGGCAAAAATTCCTTTCCATATTGGACATCAGCCTTTAAGAAACCACCAACTTTTTCACGAAGAGCATCAGCACGAATCTCATCAGAACCATAGATTTGACTACAATCCATATAACCAGTAACAAAGTTCACTTGATTGACTGGCTCATTAACATAAGTTGGCTTGTCAGAGGCAAAGACAGCTCTGGTGAATGGAAGAGCAGTTGTCCAAACATCACCAGGAGGTACTTCAATATTTAAAGTTTCAGTAAACTTTAAACCAGCTCCTTCATTGGAAATATCATGATCCACAAATTGACCATACGCATAAATCATTGAACTATCATTGAAATCATTAGATTCATCACAGGTAGTTTGCTTACTGAAAGCATTAGAAATAACTCTAGCACTCAAAGTCAAACGTGGTGGATCTTTAACACCATCAGTATAGGCAGCCTTAGTTAAACGTGGAAGTGATTCACCTGTACGTCCCCAAGTAACGTGTTTCTTATTTACATTGACACCATCGTGAGAGTAACAATTCTCATAGACTGGTGTGAAGAGTTTGAACAGGGAGAAACTGTCAATTGCCTTTGAATGAACAAAGCCAACCGTCAGACAGAGAGTGGCAATCAATACCACAACACTAAACACAACTGTTTGTCTCATATTTGTTTTTGTTTTTTCTGATAAATTTTTGTGACCTCGTAGTGGATGAGCGAGTGTGAAATATCTTTGATTGACGGTAAAATGTGAAGTTGAAAACATCCATGTAGAGGTAACTTTTGCCATTTGGGAGGTTCTGTGAGATTTTGGATGTTAATAACCGAAGCGTTTTTGGCAACAACCTATCAAGCTTGGATAACAATCAAAATAAGGCCATTACTGAAAGGAATAAAAAACTGTTTCGTATTTTCGTTAAATGGCATGGTGGTTCTAAACGTGGAAGATAAAATGAACTGTTGCTATTGATTACAAAGATGACAGACTGTAGTTGATGAGAATTTCATGTCATGTTGTTTTAGAACCAAGTATCTGAGATGGAAGAACAACTGTAGATGATTATAAGCTATTATTAGTGTAGAGTTCTTGTAATCATGCTTGGAGGTAGTAGCTGGTTTATTGATCTTTGCCAAGAAGGTCAAACTTAACAAAATGGATTATTTTGGATATCAAGCTTGGCACTTGATTTGATTCAGAAAGTGAGTTATTCTTCTTTATCTTTGTATTGTTTCGGATTTTCAATTTCTGAAACTCTCATTACAATTAGTTATCGTATTTTGAATATTTCTATTAAGTATTGCTCTGAAGTGCTTTCAGAGTTCAAAAATTGTTTTCTCAAACTCTTTCGCAAGCAAGAAAACGGGTAGAAAAGGGCAGATCGCAATCAGCAATTACGTGTTTCACAGTGACGATCAATAACAACGTAAAATCCCTGGACAAGAACTGTTTGGAAATAACTGGATATGAGTGATGTATTAGTAAACTCGGAAGTGCCTTGGAAAATATTAATATATTGTGGTTTTAGCAAGGTTGAACCAGTAGCAATGTTAATACGCCTTCTTTAAGAACAATATAACAATTCTTACTTATTGGATCTTCTTCTTTCAAAGTGTAGAAGCTATACAACATCTTGTTTTAATAATTTATTGTATTTATTAATTAAGGAAGATTCTTTAGATTTTGAATTTTGCTGTTTTCAAAGAATGGTGGAATAGTCTGCTTTGATTGCCTGCATCCATCTTTGGATTGGTAGCAAAATGAAAGGTGCACACGATTATATAGATTATATAGTAAACTTGTTGAACCTAGGTGGAACAGAGCAATTTGAGATACCGAGCTAGAAACTATTGATTTTGTAATAATCGTAGCAGACTTGGCCGAGTGGTTAAGGCGACAGACTTGAAATCTGTTGGGGAAACCTTCGTAGGTTCGAATCCTGCAGTCTGCGTCTGAACTTTTGATTTTAAGATTTTCAACAAGATCTTGTTTTTGTGTATTTTATGATGTCTTATAAATTCAAACTGAACTTTCAGCAATTTTTATCAATGTTTAAGGGAAGGAAAATTGTTGTGGAATATCTTGCTGTAAAATCCTTAAACAGTGTCGTATTGTGAACAGCATTGTGTCTTATTAGAATGGTAATGCACGTACAATACAATCCTTGCGTACTGGATAAGATAGCTCCACATGCGCTGAAATTTAGCGAGTTACTACAGCTTCGCTTTAATTCATCTATTAAAAAAATAACGATGAAGAGACAGTACTCTCAATTGATGGTTGCATCCTTGCTGTTGCTTCTATTGCTCAGTATGATGCTTACATCAGAGGTTGAAGCTCGTCGCCGTAGCAAGCCTACTGCTGTTATCAATGCCAATGCCATCATTAGGGCTGTTGTTAATGTAGGTATTATGAAATATTGAAGATTGTTTATATCTGCATGTTATATCATCTTTCATGTGTGTTCTTGTTGTTGGCACCCAATTACATGTATTATTATCAAACTATTTGAATTGGTATAGAAATGTCATTCAACAGGAGATCCTCACTTGAGAACTTTTACAGGCAAAACATTTGATTACTATTCAATTGGTGAATATGTTTTGGCTGAAGCAGCTGACAAGTCCATCATGGCTCAAGCTCGTACCGGTAAATTAAGACATGTTTCTGGTAATATTGCTATTGCAATGACACTCGATGAAGAATCAGTTTTGGAATATCATGCTAACGGTCAATATTTTCTTATTAATGGTGTAAAACAAACTATCCCTTCTGGAAAAACAATTTCATTGACTTCTAAGGGTGCCTCAGTTACATATAATGTTCTTAAATTTGGTCCAAATATTGTAATTAAGAGTAGTTCTGGAGCAATTATTAATATGAATGGTTGGAGTGTTTACAAACAAGGTAATTATATCGATATTTCCTTTGAAGCTCCTGCAACTCTTGATATCAACTATGGTTATTGTGTAAGCTCCACCATGGGTGTTCCAAAGGAAAGTTACTTTGCCAAACCAATGAAGAGGGTTGCCTTGATCAAATCATCAAGTGTTAATGCTGAACTTAAAGAAGCAACTTCAAAGGAAAAAGAACAAGCTCGCAAAGCGTGTGCTAAGGCAGGTATCTCTGAAAAGGATCATCCAAACGATTTCAAGTCATGTTACGTGGATGCGTTGATCAATCCAGATAATGCTTCAAGTTTTGCCAAGAGTATGCTTAAATTGCAGAAAATGGAAAAGGTGTCAAGTAAGGAAGTTGCCAAGGAAGCCATTTCACAAATGGATAAGAAGGATTTAGTTAAAATTGTTTCTAAAGCCGCTGTTCAAGAAGCAAAGAAGCAAGATGTTACACCTGCAAGTGAAAAGAAGGTTGCCAGTGCTTTGAACACCTTATCAACCAATAAGTTACTATCTACATTGGATAAAATTATTGATAATAAGGCCATTGTTAAGATTGAACCACCAAAAGCAAATTCATCACCAACTACAAAACCAAACTCATTCACTGTCAGGTCAGTTTCTGTTAAACCTGTTCCAACACCAACAGTTAAACCATCAAACCCAGTTAAATCACCAACAGTAGTTCCAGATGTAAAGCCTTCTCCAGTACTAACAAAACCTGTACCGGTTAAGCCAACAACTAAACCGGTCAGTGTTGCTACTTTCACCTCTAGCCCAAAACCTGTTGAGGTTAAACAAGTATCAACTCCAAAGCCAACAGTTAAACCAATCTCAAAGCCTGTTGAAGTCAAACCAGTAGTTATTACCAAGCCATCTGAGTCAGTTTCTGTAAAACCAACAATTAAACCTGCAACACCAAAGCCAACAGTTAAACCAACCAATAACGGAGTTAAGCCAGTTATTCCAGATATCAAGACTCCTAAATCTGTTTCTAAACCAACAGAGTTGACTTCAATTAAACCTGATTCAACACCAACTAAACCAGTTAGCGTAAAACCAACTAAACCAACTGTTGGAAAACCACCAGCTTCCACTCCAAAACCAGTATCATCAGTTTCCATTGTAAAGCCAAGAGGAACAGTCAAACCAGTTGTTAAGCCAACAGTTAAACCAATCTCCAAACCTGTTGAAGTTAAACCAGTAGTTGTTACCAAGCTATCTGAGTTAGTTTCTGTAAAACCAACAGTTAACCCTGTAGCAACTCCAACAGTTCCAAAGCCAACAGTTAAACCAACAAGTAAGCCTTCTGATTTGCTCTCTGTTAGACATTCTGCAACTCCAAAACCAGTTAAACCAGTAATTGTTACTAGACCAAATAGTAGCTCAGTTCCAACACCAAAACCAACGGCACACAAGCCAACTCAATTACTCAATAGTGAAAGACCAACTGTAGTTGAAAAACCAGGTACTAAGCCAACAATGAAACCAACGAAACCAGTATCTATTAAGCCAACAGTCAAACCAACAGATGGTGTATCGGCTAACCCAGCAGATTTCACACTTGTTACAAAGCCAACAAAATCTTATGGCTTTGTAAAACCAACTTCTACTAAACCAACAACTGCCCCAACCAACCCTGTGTCAACTAAACCAGTTAAGCCAACAACTAAACCTGATTCCACTCCCACATCAGTCAAGCCAATCTCAAAGCCAAAGCCTGTTGAAGTTAAACCAGTATCAACCCCAAAGCCAGTATCATCAGTTTCCTCTGCAAATCCAATCAAACAAACAGATGTAAAGCCAAGAGGAACAGTCAAACCAGTAGTTGTTAAGCCAACAGTTAAACCAATCTCCAAAGCCTGTTGAAGTTAAACCAGTAGTTACCAAGCCATCTGTGTCAGCTTCTGTAAAACCAACAATTAAACCTGCAACCTCAAAGCCAACAGGTAAACCAACCAATAAGCCAGTTATTCCAGATATCAAGACTCCTAAATCTGTTTCTAAACCAACAGAGGGCAAACCATTGACTCAATTAAACCTGATTCAACACCAACTAAACCAGTTAGCGTAAAACCCAAAACCAAATAGTAGCTCAGTTCCAAAGCCAACAGCAACTCCAACAGTTCCGAAGTCAACAGTTAAACCAGTTATTTCATATATCAAGCCAACAGTTGAATCAATTTCAGAACCAGTCAATGGACCAAGAAATAGACCTTCCCAAAATGTTCTTACCACCAATCCAACAAAGCCATCTGAGTCAGTTTCTGTAAAACCAACTGTTATACCTGCTTTAACTCCAAAGCCAACAGTTAAACATGTAGTAACTTCTGATTTACTCTCTGTTAGAACTCCAAAGCCAAGAGGAACTAAGCCAGTCCATCGTTGCGTTCCAACTTCAACTGTAAAACCAGTATCAAAGCAACCAAAAAAGCACACATCAGCCAAACCAAAGAAATCAACAATTTTTTCAACTTCTCAAAACATTAATACTCAAAGTGTTCAATCCTCTCCAGTAATTAATACTCCAATATATGTTCAATATTAATTTCTTGATCAAATAATATTATTACTACTTGTTTATAAGTTCAGTAATTTCTTTTCCTAATAAATTGTGTACCAAGTTTGCATGACGTTCTGGAAGACGAGCAATGTAGAAGGAGCATTCTCTAAAAGATGTAGTTGCCTTCATAAATTCATTTTTTCCAAAATAATTAATGAAGAATTCTAACCATTGCTGGAAGGGAAAATTACTTGTATGGGCATTAAAATCCAGAATTGTTGGAAGAGTAAACAGAATTTCGGCAAATGATTTGTACATGCTCGGATACAAAGAAAGTGAAAATGAATTCAATAATTCAAAGCGGGTGAAATGGTTGGATCTTATTAGAGAAACAACAAATGATGATTGCAATGGTTCAGACGATTTTCCAATTAATTCGAATATATTTGGTGTGATATATTTCTCAACCAAATCAAGTCCCAAGTTCAATAAGTAATTATAAATTGTCTTTCCAGGTGTAATCTCTCTAATCAAATTGTCATTGAAATATTTAGAATACATTTTCATATTTCTATCAATTTGGTTCAATATTAAATTTGTGGAATTTGGATTTGTTTCATATTTGTAATCGTACAAGCTATGGATTCTAATCAATGCAATTGTTGAATTTGATATGAAATCTATAGGTTTCAATTTAGATCTGTCTATCTCTAAAACTGTTCTAATCTTTCCAAATCTTTTTTTCTTTTGTGGAATGAAAAAGTTTCTCTCTGTGAGGAATTTAACTTGAAATTCTTCATTTAGTTGTGAAAGTAAATCATAAACTGAATCTAAAACATTTGCATATTTGGTTGGGTTCAATTTAAAATCAATTCTAGAATCCATCTGTTTGTAAAGTGTTTGTAAATATGTTACATGATACTCCAATTCATGGAGAAGATAATTTCTATACGAATGATGCCACTGAGTTCTCCATTGGATAAGTTTCACTTTTGGCTTCTTCAGTTCTATATTAATTGATTCCTCTCTCTTTTCACTGCTCCAAAATGGTGGTTTGTTTGAAAAAGCTTCTGCATTTTCGAAATAAATAAAATCGTCGGAGGTTGCAGGTTTAACTGGAGTACAAATCTTGATTGATCTTCTCAATGCATTATCAATTTGTAATTTCTTTTCTTGATAAATATGTGGAAATTGTGTGAATAATATCAGAATCAATTTTTTCAATTCACCTCTCAATTCACTCATTGAAACTCCACATGGCTCAATATTTACACGACTTCTTGTGAAAAACTGTTTTCTAATTCTTCCTCTTCCACTGCCTCTCGTTAGTGGTGTATGTGAATGTGTTTCTTCATCAAAATCTCCAATCATTTGCATTACCATTTCTCTACCAGTTATTCTATGAATGGTATTTTCTAATTGTTTTACAATTAATTTTTCATTTAATATTCGGTAAAATAAACAGTCATCATGAATATGATAATTATCGGAGCAAGTGAATTGTTTAATATCACATCCGATGAGTGTGAAAAAAACACTTGAGGAAATACTGAATAGTTTGCCATCTTTGTTTTTTAATAAATCATCCAAACTCAAGAATTGCATAATGATCAACCATGAATCCTTGTCAAGGTCTTGAAGTAAAGTCATTTTTTTGTAACTGAATTTTCTAAATTGATGTTTCAAATGCTATTAAGTTCCTAATGTTTTGCAAAGTTTAAAGTTCATAATCAGGAAAAAAATGTCGTCACAAGTTATTATCACTTTAGATTTATCGGCAAATTCATCACTTCTCAGCTATAAATTTCACTCAACCTCTCATTCAACGGTTAAATGGTTTAATAATCGATTAACATTACACAGTGTTTACATTCCGATAGAATTTAGCAATGATAGAGAGTATGTGAAGAGAAACATTGAAGCCTATCCCGATACCTTTGAATATGCCTCTATTGAAATACGTTCCGATAAACAGTTCATCACAGATGTTATTGTGAAGAATGATGATTGTTTCGATGCCTTAAATCACATGTCTATGGAGTTGAAAACAGATTGGGATTTTATATTGAAAATAATAGAGGAGAATTCTAATTTACTTGACTATGCCAATTACTGCGATATTCCTTTTATTTATATGCCTTATGAGAGTTGGAAGGAATCTCAAGAATACGATGATGAATATTGCAATGACAATAATGGTGTAATAGTTTATGAGGAAAAGGCAATTGAAGGAAATTATTCAAATAATACATTAGTGAATGATGAGCTGAAAACAGACATTGATGCATGCATAACTTGTTTGAGGGAGGAAATACATGGATTTCATACTGTTTTTCAATTGTCAAAAAACAGAGAAAATAAGGAGCTTATTGAGAGAGCTGTCAAAGAAGTGTCAGAAATTGCCTTTTTCTATGCCGATGAACAGTTGAAGAATGAAAAGGAGTTTATATTACACTTAATCCATACTAATCCTCATGTGCTGCTTTTTACTGGAAAAGAATTTAGAAGAGACAAGCAGATTGTCATGGAGGCAGTCAAGATAGATATTGAAACTTTGAATTATGTTTCTGGAAAATTATTGAAGGATGAAGAGTTTCTGAATCAGGCGAAATCTATTGGAAACTACAATTACCAAAAAAATTATCTGGATATAGTGGTTGACTATGCAAGGCATAATTGTTGTGCCCTTAACGAACTTCCTCATACATTGAGAAAAAACAAAGACCTCATGCTAAAGGTTATGGCAGTTTGTTCATCATCCTCTTCAATGAAATTTGTTGATGAATCATTAATCAATGATAAGGATTTTATATTGGGATGTATTGAGTGCATGTCACCATCAGCTCTCGAAACTCTAGATATCTATTTACCTCATGGTATGATACAAGATCCACCCATTGCTACCTCTCTGGTCGTTCATTCTCCTCGATGCTATCGTCTATTGAGCAACTTACCATTCATATCAAATGATAGGGAACTTATTTTGAAGATGATCAAGAAAGACGCTTCACAATATCCCTTCCTTTTGGAAGAATTCAAAAATGATAAGGAAATTACGAGAGAAGCAGTTAAACAATCCAGTTCTAATTTGGCATTATCATCTGATACACTGAAAATGGATAAGGAATTTATATTGGAATGTATTTTATTGGATCCTGAATCCATAAAATGCACTAATCTACAATACGACCAAAATTTCATTCTTCAGGCTGTTAAATGGAACGGACTTGTTTTGAAGTATTGCATCAGCAATTTTGGAATGGTTTCTAATGAAATTGAAATTGAAGCTGTGAAGCAAAATGGATTCTTCTTACCTGATAGTCAAATAATTGCACAACTTGTTCCATTAAGGATGGAATATGAATACCAAAATTTGTACATGTAAATAAAACAGTCTTGGAGATGCGGGGTATCGATCCCCGTACCTCTTCCATGCTAAAGAAGCGCTCTACCATGTGAGCTACATCCCCTTACATTGCTTAATCAAAAACACCTAGAATTTATTGTAATTGAACTTTGATGAAATGGAATTTCAAATTATTGGATGGCACCCGATAAGGCAAGAATGTTTACCGTCTCGTACTCCTTGCGTGGAGAAACAGACATCAAAAAAAAATAAACATCATGATTTCGTCCACGCAATCCGAAATGCAACCTCTCAGCTCATCACCAATACTAATTGAATCCTCTTCAATAAATAGTACAACTATCACTAACGAACCAACGAATAGTACAGCTAACACCTCCGCACAAGATTCCAATAACAATACATCACTTTCGAATAGCCATTCCCACCAACACCATCAACCACAACATGCATCGTCATCAACAACAACAACAACAGCAGATCATCACAATAAAAAGAATGAAAAGGGAGAAATCATCTACAAGGAAAAGAAAAAGAAGAAATTCGATGCCACCCACTACATGGCTCTCTACGATGAATTGATGGCAAATTTGGAGGCAAGAGAAGTTTTCTCAAATTACTTAAAGAAGGCATGTACACAGGAGCCAATGTTGTTTCTGAATGATTATGGAAAGTATTCGAAAGAGTATGCCAAGTATAGGGCAACAACGAGTACTAGTAATAGTAGTTCACAACAGGATGTGAGTTTGAAAGCATGTAAAATTCTATTCGATTCGGTTGGTGCATTGATTGATTTGTATATTAGACCAGGAAGTGAGAGAGAGTTGAATTTACCAAGTTCAAATGTGGTGCAGATTTGGGATCAAGAAATTGTTCCACTCATGCAAGGTCACCTTCAAAAACAAGAGAAACAAGGGAAGAAAGGAAGTGAAACTATGGAAACTAAACTATTAGAAAGGTCACAATCAGAGTTGAGTGAATCGAGTATTGAATCTGAAATGAGTCAATCAACTATGAAATCACTTACTGATTTGTTTGAAATGTTGAATCCTGATGTGTTATTCGAAAAGATTATCTTTTCAGTCAACTTGGATTTAAAGATTGATCAATTTCCAAGATTTAACAGATCGAAAGAATTGTTTGAATTTCTCAATTTACAAGGTGAAGCATTTACAAGACGTATTGCAGTTGATATTTCAAGAGGATTCAATGTGGATATTCGATACAAACCTAAAGATTTGACAAAGAATTATATTTACGATAGAGACATTTATTTTGGATTGAGTTTGTTAGAAGATTCTCCTGATTGGCAAGCTATGAAAAATTCCAAATCTTCATCAAAAGCTCAGATGTTTCATTCGAAAACTTCCTATGTGTTCGATAGTGGCAGAAAGAATGGTTTGAAACTCTTCAAAATTGTTACCTTGTTACCATATCCAGTTGAAGATGTTTGGAAAGTATTTAAGCATGTTCAGGCCTACGACCTCAAAGGAACAGAAGTTACTGGCATTGAAACACTTGGTTATCATGAGCCTGGAACTCTTGGAAACCCCAAGGCCTCACAATCAGCTCTTGCTTACTTTACAGCAGATGAGGATGATGACGAATCTAAACTCACCAATCCTCTGGTGGTCAGATATTGTACCACTTGTTTGAATCTTGGACCAACGTTTAAGAAACGACAATTTCCACACACTCAAAGCACAGTATTTGATGAAGTTCTGGAAGGATATATTAATGTGGGACATACTGCACCACTAGCCTTCCATCCAGTTCCAAAAGAAAGAGTGATGGTTGATATTTTCTTTGTCTATTTCATGTACAGAGTTGGTAAGAATTCAACAAGGTTTGGACACATTATTTACTCTGATGTTCACTTACCAGATTGGCTCGATAAGTTAGTCGCAAATCCAACATGGAAAAAGAGATGTCTCAGTATGGAGGAAACAATTTTGAAAGTTTTGAAAGAAAAAACAGCTAATGGAACGAGACCAATTGGTGAAAATGAATTGACCGATGAATATTCATATCAGAAACAAGTAGAAGACAATAGAAAAAAGTATCCACATAGATCATGGTACAAAGACTATCTATCAATGTTTCACAAAGAAGACAAGCACTAAAGGAGTTTATTTCAAACTAATTGGAACGAAGAATCCTAAAACTCAATGATTGCCACAATTCACCCAGTGTAATCGCATCAAGTCTTGCAGGGTAAAGAGTGAATAAAGCTAGGTAAGCAAACAAATCTACCTTGGTTGGAAATTCAAATCCCATATTCTTCAATATGTTTGTAAAAGATCTTATATCAATAATTCCATCTCCTTCACTTGAAATAATCAGATACTTTACCAAGTCAATAGGTTTATCTTTTCCAATACATTTAATTTCCAGATAACGGCTTTCGTAGCTCTTGCATTAAACTGTTTGTAATATGGCAGCTAAACTTGACATAATCACCATTTCCCTTTCTAGAATAAACAATTGTTTCAAAATCATATGAAACTTTTGCTACGGTACTAAAGGAGGTATCTATCTCATTATATTTCACAATATGCACCAAATGTCCAACATTATTAATAACTTCTACCAATGCAGTATTTCTTGAATAGTGTGGGTTAATTCTAGAATTTATGGTTAATTTCAAATTCAAGTCTCTAGAAAACGAATATTGAGCCAATCTTTGCAAATAATCCACTTTGGTATCATGTGCTTGATGTTGTGATCCAATTTTCAATTCAGTGAAATATAGGTCTCTCCACATTGTTCTAGAATTAAATTCGTAATGAATCCAATAATTCCAATCTTTGCAAATCATGCAAATTTCGTACCATATTTGTTTTGCATCTAGAAATTTTACTATTTCCCACAGAATATCTTGTGGCAATATTTCTGTATTGTTGTGCTGTATTTTTCTTAATTTCGATACGTCATCGGAAAGGCTAATTCTCTTTCGTTTAGAACTTTCTGAAGATGAACCACATTCCGATAATTCGTGATGAACAGATTTTACTTGCCAATCTATTGTGGTTTCGAGTTGAAACTGTTGCTTATTGATTGTGAAATATTGTGTGAGTTCTTCAGGCATTTTTTTTGTAATCTATTGAAAAATACTATTTCTTTAGTTTACTGGTACTAAACATTGGCGGTGGTGGTGAAAATTGTAAATAGTCGTGGCCATCATCTCGTGTATTGAGGCCATCTAGTAGAGGACTATCTGTTACTGCAGTGGCTGGCATTGATTTTCTTGTCTTTTGAGAAGTGGTTGACGGCTTTGCTTCTTTGTTTTGTTGTTTTGGTTTTATGATTTGTGGAGCTTGTTGTGGCATAGTTGGCTTTGAAGTTCTCACATCCATCTTCTTTTCCTTTTCCATTTCTTGTTTAAGCTTGAATGCCATTAGACCCTCATCCCTTTTTCTCCACTTTTCAGCCTCTCTCTTTTTTCGTTCTTCTTCCATTTCTTTTTCTCGCTCTATTTCTTTTCTTTTCTTTTCCTTAGCTCTAAGGAGCGCCTTTCTTCTGGCTTCTTCAACTCTTTCTTCTTCCATTCTTCTTCTTTCTTCATCCTCCATTTCTTTCATTCTTTCCTCATCTGAATCATCTGAAAGGATTTCCTCGAGATATTTTTTGGTTGTTAGAGCTTTTCTTTCTTCGAGGATGATAGTTTGTTGCTTACTGCATATTTCTTCCAACTTTTTGAGTTTTTCTGCCTTTTCCAAATCTTCCTTTTCCTTTTGTTCCTTTTCTTTTTGAATTTTTTCCTTTAACCTTTCTTGAGCTTTCTTTCTTGGGTCATTGGCAGAAGTCACAGCTATAGAGGATGACATTGGCCTTGTCTTTTCTTTTGATGGTTCCATTGAGAGATTTGGATCCACTGACCTTGTGTTATTACTTGGCTGCTTTGGAGGCTTTGGCTTGCTTGCTTTTGGTTTTTCATCCGCATACTCTTTAGCCTGAGGGGTTTTCGACAAACTTGCTTCCAGTCTATTGTACATATTCTGAAGATCACTGTTTTCTTGTCTTTCCTTTAATTGTGAAGGTGTCAACATTACAACCGAATCCTTATTTGCACGAGGTGTTGTTATTTCTTGAACCATATGTTCAATTCTCTCAATCCTCTTCTTTTCAGGAGTTTTTGGCAATTTCTTATTAGGTTTTGGTCTCGTTGGTTTGTTAATCTCTGTTTGTTTCCTTATTTCAATGGCTTCTCTACTGAATCTCTCAATTTCCTTATTAAGTTTATCCAGCTCAGCACGGCAATTATTAATCAATTGCTGCACCAACTGATATTTTTCTTTTGAATTTGGGTCTTTCCTTATCATTTCATTGCAGTGATAGGTGGTTAAGGCCTTTTCTCTCTCATTTCTTGCTTGAATTAATTCAATACTCTTCTTCGTACATTGATCCCTTAGAAAATCTAACTGTTTAATATCATCTGAATCATCCTCTGATATGTTGGAAAGCTCATCATCTTCAGCATCAAGTGTATAATCTACATCATCTTCATAATAGGTTGGCTCGTATGGTTCATAAGGTTCAGGCATTTCTTGTTCATTCTCCTGTTCTTCTTCATTGTGATTTTCGTCATGTTCTTCCTGTTCTTCTTCATCTTGATAATGTTCTTCCTCATCCCCTTCCTGATGATACTGCTCTGCATCATCTTCATATTCTCCCGAAGCTTCTACATGGTGATCAACAACACTGTTATAGTGTTTTGTTTCCCTAGGAGCCTCAGGTTCATTATGCTCCTGGGTAGTATTGAATGATGTATGTGAGAGTATTGACCTTTCTGTATGAAACAACTTCCTAATATCTGCTTTTAAATCAATGAACAATGAAGGAAGGGATGAAGAAATACGCTTATTATCTGATTTGATGTAATTTTCTATATTTCTCTTGACTTTAGTAACTTTGCAGATGAAGGCTATTATATTGTCCATCTGAGCTCTAGTCTCCTCTATTTCTTGTTGGTCACCTCCGAAACTCAGCACATCAATTTGGATAGCCAATTTGTTGAGCTCATTTACTTTTGATAATAAGAACTCTTCGGTAATATCATCAAAGTTTTCCTCCTCTTCGTGTTGTTCCATTTGGCTCTGATTATTTTCAGGGTCATACTCTCCTAATTCCTCTCTTATTAATCTCTCGTCCTCTTCATCCAATTCATATTCCTCGTAAGTCAAATAGTTTCTCTTTCTATAAGAACTATCATCTAAATTATTATCGTATTCCAAATTGTCTTCAACCTCTTCATGATACTGATCGTCGTCATCTTCCTCTCCTCCGTATTGATGATTGGAGGCAAAAGAACTGTAGGCATTGTTGCCGCTCATTTTTCTTTGAATGATTTAAAACTTTGCCGCCAAAATTGAAGGCGGGAAACGTTAAGTCTTTTAAAAACAAATTCAAAAAAAATGAATCGATCACTGCTAGGTAGCCTGGTGAATAATAACAACCAACAAAATATCAACAACAATGCACTCAACACTTCACAAACTCTTCCTATTCTATCAACAACAACAAACAAATCAGCTGCCATCATGAACTCTCCACAATTTAACAAGGCACAATTCAGCAGATTTGTGGTAGACCGTGTCGACCGATCTAATGCCTCTCTTCTTCAAACTTCACAAATTGGAAGTAATACTTCTCTAATGGTTGATGACAAGGAAAATATAATACAAGACCTCACCTTTTCTGGTCTTTCATCTATTGCTACAATGGATGAAACAATTATAAAAAACCAGTTGGTGTTCCAACAGGGCCAACTCTGGTTCTCAAACAATTTGCTAGTAAGGTATATGTTGACTTTGGTAGGGTTAAACTTGGTACATCAAAAGTTATGACACTCTTTGTATCAAATCCAATCCAAAAGCAACAAGAAATTGCTGTAGAAAAACTTCCAGTTCAGTTTGGGTTCACTATTCGTGAAGTTTCACATGCTATACCAGCTCTATGTGGAGATTACCAAATACCTATTTCTTGGCAACCATTACAGCCAGGTAAAATCTCTTGCCAACTTGTATTTTTGTGGAACACAAGATTCAGATTTACTGTTTACTTGATGGGAGAAGCTATGGAAGCAACTAAAGCACAAACAACTAGGAAACCACTCACTACTACATCCAGACTTAACACAACAAGAGTACAACCAACTACCACTCAAAAACCTGAAGAAACAACCTTTAACTTATCCACTTGTAATATTTCTGCCATTCTCCCAAATGAAAATTCCTCAATGATTGTTAGAAGAACTCAACCAGTAACCAAAACAACAGCACCAACAGAGCAATCAAGATTGGAAAAATCTACACTCATCAACAAGACTAAGATTCAAAAGACTGAAAAGATGAAAAAGGAAACATCATCAATTATTGGACAATCGAGAGCTGTAGCTTCTAATTCATCAGCTCTTACTAATAACAGTCTTTCCACAACTCAGAAGAGAATCATTCAAAGTACTGCTAGGTCTGAAATTCAAAAAATTTTAGAAAAACAAAAAGAATTGGAAAAATCCCTTCCTGTAAATATGGCACAATTGGTTCACGAGCTCAAGAATTTCGGCATTGGAATTCATCAAATTTCATTAATTCAAGGTTATAAGGATATTAGAGTTGCAATGCTTCTTCAATGGATTCAAGCTGTATTGGAAAGGTATGATAATCTGCCTGCCAAATACAAAGTTTGGAACTTTTCATCTCCTTCGCTTAAAACTGAAGAAGAAATAGTATTTAACCTTGTTTCTAATCAATATAGACTTCCATCTCCTCTCCCTCTCGAAGAAATATTACCTAGAGAAGAGAATAGAGATTTCTTGCACCATTATCAATATTCCAACAATGGATGTTGGAGTGCCTCATTCTCTCCAACTAAAATTCAAAAGAAGACAGTAGAAATCAGTAAGGATTATGATGAACATCAAATGGTCTGTAAAATTGGCCACTTATTCAATCAATTATATTTACATAAGGAGAATGTCATTCAAACTAAGGCCCTTGTTGTCATTCAAAATTGGATGCACACTATTTACATGCAAAAAAGACTCCACAATTTACGAGATGCCTCTACAATTATAGAAGCCCGTACTCGTGCTAATATTGAAAGAAAGAAGTTGGAATTCCTTAGACAACAAAGAAAACACAGAATTCTAATGGAATTGACAGTCAGACTACAAGCAATGGCTAGAGGATATCTTTGTAGAAAGAATACTGTAGTTCAAAAGAAAGAAGTCACCACTCTTCAAGCTTTATCTAGAGCATTTGCAGATCAAAAGAAAGTCTTTGAATTCAAACAATCTGCTCTCAATATTCAATCTATTATGAGAAGCTTTATTGAAAGAGAATCTCATCTCGATGACATTTATGACGTTGAAGTAACTCAAGCTGTCATTAGGGGTTATCTTTCAAGAAAGCAATTCTACCTTGACTATGCCGAATTGTTGGACTATTTTAATGAAATAGAAATGCAAAACTTTGAGTCATATATTGAAAATGCTTTGGAAGAAGATGAATCTGCTATTGTTCTTCAACAATCAATGGTAAGAGGTTTGGTTGAAAGAAGAAAGGTATTGGATTCTATTTCTCTAATCTCTGAATCACAAGCCTTAGTTAGAGGTAAAGAAGAGAGATCTCAATTCGCTCAAGACAAGGCTGATATAATATCGATTCAATCTTTGGCAAGAAGCCTTTTTGCAAAAAGACAATTTGCTGAAGAACAGAAGAAGATCGTCATTATGCAAGCTATTTCTAGAGGATTTATTGAAAAGTCTCATCAAAAATACCAAGAATCAAGAGTTCAAATCATGCAATCCTTGCTAAGACGAGTTAGAACTGAGAATGCAATGATTGAATCCACTGAAAGAATTACATCAATGCAATCTCTTATGAGAAGATTCACTCTTGAGTGTGATACTTTGATGGACAGATACCGTGCTTACATTCTATCCGCTATTATTTTGGGAAGTTTGGATAGAAAGAACAAGGAGGAATCTTTCGATAGAGTCACTACCTTGCAAGCCCTTATCAGAGGTCGTCTCCAACGTAACAATCAACAAAGACAAACAGAATCGCTCATGGTAATACAAAGAGCTATGAGAGATGGATTCTTTAGAAAGATGTACAATAACTTTGTTGGATCTGTTCTTTCACTTCAATCCAATATGAGAAGACATCAAGTCCAACAAGAAAAAGAGGCAAGCATTAATTCCATCACATTGTTGCAAACATTAATCAGAGGTTTCAGAGATAGAAAGAATCACTCAATCGAAACCAATAGAGCTGTTTCTCTTCAAACTACCATCAGAAGTTTCAGAGAAAGAGAAAAGGCCAACCTTATGCAACAAGGTATTCTCTCTATCCAAGCTTCCCTTAGAGCTAAGAATGATAGAGAAAGTATTTTGGATGACTATTATGACATCTATCTTAGTCAAGCAATCATTAAGGGCGTACTTGCTCGTGTCTCATTCTATTGTGAAACCTTTGATGTTATCAGCTGCCAAGCTTCTATTAGAGGATTCTTGGAAAGAAAGAGAGTCCAACAACAAATGTGCACCATTGTTGATACTCAAACCATGATTAGAGCAACACAAGCCCAAAATGAATTCATCCAAGACAGAGAACATACTATTGTTGCTCAAACATCTATCAGAAGATTTTTGGAAGAGAAAAAGAGAAGCCAAGAAGAAGATAGAGTTTTGGTGTTGCAAGCACTTGCAAGAAGACATGTTACTGCAAGATTTATCAATCATATTAAGAGTGTTTCACATCAAATGCATGATGCTGCAACAAAAATCCAAAAGGTTTTCAGAGGCTTCATGGTTAGACGTTGTAATGCTGATCAAGTCAATGCTATCAGAGAAAGAATTACAACCTTATCTGCCAATGTTGATGAAAGAAAGAAACTCAAGTATAGAACCCAACGTTCTTTGGAAGTATTGCTCAAATCCAACTCTGTTAATCAAGTCATGAGTGCATGTGCTAACTTGGCTACAACCACAACATGGAGTGATAGTTGTTGTGAAAGTTTGGTTACCAACAATGCAGTTCCTATTTTGTACAGCTTTATCAAGATGCTCAATAGATCCAAACCTCATACTGAACTTCTTATTCACATTCTTGATATATTACTTAATTTGACAAGAATTAAGTATTTGAATTGTCTGGTTCACGAAAAGAATGAATGGTTCGAAATTTTATTCGATCAACTTCAAATTTACAGAGAAAGAGAAGAAATATTCATGAGAGCTCTTTCACTAATTAAGAAGGCAGACACAAAGAGATTGAAAGCCGTCAGAGAAGACTTGTTGAAGAGATGTGTTTCATTATCCAAGTTGATGCAAAGAAAGTATGCCACAGATAAGAAGAAACAAAATCTGAACAAGAGCAATCTCAACTCTTCAATTCTTAACAATAGTAGCATGTTGAACATTTCAATGAACAGCAGTTCGTTAGGTAGAAAATCATCAGGTAATATTTCAGGTGTTGGCCACTCTGTATCAAGCGTGATGGTTACTTACGAAAATTTGCAAGAACTTATTGAAATGTTGAGCAAATTGAAATAAATTTGAGCATTACCATAACTGTGGAGTAACTATGTTTGGACACATTCCTTACAAGGCAAGAATATAAATTTAAACAATAGAGTTTGATTTGAAAGTAAATAAAAATGTATCGAACCATTCAGAGAGTTTCAATTCGAATAAATAATACTCCTGTTTATTCTGCCCTCCCCAAGAAAGCTCTGTTTTCATCATCTAATAAATCAAGCACGCCAGCTTCTGACACTGCCATCAACTTTTATAATTATTCCGTGAAAGATATAAGAGGAAAATGGGTCCATCTTAGAGAATTTAAAGGAAAGTTATCACTGGTTGCGATTTGCAATACTGACAATCCGAATTATTATGCTTTCCTCAAAGAACTTCAACAACTCAAAGATAGATATGCAGAGAAAGGATTTGAAGTATTGGTAATTCCCAGATATCCTTTCAAACCAACATCCTCAACAGCCACCCCTTTGAGAAAATTCCTCTGTGATGAAATTGAAACAAGCAGGAATGAGCTGTTTGTATGTAAAGGCGTTCCACATGAATACGAAACATGCTCTTCTGTTAATTATGACGCTCTCACGGTTAAAGCAGAATGTGGAGATGCCTATCATTATTTGAGCAATTTCAGAGAAGGATCCAGTAAGACCATAGTTGAGGATTTCGAAAAGTTCCTCATTGATAAGAATGGGGCAGTTGTTTATAGATGTGGAAATAATACGCCATTAGAGGATGTAGTTCCAAAGATTGAAAAAGAACTTGAGAGCGGTGATAAAATTTAATGTTTTTTTTATTTATTTACTTGCTAACGAAAAGCTTATTCATCATGTGAATAGTCATATTTACATTGAGTGAAACACCATCGAGTTTGAGAAGAGCTTCACCTCTGCCACGTTTGTCCAAAAGTTCATCAAGACGCAAGTTAATTGTCTTGAGTGATGCACCAGCCAATTTAGCTTCAACTGTAAAGAAACCTGGATTAGCTTCATCCATAGAGATTTGGAATTTGATACCCTTCTTCAAAGCACCTCCTTCTGTCATTTCGGCAATAACCTTATACTTCTCTGAAAGTTGAGAGTAGCTGAACTTGTAAACTTGTTTCTTTCCAGACTTTTGCTTTCTCTTGTTCTTTCCTTCAAAGTAGTTACGAAGGGTTTGTTGGACGTAGTCGTCCAAACTCTTGTCCTTTTCCTTGAGGAAGTTTTGATGTTCCTTGAGGGATTCCAAACTTTCGGTTAAACGTTCCAATTCACGAACTTGTCTCTTTCTAACTTCACCTCTGTTTTGAATTTCCTTAGTAATATCAGTCAACAATTTTCTATAACCGTTGGCTGCTGAGAGAATTTCAGCATCAGCCAACTTTGGAAGAGCCTTTCTAAGTTCTTCAACCTTTCTCTTCAATTGAATACCATCAGCTTCTTGTTTAGAACTATCGATCAATTCTTCGGCATACTTTTCAGCCTTATCTACAGTTTCAGCAACATTTTCACCCAATTGTTGTGGAGTAATGACACGTAAAATACCACGGAAGTGTTCTTTAGCAATTTCGTACAATTGTTCTGGCTTAACTTCCAAATCCAAGTTTTCAATGTTAGTTCTAACTTGGAGTGGCAAACTGATTTCTTCATTCTTTGTTGATTCAACTTGTTCTGGAATCATGTCCTTGAAGTTGCTCAAAACTTCTCTCAATGGATCCTTTTCGTCTGGAGCAATTCTGTTCAAGAACTTAGCCAACAAACCATGAGTTTGAGCAATTTCGTTCAAGGTAATAGTAATAGAAGGTGACTTCTTTTGAGTGAGTTCAATAAATTGATGGACACCCAATTGTTCTTCTGGTTCTGGGATAACAATAGCTGGCTTAATGAACTTTTCAACGAAAGTAGGAATAGCTTGTTGAATCCATTCATTGACAACACAGAAGTGAATGTCATAAGCCTTATCGAATTCTTTGAATGTAGAAACACGCATCAAAACCTTTGAAATCCAAGCCAAATTATTTCTCATACTGGCAGAAATCTTCTTCTTAGTCAAGTTGTAAGAGTCACAACCACAGAATGGACCGTTAAGGAATCTAAAGAACAATAAATATGAAACAACACGGTTAATATCTTCTTCGGTAGCATTTGGATTCTTCTTACCCAACATGACCTTCAATTGTCTACAGATATATCTCAAACCGTATGGCAATTCGTTAATGTTGTCATTCAATGTATCCAAAACACCTTGACAAATGTCAATCATCTTTTTGGTACGTTGTTGGACGAGCTTACTGACGTATTCATCTTGCATAGCCTTTTCATAGGTCATATCCTTAATGTTGATATCGCTCTTAACACCAGTTTCAACTTCTTGTTGGGAAATTCTTTCCTTCAAAATAGTAACAGCGTTCAAATTCAAGTTCAAATCCTTTTCTTCAATGATTGGTTCCAAGATCTTATCGAACAAAACCTTTTGCAAGAATTGTTTACCTTGGATACGTTCATGGCAATAGTTAACAACCAACTTGATCAAAACTGGGTTGTTGTTCAAGAAGTTATCAATTGAACTGTTTTGAATTTCGAGGTGGAGAGTTTCATTAAACAAACTCAAAATCAAATATTCTTCACGAGGAGAGAAGGCATAACCGTACAAAGTCAATGTAACAGTTTGCATGAATTGGTCCATATCACGAGATGGAACCAAGAACAAACACTTAGCCAAATACTTTGGATTAGTTTGCAACAAGTAGAACAAACTGCTGTAGTGATCAACGTAATCCTTAATATTGAACTTTTCCTTCTTATCATCATTAGCAGTAGCCATCTTTTCTTGTCTTCTACGTTGGAAATAACCAGCAATACCACCACGTTGATTCAAAATTGTTTCGGCATCATATCTATTTTCAGCAAGGAGTGAAATCTTTCTGTCCTTTTCTCTGACATTTTCTTCAATACGAGTGTTCTCACGAATTTGTTTAATGAGTTCTTCACGGAGCTTTTGAATCTTTTCGATCAAGTTATCAGAATCATTTTCAACCTTGAAGGCATTCAACAAGGCAGATAACAAGTCATGATCCAAAACAGTATCGAGCATTGAAGTATCGCTAATATCTGGAGGAGAAACGAAAACACCACCCTTCAAGATATCACTTTCAACAACTACACCATTAATCTTAACGAGGAGCTTAGTCTTACCAGAGGCCTTTGGAGTATAAGTAACAGTGTAAGTACCATCTTGATTATCCTTGACAGAAGCAGGGAGATCAATCTTTCTAGCTTCATTAGAAACAACGACTTCAACATTATCACCACCAGTTTGACGAACATTGTTGAATGAGTCTCTGGTCTTGATGACAAATTCAGATTCCTTTCCTTGGACAGCATTAGAAACACCGTCACCAGCAAATTGAGTCTTTTGTGGATCAGTAACACCACTATCATCAACAAATGTAGTGGATGGGAATCCTGGAATATTGGTGTACTTGTACTTTCTCAAGAAAGCCTTCAACAATGAAGTAGCTTCACTACCACCTTCAGAACGGGTGTCAGCAGATTCCTTCAACAAAACTTCCATACCATATTCACCAGATTGTTCAATAGTGTAATCGAATGAGTATTCACCACTTCCCAAATCATTGAATTTGATCAAATCACTTGAAACAGTTTCCATAGTGGCCTTTGAAGTGAATTGGAGAATGAAAGTATCACTACCATTTTCACGCTTGTTTCCGAATCTATCTCTAGCTTCAACAAAGAATTGCATTTGCTTACCAGCTGGGAATTGCTTATAGTTTTCACCTCTGAAAGTAGTTTGATATGGATCAGTGACACCAGTATCATGAATATGAACATCCTTTTCAGTGACAACAGCATCACCAAGTTTGACTTGCAATTTGTAGTTTCCACTTGTGTTAAGAGTGTATTCAACATGGTATTTACCATCATTGGTATCTTTAACACTAGCTTCAGTAACTTCACTTCCATTAATGAGAGTAACAGAGAACTTTTCACCACCTGATGAACGATCATTACCGTGAGTATCCTTAGCAAGAATAGTGAATGCAGAGAGTTCACCAGCCTTCTTATCGAGAACAGAATCAATACCACTGAAATCAGTACGGGATGGATCAGAAATACCAGCATCTTTAACAATGACTGACTTGGTAGCAACAACGTGATCACCCAACTTGACAGTCAAAGTATATTCACCACTCTTTGGACAAGTGTATGAGAAACGATATTTACCATTATTCAAATCATCTACATGACATTGAACAACTTCAGATCCGAAAGTGAGAGTAGCATTAAAGTTTTCACCTCCACGTCCTTGGTTTCCAAACTTATCGAATGAAGTGAGTTGGAATTCGGATTTAACACCAGCAACAGCAGAACCGATACCAGAACCATCCAAAACGCTCTTTGATGGATCAGAGGTTGGATTGGAAGAAACAGTAACGTTTTGTGGAGAGACCTTTGATAATTGATCAACTTCTTCTTGAGTTTCTTCATCGAACAAAACCAATTCCATTCTGTATTCACCAGCCTTTTCAGGAGTATAAGAAACAGCATAAGTACCATCACCATTATTCGAAACATTAGCTTGAATAACAACACGTTCAGCATTTTCATCTTGACCCAGCAAACTAACAGAGTACAAGGTAACCTTGAATGATTCGTTACCTTCCTTGAGAACTTCACCATCAGAATCTCTTGCAGTAATAACAAATTTAGCTTCGACACCAGCAGTTGCCTTGTTAAGACCTTCACCATCGGCATCACACATTGATGGATCAGCCAAATCTTCTAAAACATCATCAATGGATGAATCTGTTTCTTCACCAACTTCTTCAATATCAACTGGGAAAGCCATAGCATTATCTGCAATGTCTTCAATCAACTTTTGTGTCTTTTCAATTTCTTCACGGGAGAACTTCAAGTTAGCCTTTTGCAAGTTTTGCATTCTAATGGCCAAGCCATTTCTATACAAGTGGAGGGAGAGTGTGTGTAAGCAGTGAACAACTTTCCAAACGTTTTTCAATTCCCACAAATCGGTAACCTCTATTATCAAGAACAAGCAACAATAACATTATCATTCACCATCAACATCATCATAGGAGGAAGAACATTATTTTTGTGATGATTATTTTTTGTGATTTGATGAAAAAAGCGAGGGAAGGAATAACAACAAATTATCATCATCATACGAGTTGAATAACAACATGAACATAATAGATTAGAATAAAAGCTGTTACTATTATAACACATACCAAAAATATAGTGATCAGGGAAATTAACCTTCTTACAGGCTTCAAAGAATTGGGAAATGTTATCAACAGCCATAAATTCCAAAACACTTCCTGACTTTGGAGTGTTAATCTTCTTAATTGCTGTTGGAGCAAAGATTTTACCCAACTTGGCCAAAGCAATACCATCTCTCAAGTTATCACCAAAGTTAGCAGTGCCTGGAGGCAGACTTTCTTGGATAAGTTCTTCAATCCAACGTTTGGCTTCTTCCTGACGAATAAGAAAGTCGTAGGCTTTCTTCTCCGCAATGGAGAGATCCATCTTGGTGACAGACATCTTACAAATCTATTATATATATTGTTGTAATGTGTTGTTGTTGTTGAATGACGAGTGGTTAACTTGTCAATCTTTGTTTCTAATGTGGAAAATGTACAGCACAGGTTTTTGGGATGGGCAACAACCAACACCACAACAATTTTGTTTTTTTTTTGATGAGTTTTCTTGTTTGCTGTGAAACTTGATTGATGACAGGTTTTATGTCTCTTGAAGCATATCAATCAAGTGTTAGTTGACTAGCCACATATTGTAAGGTACTTGCCATGACTACTATTTGGTAGACATCAGTCAGTGTTCATCAATAAATTGTCCAAGGATTTCGACCTATCAATTCTATACTGTTCAATTATAAGATATTTAAGCATGTCATGTTAACACTCTAAAATAGATTATTACGAAATTGAGTAAAATTCATCATCTTTGAAATTTTATTAACAAGATTCTTTGAGAAAATTTACAAATTAATTGGAAAATCATCAGTGAAAAAGGAATCAAAATTAGGGTTGGTAGTTTACAACACATCATTCCTAATAATTCCAAATTTTTGAAGAATGTTATCAATTATTATTGGATGAGATTAAGAAATCAAAGATTAATTTATTTAGCACGAAAGTGGGTTAATTGATCAAATTGAACTGTTACAAATATTTTTCTTTCATCAAACCCTCAAATTAATTTGTTAACGTTGTTTAGTTGTAAATCTTGTCGTATGACATATTTTCAACAAGATTTGGTCCCATAACAACGTTGGTCAAGAATGAAGGGAATCCAAAACTATTAACTAATGTTGGAATGAAAGGAGTTAAATATTGACAAATTGAGTTGATAGAATCGTCAAGTTGAGAATATTGTTCCTTAGATACCAAATCGTGGAGAAGGAAGAAACCATCTTGTTGAATCCAAGTGTAAATTAATAAAAGAGCCAATCGTGTAAATATTTCAGTCAAGTTCTTGTTTCTTTCAGATAATTTACCCAAAGATTCTTGTAGGAATACCTTGATAATATTATTTTCAATATAAGCATTTCCTAACTTGAGAGCAAGATCTTGAGTTTTGTTGGCAGCTTCGAAAGGTGAAAGAGTTTTAGAGAGTTTACCCAATTTTTCTCTATACTGCTTTTCAATAGTGGCCTCTCTGAATTCGAATAGTTTTTGCAATTGAGCCAAATCTTGAAGAGAGGTTAATTTTTCCAAAGATGGTATTTTGGTATTTCTTCTAACCAAGTTTCTAGAAGCTGTTTGATAGAGAACATTATTGTCTCCCTCATATGTAATTGAGGCATCGGCAATATCTCTCATTTCACCAATTCTATTTGCACTGAGGAAACCTTGAGCACCACTGGATTTTCTACATTCTTGACAACCTAGCAATGAGATATCACTACATTTGGCTTTGAGACAACTAGCCAATGTGTGGATCATCTTGGAGTCAGAATTTGTTTCATACTTTCTCTTCAAATCCTCAACAGAGAAGTGAGCGACAAAGGAAAATGCAAGGTATGGGTACAATCTTCTTTGATAACTGAGATAATTGATAATTTGCAATTCCTCTCCTGAATTAGTTGGGCCAAATTGCCTTCTGTGAACTGCATACTTCAAAGTGATTTCGAGAGCCATTTTAAGAGCATTCAAACTTGAACTGGCAGTCATGATTCTACCAATGAGCAATGCTTGAACGTGAGCTAAGAATCTGACACTTTCATCTGGAATTGATGTCTTATATTGACCATTTTCATCAATGGTTCCAAATCTATCGAGCATCAAGTCTTTTGAGATTTTAACATCAAACCAAACTCTTCCATTATCTAAACAGTTGAGTCCAATCTTGGATCCCAAATCTCTGATTCTAATACCAGGAAGTACTGAATGATCCTTTTCAGATCTAATTGGAACTAAGAATGCATGAACTCCACACTTCTTATCAACAACCAATTGAGCAAACACAACAGCCCACTGAGCAAATTGAGCAGCACCTCCACTCCAAACCTTAACAGCAGAATCACTTGGTGTACGAATATTAATTGTCTTGGATTGATGATCATAAATTGCCAGTGTTTCAATTTGTTGTACATTTGAAGCATGTCCAATTTCACTCATACAGAACATGCCAAAAATCTTTCCAAAATCATTAACAATTCTATCTTGGAATTGTTTATGCTTTTCAGTTCCAAAATAAAGAACAGATCCACCAAACAACCCAAAATGAATCATACTTCTTCCAGCAACTCCAAAATCAATATTATTAACAGTATCTAAAAAAGTAAAGAATCTCTTTGGATCAGTTCTAAAATGTTCAAGTTCAAAAGGTCTCAATTTCTGAATAATATACACAGCACGATCATGAGTCAATTGTCTTTCTTGTTCTTTTGAAAGTCCGTATTTTCTTTCAAAGAGTGGATTATCCTTAACCAAATCATAAATATCTTGTCTTATCTTTGCTTGTTCAGGAGTATAATATCTATTAATCATTTCCTCTTTGAATTGTGTTGAGGAAAATGCTGTACATTTAGCACATGAAAGATCATTATTATTTGATTGACCGGAACAAGTATTCGAATAGAGTTGAGAATTTTCATCTCCTGATCGCATCACCGTTAATGATGATGATGATGAGGAGGGAAATAAATGGGACAAGAGAATATCGAGACGTCTGCTATTGTTGTGTTGTTGCATTTTTTTTACTATTTCCAAAATCAGAACGGAAGAATTTGAGAAAATCTTTGAGATTACAATGAAAATTAAAGTGGGCTTTCGAATAAGTATGGACCTTTTATGGAGATATTAGAAATACAGAAGAATGGTTGATTAGTAGTATTTCTTTTTGGCTAATCGTCTCAATACATCCAAGAGAAAAATCCCATTTCTGAAAGAGATGCACGTTTTGTTGCAATTTTATTAAATTACATTAGTTTCCTATTTAATTCATCAAAAAAATGGCTATTTTCATAGCACCATCATGTTGGTATGAAATTTGTAAATTTCTCTCACCACTCGATCTATTCCGAATTTCTCAATTAAATTCCTCACTTTACAAAAACATGTTTTGCGAGGGAAATTCTGATTTTGCTTGGAGTTTAAAATTATTGGAAAATTACTTGATGAAAATGCAAACAATTCACAATTTTGGATTGAAAAGAGGAAAATTAATTCTTGATCAATTGAAATCTGAAGGGGAAATTTGTAAATTATTTTGTGGATCAATTGATGAGAATAGGAGTACGTTAAAAAGGTGTATGGCACTTTGTTTAAAGTATAGGTATGGATATGATGAGTTGGATTCTGATTTCTTGGTTTATTTACCTGTAAATTGTTTGGGTAAACAAGAGGAAGAGTGGCCTATTGAAATAGTTTACTTTAAAAAAATTATTCGAAAGGTAGAGAAGGAATGGGCAAGATTGGAAAATGCATCCATAATATTGGTTCATGGTTATGTTGATGTTAATGGAAATATTACAATATTCAACGTTGAAAATATTACAAAGAGACCAAAATCAATAATAGTTTACAAAAAATTGAAACCTATGGATATTGAAACACAATTTAAAAGTAGTGATTCTAATGCTCTAGATTTCCTCTCAAAATTTATTGGAAATTTGGAGAAACCAGATCATTTATTGGGAAAGAGCAGCATTGTTGCGAGTCAGGAATTTATAATTCCAAAAAGAAGACTGAAAATTTTGTCAACTCAATCATATTGGACTGTTAATATGGAGCCATTTAAATGTCAATATCGAGTGCTTTATGAAGAACTAGCAGATTCTTTTGACTTTGCTGTCAAATATGATATAATTTATTTGATAATATTTTCAGTATATGTTTATTGTAATGCTGTGAAATCCGTGGGATTTTTTCAATACAGACATACAAGCAATTTGTTGAGAATTCCATTTTCGGGAGATTGGAATATTGGTCTAAAGTTTGTAATGTCATTGGGATTATTGGGATGTCAAGCAGTGTTTGGGTTAATGATTTTTTCATTGAGTGTCAATCTGTTCCCTTATTATCCTAAACACATGGGATCTATTCTATTTATTCTCAATACTCTCTGTTATTTTACTGAAATAGATTTGGGAAGATTCAATGAAGGAAACACCTTAAAATCATGGACGAATATCCTTGCTCCAGTCGAACTCTGTCACAATATCATACTATATGCTGCCTTTGCAGAAAAGTGCAACGTTAGGAGAATGCTTTATTGGATTAAGCATGCCACTAACTCAAGTCTTCACTTTATTTCAAAGAAAGTAAGAGGAATCATCAAGTCCACATTATTCAACAACACAGAAAGTAAATGAATAACAAAAAAAAATGTCGATTCATGATGACGATGAACCTGTTTCATTTTTATTGATCGATTTTGTGCCTGTGATCACGGATCAAATAGATAAGTTGAAGACAATGTTCCGAAACCCTAAAATTCCATTCTCCTATCGCTTTGATAATTGTAGACAAATTGGAAATTTAGAAATTGAAGAAATGACAAGGTATGACTTTAAACTTTCATATCGATATGATTGTTTGGTTGGAATTACGACAAATTCAGTTTATATTATTGATCGTAAGATGAAAATATTACTGAATAGTTTTGCTCTTGAGGGATCATTGATTCATACTTTGGATGATGATCATGATGAGATTTATAATATTTCGCCATCTGAATCAAATGCTGATACTATTTTACTAAACAAGTATCATCTTGGAGAGTTCATTAAAGGAAAAAACCTGCCTGAACCAGTTTATTCTTCGGAAGCTGGCTATTCCAATCCATTTGGAATGGTAGTATTTAATGGAAAGAATACGAGGTTTCTGATCGTTCTTGATGACTTTGCAAGCCATTTGAAAATTACGGATTGTGAAACTGGATGTCTGATAACGAATACAATATTAACTATTTCTCCAGATGCTTGTGCTCTCGAATTGATTTCAAGAAGTGAAATTATGATTGGATGTTCTGGGTTGACCAGCATTTATGAAATTGATGAAAACTTATTTGGATTGGGGAAGGAAGCACTCAAACTCATTGTTTCAATGCATACAGAAAGTTCATCCTCAGATTTTTATTCGATAGTTCATGATGAATTGAATCGAAAGATAATGGTTTCGGATGCAGAAGACAACACAATAATAGTTCTAAGAAAAGATGATTTACAACTTGTCCAAAAGCAGAAATGTAATGATAATATTTCAGGAATGTGTTTGGATAAACAAACAGGGGAATTGTTTGTTTGCTATGAAAAAGGTCTCGTTGTTTATCAATAATTCAATTTGTGAAGTTACACAATTTAATTCACAAAAGGTTTCCCGCCAAAACCATGTTTTTGAAAACCAAAAATAAAGAGTTCTCACCCACAGAATTCGATTAAGAAAAAAACACACAAGATGTTTGTAGGAACTTGAAAGAATTCTTCAGCAAGGATTGTAACCCAAGAAGAGATTTAAAGAATGATTGCTCGAGCAGCAATCCTAATCAAAAAAAATAGAAAATGTTCAGCTCATCAACTAATAGTTTCGGAAGCAATGATCAACAACCAGCAGGTTTCAGCTTTGGTTCAAGTAGTGCTACTGCTACTACTGATCAACAGCAACCATCATTTGGTACAACCGGCAATACTTCTGGTGGATTCAGCTTTGGAGAAACATCCCAACCAGCCACTACTCAACAACCAACTGGAGGATTCAGCTTTGGATCATCACCAACTACTACTACCACTACTACTGGATTCGGAAGCTTTGGTTCCCAACCAGCCACTCAACCAAGTTTTGGTTTTGGGACTACTACAGGAAATTCTCAACCTACCACTACTGGCTTTGGATTAAGTCAACTAACAACTACTCAATCTATAACTCAACCACCCCAAACAGGTTTCGGTTTTGGTGCAACTCAACCACCTACTGTTACTGGATTTGGTGCTACTCAACCACAACAAACTGGATTCGCTTTTGGCACAACCACTACTGAGCCAACATTTGGTTTCACTTTTGGTGCAGCAACAACTACCAATCTTGCTGGATTTATTACCATCCCACAACATGGGTCATTTGGTGGTTATCAAAGCAATGATTTTCATGATTTAAATATTGAAATTTATGATGAAAATGGACTTTTTACTACAATCAAGACTCATAGAATCAAAGTTGGACAAAATAATGGATTATTATCTCAGTTGGTAAAGAACAGTACCAAGAAAAATGATGTATTTACCATAGAATTAGCAACATCTTTCATTCCAGAATCAAAGTTTGGAAGAATCAAAGCTATTGCTTTACAACATGCTATTAGTTCCTATTTTGAATCATCCAATGCAAAAGTAGAAGATATTTTACAAGTTATGCTTGTGATGGATTACTTTGGCATTCCAACATTCCAAACATTAGTCAATCGACTTTACTCAACCTTTAAACTCTCAGAATATTGTGCACGTGCGTATCTCAGAAGTTTCAACAATTTCTTTTCAACCTATTCACTTCCTCACTCTACAGAAACATCTTCCTACTTTACCTTGTTTAAAATTGCATTCAACACCTTGGTAGATGGAAAGGATTTAGAAAATCAAATGGTTATCAAGGAATTGAACAGACAATTATTTGAAACTCAAATCAAAAAGGTGGTCACTGCAACAGAGTTACCAAATATTTTGAGTGCAATTGATGTTTGGGTTTTACATAACTTTGCTTCGTTGAGAGAGACACTCTCCTATGAAGTCTGCACTCTGGTTGACAATCTCCATATCAATAATATCGAAACCGTTTTAATGATGATCCAATTACTAAGCTGTAATTCCCCACAATTTTATTTTATTAGTGCAATTAGTCCAGAGTGGAAATTGAAACTCATTAACAAGTATGCCAGTTGCAATCCAGTCCAACAACCACAAGCTCAACCAGGTGGATTCAATTTTGTTTCAACTCCAGTACAAACTCAACAAACCCAACAAACTCCATTTGGTTTTGGATAATAAATTAATAATTGAGTAATTTTAATTATGTGCAACAAGATTTCACCTATAAAGTTCTATTAAGTAAGGTAGGGAAAGAGAATCTGGTCTCAAGCTTTTTGGTTTTCTAACTCAGTTTATTATGCTTCCTTTTCAGACAAAATAAATTCAACCTTTTTTGAGATAGCAACAGGATTTCATTTTCCTCCAAGCCTTCAACTTTATAAAAGAGATTTACGTCTAGTTGCGATATATCGTCCCACTGTAATTGCTCAACAATATTTGAGAATTATTTGTGGAGAGGTGTTTATTTTGTTATTTACACGATATTGTTTAGATAGTTTCATGATCCTTAAATCCAGCTAAATCATGATTGACTGGTACGTTTAACTATAAGAGTTGAACTTCCTCATTCTCAGACACTACACAACAAATGTGAAGGGAGAATATGAGATATTCCTTCTTAATAGTTGTTTCAAATTATTCTAAACTATTAATTTTGAGAAGGAGTGGAAAGTTGTTGCTTTTCCAACAATTTTCTTTCCTTTCTCTCTTGCTTTTGAGCTTGTCTTTCCAATTTTCTTTGAGCTTTGACTAATTGTTTTTCAAGTTTCTTTTCCATTTTCATGGCTAGCTTTTGCTCTTTCTTTTGGAGTTTCATTGAAAGCTTTTCATCAGTATTGTTGACAACTTGAACTGGTTCAGAGATAACTGGCTCTACAGTTACATTAACTGGAGCTGTTGGTTCACTAACTTGAGTTGCTTCTTGTTGAGTTGGAATAGTTTTAGCATTTTCTTGTTGCTTCAAAAAGAGTTTTCTTTCCTTTCTTTCCCTCTTCTCAATCTTACATTGATCTCTGAGCATTTTCTTGGCCAATTTCAAAGCTTGTTTTTCTTCCTTGTTTTGAAGTTTGAGTTTAAGTCTTTCTTCCTTGGTTGGAGATGACTCAATAGCAGATGGAACGTTTGAGTCACTGTTAACACTGACTGGATGGAATGACTTTTTCAAAGATTTCATTTCAAATTTGATAGTCTTGATTTGTTCCTTCTTCATCTTAATTTCATCTTTCAATAATTCAACTTGTTCCTTCTTTTCGGAAAGACTTTGAGATTGTTCTTCAGTCAATTTAGGCTTGACCTTTCTTTCTTTCTTTTCCTTTCTTTCCTTCTTTTCATGATTCAATTTCTCTGAAAAGAATTGGTTTATCTTGTGGAATTTCTTGAATTAATTTCATCATTTCAGAAAAATCATTTTCATCGTTAATTACAAGAATTGTTCTTCTCTTCTCAGAAGATGGAACAATAGCCTTGATCTTGAAAGTGGATGCTGATGCTTCACCAGATGATGGCAAATCTTGAATAAATTCTCCAACAGTCTTGCTCAAGACTCCGAAATTAATTAATTGGAATACCTTTTCAATCTTGTCTTCCTTGTTCTTTCTCATGATTAATTTACCAGTAGGTTGAGTTTGAACTGGAGTTGTGATAGTATTAATGGCGGTCATTTTGCTTCTTATATTTGAATGGAAATTAAATCTTTGTTTTTTTTGTTTTATAAATTTATATATTATTTAAAGGGAAATTTATGTGATCTCCAAAGACAAAGTTCACCACCAACGCCAAAAATAGTTTTCAATGTTACTATTTCATATGAAATAATTAAAGAAATCATTTAGTTATAGAATCAAGAACGGATTTTACAGTGTGTTTTGTTTTACAACTCTTCCTTATCTTCATCTTCTTTGGTCAACGCCTGATACACATTATTCTGAACAAAATCTTGGAAACAATCATATTCAATCCATTCTTCGTCTCTAAGAGAAACAATTGATGGCTCTTTCAGTTTCGTTCTTGCAAGATCAAGAATTGTATCTTTACTATGATCAGGAGTTAAAGTAAGTAAAACTCCTCCCTTGCTCTTTCCGTATCTTCTTACCTTGATTTTCTTCTCAATAATCGGACCTGTTGATGAAGAGTTGCTGTTCAACTGTTCTTTAGCAGAGGTATTCTGAGAAACAGAGTATTCAACTCTAACATTTGATTCAGTATTCACAATCTCGTCATTAGCTTTGGTATCAAGGTCAACCTCCTTTTTTACCACTGGTTTTAATGTAAAAGAAATAGTTTGTGGGGCGTCTATGATCGGAGTATCACAAGAGAATTTCAGAATACTTGTTCCAGCCACTCTGATAACAGCAAAAACATTTCCATCATTCAGCGTTTGATGAGTGATTAGTGGCAGTGCCATACTATCAAACATGACATAAATTCTACCCATGTTTGTTATACCAAAGCCAACAGTACACGTTGAGTATCCCTCTGGTCCATAAACGAAAGAGTTTTTTCCAATGATTAAATTACCATTTGATAAATCATATGTAATACTGTTATTTGTGTCTATCTCAGTAATTTTTTCTATGGACTTGGAATCTGAAGTGCTAATACCAATCTTCAAGTCGTCGAACTCAGTGGAAAGGACTTTAATTGAAAAATAGCCAATGGTTTCTTCTCTTTCTGCTTCGTTTACCTTATTGAGAGAAACTATTGGTTGGTTGGAGATTGCTGTTGATTCTTCCCCAAAATTAATGATTGTAAAATCAGAATGGTTGTCTTGATCCTGTTCCTTTAAACAAAGAAGTAATCCTTCAGAAACAAAACCGGAAATTGGACTAGTCAATTTGAAGGAGGACAAGTGAGGTAATAAGGATCCCTGACTAGGTTTGCATTGGCATGTGTGTCCTTGTATTGTTTCTTCACCTACATGGCAGTCACAATAAAATGATGAATATTGAAGAGACAAATTATGACCAAGGTGACATTTATAGCCACATGTTAAACAGCAACCAAGAGATGGATCATTTGCAAAACATGTTTTACATCTAAACCACCACATCTTGATATGGTCATCTGATCTATCAACATTAGAGCATAATCCATAGTACGATCTACTTAAAATTTGTTTGTAATCTGAAACCATCATTGCAAGTTTGCTTCTCAATAATAACCCTTCAACGGGATCATCTTGTTTGTCAATGTATTGTTCAAATACTTGTTCATTAGCTATCAAACAGCTAGGTTCAGCCATTTGCATTGAAAGTGACAAAAAGTAGTTTTTAAAAAAACCAAGTAACTCAAGTTTTTCATCACTTCCATCAATGTAAGGAACAACAAGAGCAATTGTTTCGATAATGTCACCTTTCAACTCGTCCATTCCATCTGATACCAATAATGACAAAAGTGCAACGATGAAACTTTTCTTTGCATAATTGCTTCTTACGCTTATATTGTGTTTACACATGAATGAGATAATCTTTACAACAGGAACAACTGCTTCAACTGCCAGCTTTTCCTTATCATCAATCTTTTTCAAAGATGATATTAGATCAAACAATCCACTTCTTCTAAGTGATGCACTCAATAATCGAAGTCTTTCAGAAGGTAAATTGTCACTATTTTCCAATATTGAAGCAATTAATTTGACTGACAAATTCCATCCTGTCTTAACCTTGTCATTAATAGATGCATTAGTGGTGATCAAACTACTAATAGTGTGTGATTTTATCTCTTCAATCAACTCCTTTTTTGGTTTCGAATTGGATGACTTATCGTTTGGTACTAGTGCTTTAATAAGTGAATTGACATATCCAATAACCACCTCTATACCACCATTAATAATAAAATACTCTGATCTCTCTTTCAGTTTAGTACTATCAGAAAATATTCTTTCTAGAACATACAAGGCCCTTAAAACTACAGACGGCTTGGAAACAATCTTGATCAATGGAACGAGCCCAAGGATTACCAAATTACCGTTTGGTGCGTTATTGAACTCAAACAAATCAATTTCTCTATGGTTTGGTCCATAAGCTAATACTTTCTTCCAAGTCTTTACAATTGGATGATTTTGTAACTCTGAAGCTTTCAATCTTTTTTCAACAACACAAATCATTTGTTTGAGTAGTTCTTTTGTACCTGGATCAGTTAAATCATAAAAAACATCTCCAAAGAATTCATTCAATCTTTTGTTATCTTGTAAAATACGCCATAAAGAAGTTTCATAGGGACCTGTTTCATATTTAGATACAATAATTAACATTTTTTCAGCAAGTGTACCCTCAGAAATCAATAAACTAACTTGCAACAGTATCATTCCAAGAGAATAAACATCAGCTCTTGTGTCATACTCCTCTTGTTCAATAATTTCCAAAGCCTTAAATATTGAAGTACCAACATTAGAATAGTTCCCATTCATTTTCTTTGCCAATCCAAAGTCTCCAATCTTGAGTTGAATTTTCTCAAACTCTGTTGGGGAAGAACCTTCATACTTTATCATTATATTAGATGGTTTCAAATCTCTGTATGAAACAATTCAAGTTTCTTTCAATTACCTGCTCAAACTTACCTGTGAATTAAATTATTTTGTTCAAAGTCGCACAAAACATCAAGCATTTTGAAAAACCAAACAAAAACAACATCAATTCTAAGAGTTTGATTGCTACTTATTAATTGAATTAGAATGTCATTCAAGTTTCCTTGACAAAGCTCCATCTTTATAACCAAAAACTTGCAACCATTCGATGGAAGACCAGTGGTTGGATCCTTGTCCATCACTTCACTATCAAAGATTTTGACAACGTTTGAACTATCAATATTCTTGGAAAATTCAACTTCTCTTCGAGCTAACTCCTCATTTGCAATTTCAAATCTCACAATTTTGATAGCAAATTGAGAACCAGTAGTCAAATCTTTTGCTTCATATACTTTTCCAAAATATCCTTCTCCCAATGATCGTATGAGAGACCAATTTGTATTGAAACATCTAAACGAAACTGTTTCTTCTTTTTTTGATGGTACAGCTTTCTTCTTTTCAATCTCTGCAATTGTGTTACTGATGGTGGTAGTAGTCTTGGGAAGACTTTCCTTGCTATTGAGAATACCCATTTTTTATCATTGATAAAATTGTTGTGACAATTTAATTCTATTTAACCATTCTAAAACGAAAACGTGAAGTCTTCTTTGGGACGTTTCTATATGTATTTTTTGTTTAAGGTTACTGTCATCACTAATGAAAATAACAATGACTTAGAACATGTCAAAAGTCAATCACGTTTTAAAAAAAGGACACTTCAATCTTGTTCATGATGTCGAATGAAATTTATTGTATCAACGCTCAGTTTTGTGGCCTTAATATATCAAAAAATTATTTAAAAGATCTTCCATTTTTCAACTTGTTAAAAATCAAAACGTGAAAACGTGAAAAAATTTTTAAACAACTAAGATTAAAAAAATGGGTTTATCGAAATCAAAAGAGTCGACCAGTACCACCAAATCAACCTATAAGGTTATTAATTATGCAGATAAAAAGTATTATCTGATTGATACGTTAGGAAGTGGTAATTTTGGATCTGTTTATTTGATTCGTGACGTTAATTCGAATGAAGAATTTGCACTCAAAGTTATTGAAGAGTCTGAAACAAATTCAAGTTCAATTATAAAAGAAGTTAAATTGGCTCAAGAATGTGAACATCCAAATATAGTAAAGATTTATGACTATAAACTCTTGAAAACTTCTCCAATTACCAAAGTAGAGGATATAAGTAAGGTGTTTTTGTGTATTAGAATGGAAGTTTGTCAAGGAAACTTGAATCAAATTTTAGAACGACTAAAAAAGGAAAATATCAAAGTTTCTGCCAAAGTTGCTTTCCAATGGTTCATTAAAATGTTACATGTCTTGAAAGAATTGAACGAGTTGAAAATCATTCATAGAGGTATGTTTTCTTTATCAACTTTTTAAAAAACTATTTTACTCAAGATTTAAAACCAAACAATATTATGGTTAAATATGATGCTAGTCTTTTAACAAATTCTCTGTTGGAAGGATTGGATAAGGTTGAAGTTAAAATTGGTGATTTTGGAGTTGGCACTCAATTACAGGCTCATCAATCAAAGGCAAAAACTATTGCTGGAGATGTTTTCTATCAAGCTCCTGAAGTTTTTACAAAAAGCTACACTCCCAAAGTGGACGTCTATTCTTTGGGAATTATCTTTGTCCAAGTATTAGCAAGTTTACCAGAAAAAGATTACAGAACTAACCTTGCAAAATTAGCAATAATGGTAAACGGAAAATTAGATATTAATTCGTTGATAAATGTCCAAAGTAATCAATGGTTTGTAAAGACTTATCAACAAATTCTTGCAAGACTTTTGACAGATAAAGCTAGTTTGCAGGTAATGAAGTTGATGGTTTGCGATGCTGATTCCAGGTTGGAAGCAAGAGAATTGTTACAACACCCAATTGTTACAACCTGGGATAATATGATAGAAAACAAGAATGATAATGATATATCGAAATGTAACGACTCATTTATTGCTTTGTTGTCAGCCGCTTGCATGAAATCAATGAAAATTTCAGTTAGAAGTTTAAATATTATCAATAGTTGGATTAATGAAAAGGATTATTTAAACTCCTTTGTCAGTGAAAATGATGGAATTCAAATGGTGGCCTCTCAATTTTCTTCTTTCAATAAGAATATTGAAAGATTGACAAGTGAAGAAACTGAAAAATTCTCCTTAATCCTTCAAATTCTTACAAAAGCCTTACATAGTCACAATTCAGTCCAACTTGTTATTTCCTCTATCTTAGATTCAGATCTTCGAATTTTCTGTGAGGAATCAAAGATTTCCAAGGCTAACAACAAGAGTTTCATTGGCGAATTCTTATGGAATCTTTTATGTAAAAGCTTTAAGGCACGTAAATTGTTTGCGCAAAGAAATTTCCTTACACAATGTGTACTATTGTGGAGGGAGCACCCTTCTTGTAATAAGTGGTTGGAAATTGCTGCCTTGTGTATACCTTACCTTCCTTTCCAAGTTCTTTCATCATTTATTTCAAGTATTGAAATAGAATTCACTAAATCAGCAATTGAGTTGGCACAACCTCATCAATTAGAAAAAACTTTCCAAACATGTTTCAATTACAGAGCAGAAGAAACAATATACAGATATCGTACCTCTAACGACGATAATGCTAAAAAGAAGATTGAGCTAGCTATAAGAATTAAGGAATTATTAGAAGATTTCAATCAAGAATATCCTCTTCTGATTAGTTCTTCATACTATGGGACATGTTTAGGCTCTTGCTCTTGTAATTTTTGGCATTATGTATGTAAAACTTGCAATAAGAAGATTTGTTTCCAGTGTTTTCGTAATGAAAATCACGTATCTCATGATATAGATATTGAAAATGGCAATTTCACCTGCTTAGAGATGAGAAAACATGGAATAAGTATTCACCACTATTTAGAAAATGTATCACAACAGTTAACAGACCAGACCCTGAAAGGGAATGAAAGCACAAGCAATGAGAAATTTATCCAATCTGGATCCAGTTCTAAAGTGTCCATTTCAACTAATGGCATTCCATTGAATGCTTCCTTGAATAAGTTCACGATTGGGTATATCGAGCTAGGAATACTGGAAAGAAAAGGAAATTTGGAATTCTTGTTCATGGGTTGCACATCCGAAAACGTTGACAAAGATGATATTAGAAACAAAACTATTTCCTTTTGTTTGAGAACTGGGTTAATGACTATTGAGTGCAAATCCGATGGCACAAAAATGTCAAAACAGTACCTTCCTCCTGTTGATATAACTGACAGAATTGGTTTTGGAGTTACTGGAGGTGGTTTTTGTTATGCAATTGTGAACTCGTATGTTCTTCCTCTAATTGACTACTCTCTGATTGTTGAAGAAAACAATTCGAGAGTTTTTTGGGCCATGAAAACAGAAGGTTCGTGTGTCATTGAGCTTTCTAATATTGTACCACATTTGAAACTTCAAAATCGTGTAAGAAGAATATTTGCTTACTTATACGAATGTGATTTAGGAGCTGTTGTGTCGATTTCTCTCAATATTCGAAATATTTCTGATTTGATAGAATTGTTGAAAATTAAGCTTAATGACAGAAGCTTGGAGTTTATAAGGTTAAAAGAGAACTTGTGTGCAATTCACAGTCTTGAAGATTTGAAAGACAATGACGAAATTGCTCTTCTTAACCAGCAACAAGAGTTATCACTTGCTTGTAAAACTCTTGACTTGAATAATTATTCACTATTCTCTGAGTAGTTGAAAGTTGATTAATGCTTTTGATACTTGACTTGGTAACTTCTAGAAGAATGCATTATCTAAGTAATTATCATCACACAATAAACTTCCTATCTTATAAACCAAACTTGAAGAAAAAGGCCACAACAAAAAAGCTTTCGCGATCTACAGGACTCGAACCTGTGCGGGTCTCCCCAATTGATTTCTAGTCAATCACCTTAACCACTCGGTCAAGACCGCTTCACATTTAAAAAAGAGTTCCCTTATTGAAACCTTATATTATGCTTACAGCAAAATAATAACAATATCAGTCAAATAAGGCCTACTGTTTTATGGTTGATATTTGTTGAACCTTGTGATCATATTATTTTGAAGATTACAGGGTCGCGTCGTTTTCTTTTGCCTCAGCATTTCCTTATTCTCTATATTGTACCATCCTATTACAGTAGCGATAACTCCTCTCTAATTTTTTACTCAAAGAAAAATGAAAACATCTCACAGCTTAATCGGCGTTTATTTACTCTTGGCTATTGTGGTTTGCTTGCTCAGTGAAAACACATTTGCCTTCTCATCAAAGGCTGTAGCCAAATATGAAATGTCAAACACTGAGAGAAAGGCTATGGAAAAGAGATTTGGTATTAAGAATATTGTTAAGCCAGTCACCCAAGTTATTAAGAAGGTGGAACATGAAGTTGAAAAAGAGTTGAAGAATGTTCTTAAGGCTATCGAAGGTGTTGGTGCTTCATGTAAATACACAAGAGATGATGGTCTTAAGAGATTTGAATGCGATGTTGGATTCCATCAAAAATTCTTGATTGAAAGAGTTTCCATCTCTGCTGGATTTTACCTTGAATTTAATCTTAATACTGAACAAGTTGAGATGGGTATCCACGCTTTTGGAAAGACCATTGCTAAGGTTAGCTTTAAATTCCACATTCCTGATCTCTGTTATGATGTTGTTCCAACTGTCGGATTGTGTGTTGGTCTCAATAACGTTAAATTCAACAAGAAGAATGACTGTTTGGCTGGTCAGTTGGCTTTGGAAATTAAGGCCTTGGGTCAAAGATTGAGAGTTTTGCACGAAACTATTGGTTTCCATGCAAGCAGATGCTAAATGGTTCATATTTCACTGAAATTAAATTATTACTTGTTGTTCCTCTATTAGACATTGAGAGAATTTTCCTTTTGAAGTTGGTAAACAGCCAACCATTGTGAATATTGTTGAGTTTGTTTCAATCGGTGGAAGGTATCTGTAAGGTTTTTACACAACTCTAAAAACATGGTCTCTATGAGTTGATGCTTTCTTGTCTTGATCTTAGTCTCATGATCTGATTGATTCGAAGGAACAGAAAGGTCTTGAATGAGAGAGGAGAGATCCTTCTTCACTTGTGATGGCAGATTCACTTCATACTTTGAGAAGGGATGTATGAATTCTGTTTCAATCCTTTTCAAGTCATCTAATGAGAGGGATTTACGTGAGCTCTTGTAATCCAAAATGGCATCGTAGAAGGCAACGTTCTCATATGAAAATTCCTTCCTTGAATATTCACTCATTAGTGTGTAAAATTCCTTATTCTTCTCCATTAGATTTTCCAGATCTGATTGTTGGGTTTGAGCAGTTCTGTCCTTGTAGATGATCTTTTTAGAGATCTCAATAATCATTGCGTTTCCTCCACAAATGAGAATGACTGATATTGAGATGCAAACATCCATAATTGCTGGAAATATGGTTTCAACAAATGAGACTGAAATGTAGAGAATCAAAAAGATGAGAATCATGGCTTGGAAGGCAATGTCAATTCTGAGATAAATTGGATCATCAAAGAACAAGAACTTTAAAATTCCATATCTTTTGATATTATTCCTATTCAAAAATAAGTCAACCATCAAAAAGCTCACACTTGAAATTAGAGAAAGGAAAATTACTCCAGCTCCAACACCATTAATAATATTATTGTCATTGAATATTTCAAAAGCAACAGTTGGAGGTAAAACTACAATGATTGAAAGTACTAAAATGAAAGCAAGGGACATTGAAAGTGCGAATGGAATTGATAAAATTCTCTTGTGGAAAGCGGTACTCTTATTCGAATTGGAAAGGAATGAATACATGTTCCTCATATAGACATATCTCATAATCGTAAAAAAGTATACAGCAATAATCACTATTGAAGCAAATAGAGCCATTGGTCTAGAAACAGATTGGCAGGATGCAGACAACATTTGAGTATTTGAAAAATTTCTCAATATTCCAAATAAAGGTAAATAAGGAACGAATAATCTTCTCTTGAGAGAATATGATCTGAACATTCCCAGTGAAAACAGCAATATAAAATAGAATATGGCAATTCCAACACCAATATATGAAGCATAATCTTGTGAACCGAAAGCATAGCACAATTCATATGGACATTGCATACATGATGAATCTGACATTTGTTTCAGAACTGAACTCATACTCTCATTGAAATAGACATAGTTTCTATACTTCTCAATCACTGTATTTGCATATCTATTGTCAAAATTAATTGAAATATTATACATTCTTTCAACGTTTCGAATATCAGTAACTGTGAAATTAACAAATGAGAATCCATATCTTGCCCAAGCAGCATCTCTAGAAAGAACTTGAGGTGTTCCACATTGAGAAGAAGCATTTAAATATCCAATATTATTGTCAATAATATTCGATAGGAATTCAACATTTTGCTCCATTGAAACACTCGATGCCACAACTAAACTTTTAGGAATGTAACGAAGCGAATAAAAATTTCTCAATTCCAATTCAGATTTCCTCTCTGGATAAATCATTTTGTGAGCTTTCACTGCAGATGAAATGCTCGATGCAGTTCCAATAAAGCCATCATTTTCAATCATGTTATCTGATTTTATACAATCAGAAACTGGTGTTAAATCTTCATAATTAACTTGTTTTCTAATAGAATCAAATCCGTAGAGGTAGCCATATGATTCAACCCATGGTTTCAAAGTAGTAGTTACTGCTAACCTCATGGTGGCGTTAGAGTTTCGAATAATTTGAACAAATTCGTCTAGGTTTTGAGGTGATTGACTCATATTGTAAGTTTTTATCATTTTGTCTTTCCACAAATAAATTGCAAAATAATCATTCACACCAATTACTGTGCTTTCCATTAATTTCTTCCGAATTGATAAACTTGTCAAATCCTGACTTGATTGTTGTTGAATTGACATTACTCCATCATTAAAATCAAAATATTTATCCACAGTGAAGGTGTACACTGATGAAATACATAGCAATACTACTGTCAGTAGTATAACCACTATTAGATTTCGTTTGTTTGACATTTTTTTGATGGAGCCAAAAGTTGACATGTGAAATGTTATATTCTATATGGCGGGAGCTATCCAATTCAACGTTTAGAATGGAAATAGAGCGACATTTTCGGGCCGCCAATGTTAAATATTTGGTCAACCAAGTATTTAATCCAAATGACATTAGCCAAGTTCTCACATCATATGCAATAATGTATTTATTAAAGTTCTAAGTGTCAATTGATTACTCTTTCGTGTATTGTAAAGTTCTTTAGAAAAAAAATGTCAACAACATTGCAATCACTCCCATTCGAGGTCATTATGGAAATTATCAATTTCCTGCCGAGTAACTTTTTAATTTCCGATCGATTTTTACATCTATTGACTCGATTGTTATTGTCAAATATTGATGATGATAGTGGATCATCAAATGATTATACAGCCTTTATGAAAAAAAGGCTAAAACAAGATTTATTTGATGAACATTACATGTTTAAATTGTTTACAACTTTGAAGAGCGCTGTAACATATATCTCGAGGAGAAATATTAATAACTGGATTGCAACGTTGAAGTTTTTGAATCCCGATGAGTTTGATCATGATTTAATGTTGAAGGTATTGATTGATCCATTGAGAAGATTATGGCCAGAAATGCCACGGAATTTTTGGAGTACAGATCCTAAAATACATGAGATAATGCATAGTAATTTGATTCAAATATATAAGGAGATGGATTTGGATTGGAAGGAATTGAATTTCTTGTACAAGTTTATTGAGAGAAATTCATATTGCTGTCTTTGTTCGAAAACTAGAGAAATAGCGGAAGAAGAAAGAATAAGAAATGCATTGAGTAGTGTCGGTGGACAATTGAATTTTGAGTGGTACTTTTGTAATAATGAAAATTATAGAAATGGACATTATGAAAGTCAAATACCTGGTATTTTAAAGTTGGCACATTTAAACTATGATCTCCCATTTAAGGTGAGAGGAGTTTTGAAATTGAAAGATGACAAGATAGTTTACACCAATTTATGGGTTAAAAAACCTGAGATATGCCTTGAATCTTCCCTTACAAACATTCAGGGATTAGGTGGTAAGGCCATTATCAAATACTTAAGCAAACCAACTGATTTTTTCTTTGACAATGATCCCACAATGTCCGAAATTGCTTCACAGCTATACATTCTTCCAAGCTCGTGCAAACCTAACAAGATTATACGAGCAAACACAAGAGATATTGTTTGCATTTCAGATATATTTATCCAAGTACACGAACCTTCAACAATATCTACATTCTGTGACTCAAGTAAGCATCTATTCAAGTGTAGAGAGAGTGTTTTAGGTGTGGAAGTTGACATTAATGTTAACAAACGTCAGAAGGAATGTAAAATAATTCCAAGGAGCCCCCTCATTACAATTGCACCACTCTCTATAATGTTTATTATTGCACTACTACTTGATCATTTTAAATGCTTTTTGAACTTTCGTTTTACTAGAGAATTTTTTGCAAGGCACAATCTATCTTGGACTGAATCAATTTTACTTGTGCTTGGTGATATAACTTCTGCCACATTGATTGGATATTTTGCTAAGGCTTACTATTGTTATAGTCAGGGTTATTTTTTGGAAAGTCATATCTCTTTATTGGAACTATTTGGAAACATTTCATTTATTGGAAATGCCATCAAGTACACTTCCCAAATATTCAATTCTTACTTTACTAAAAAATCCAAACTCCTTCCAATATTTTTCATGAAAAATAACATTACGAATATTAAAAATTGATTATATACGTGTTTATTTACAATTTACTTTCTCTTTGGATCATATTTTTTGAGTATTAAATCGAGTGTATCATATGAAGAATATTCAATGCTATTCAGTATTGTTGCAATCTTTAACCTCTTTTTTTGGCTTCTTTCCATTTCGGTTTTCAGAGATTCAAACCTCAGAGTGTTAGATTGTTTATTCTTCATGGGTGTGTTGATCTAGTTGTGCCTTTTTATTTGTTCTTGTTAATTTTATAGTACAACTGTAACTTCAATTGTACAACTTAAAAGAAGCTTTGGCTCTATCTACAAATTTGGAAAGTCATGCAAACTTTGCTTTGTCATTTTGTAATACCTAATGAGGAATATTAATAAACATGGAAGGTTATGAACAAGTCAACTAGAATAATTAGAAATTCCAATTGACAATGCTTCTGTTTCGAAACTATTCTTCCAATAAGAAGGTGCTCTGAAAAGGAACGCATTCTCCTTCCCCATTCTTCAATGCTTCCTTAATATTAAATTCATCATAAAAAAATGAGTCAAACAAGCATTGCCAGCAAATTATCAAAAAACGAAACTCTAAATGAACCAACGAACGACTCAAAGCAACTTGTTAAATTGAATGAAAAGGTGAGGAAATATGAAGAAATAATTGAAAAGAAGAATAAGGAAATTACTCTTCTTCAGTTGGATCAAGAAAATTGTAAGTCTTTTTAACTTTTGAACCAAGACCTCATTATCAATCCGAAAGTAGATAAGAAGAAGTTTTCCAATTATTCTGAGCATAATTCAAGTATTGCCATTCGGAATGCTAGTCTGGAAAGAACTTTAAGGGAAATATCCATTGAGAAATTAAAAGTAGAGAGGGAAAATATGAAACTGAAAGAGAATATTGCTTGTTTAGAAGGTCAGCTTTCGGAACAAAGGCTCATGATGAAAGAGGTTTTATCATCACAACAGTTAGAGACTAAAATTGCACCCACTCCTTCATGTGAATCATCGTTAGCTATTAAGCCTGTGAAGACTGAAAAACCATTCCAATTGAAAATTACCAAATATCTGAAAAAGACCAATCCAACAACCAGCACTGTTAGTGATCAACAAATTTGTAATATAATATGATGAATAGAACGCCTCCGAGAGAAATTCCACAAGCCCCTCAACAATTACATTCAAACAATTCTAAAAGTCCTGAAAGAAGCACCACAAGAAAGAAACAACCCTACTTTGGGCGATACAAACTCACACCAATGAAAAAGGATCGTATTGGTATCAGCATTCAACACTCAGTAGTACTGCTTGAAAATTCCATGATGTTAGATGAAGATGAAGAAGTAATTATTTGATAAAGGTTGGAGTGATTGGTGATTTTTAATTGTCAATTCATTTTTAAAAATTTATTTAAAATTTAAAATCAAAAAAAACATGCCCAACAATAAGACGGAGGAGAATTTGTTGGATTTTGATGATGATATGCTCACACCAGTCTCAACTCATCATCATCAACCACAAGCCTTCCACCAACCAACAGCATCATCGGATATGGGAACACCACAATTACAACAACCACATTTAGCATCAGTAAGAGGTGAATCATTTAGTGTTTCAACACCAACTAGTATTCCTGAAAATACAAATTTTGTTCAATTGAAAAAGTTTGTAGAATTGACGAGTGGTAACCAACAACATCTTTTAGAAAATGATAATACTAAAATTATTTCTCCCCTGATCCATACTAAACTCTTACAAAGAAAAGTCTTGGATTTTCTCAAGGAATTGGATCTCTACATGTCAGAATCACAAGATATTAAAAAGTTGAATGCTTCAAAGATTTCTAAAGTTCTTGATGAAGTGTCACTGTATTTTGCTACAGAGAATATGGTTGATGAAAAACTTCCATATCACGTCTCCGTTTCATTGGCTATTGATGGTGATCGTATTTCATCAACAATGTCCACTTTATTGAACAGACTTATTAGTTGTAAGTTTTTATAATTTTCATCACCAAAATGATGATGATGACTGTGTGTAAATGAAATTAGTGATTGGATCGGAAGATAAAAGAATAATTGCTCTAGTACATTACATGCTCTCGGAAATTAATTTACCAAGAGAGGTTAGAGAAAAAGTACTTGCTGCTTTGAAATCAGAATTTAAATCTACTGAAAATAGTTGTACAAGAGCTTACTGCATTCGTTCAATTGATAGAATTTGTAGAAGTTCATATCCAAGTAGAAAAGATGCTGCTGGTCATGTGAAAGATCTCTTTGAAATGGTTCAAAAGGTTATCAAGGATTTGGGAAAGGAAAATAGTTTTTCAAGTAAGAAGGGTTTTATTTCAAAGCTCTTCAAAGATACTGACAAGGAAGAAAAGATTTACTTACTGAGAACATGTCTTCAAATTGTGAAAAACAATATTAATGATCCTGTGTTAACAAAGGGTATTTTGGAGAATATCATCATGTCCTCTAGAAACAAATCAGCTGATTGTGCAAGAGATGCTCTGACAGTAATTTCTGGTTTAATTCCAATTAATCCAGTTTCCACTTTATTTGCCTTCAGTTCATCTATTCCACATTTTGAAGCCAACAATGACAAGAAGAAGGCTTCAGCTGCCAAGAATATTATTTATTCCAAATTGAAAGAACTCAAACAAGACAAGAAAACAGAAGTATTACCAACCATGAATGCTGAAGATTCCTTCTCAAGATTTTACCTTGCTAGAACTTGTGCCAGCGTTATCAAACCTATGGTATTTAGTTCTGAAGAATCAGAAACTGAAGAAGCTGCCTATGAACAGAAATACGTAGATACTTTGAAACACTTGCTGCATGATGAAGATCTGATGATATTCTTTGAGACAGTCAAACAGGTTGCTATGAGGAATTTCAAATTCTTTTTAGAAAAGGACATCCACCAAGAAAAATCTCTCACATTAGACTTTGTTGTAACAAGAATCTGTACTAGTTTGAACAAGGCAAAACCTCAAATTCAAATTCATGCTGCATGTAGAGCCACCTATTATCTCATGAGATGCTTTGAAAGGTTTAGAGCAATTATGGATGCTGATCCATATTCTTCATTCTCACAAAATACTCCTGAGATGAAGCAAGCCAATGCTATTTTCCAAAAATTATACAAAAAGATTGATGCTGTTTTAATTCATGATTGTTCATTCGTGAAGTTCCAAGCATTCAAGGCATGTATTTGGAGGTTGGACAAGGTTTCACAAGTTGTTAGAAGATTGAAAATGGAAATTAAGAGTAATGTAAATTGGATGCCTTTCCATATTCATGAATTGTTGATGACCTTGTTAGAATTCTCAAAGAACAGACCAGCTGTTTTTGATGAATTTGCCAACCTTTGTTCCTACATTTGTATATATTTATCTGAAAGAGTAGATGTTGATTTATTAATTGCTCTTTTCAAACAATTAATTCCAACCAAGACCAAGGATGAGCGACAAATCGAGTTGACTACTAGATTTTTAAATATGGTATTCAGTATTTTAGATGAATGTTTAACAGGATCAAAGGAATCTTCAGAGCTTGCATTTGCCATCTTGACATTCCTTGGTGAATATGCCAACAAGATTTGTGACGAACCATCTGTCAATGAAAAAGAAAGTACAGAAGATTCTGGAACTGTAAACCTCTCTGAACCAAAACTTATTTATCAACAACCAGATGTATTTGATATTCATAATGCTGCTATGAAATCAATAATTTTGAAACTTATTCAAAATACCATGTACAATACGCCACAAGTAAGAACATGCTGTTTGGAAGGATTAGCTAAAATTGCCTTTAGATCTCTTGATCCTATCAGACTTTTCGTTTACGAGTTCCTTTCATACATGTCACAACACGAGTATTTTGGAGTTTCAGCTAAATGTAAATCAATAACCAATGTGTTGGACGAAGTTTACATTCTTCAACAACGCTTTGTCAAGTTAACTTCATCCAAAGATGTTGATGACAATTCTCTCATTCAATTCTTTGATGAACATGAAAGAGTGAAGGAAAAAATCTCCTTCTTTGCAAGATCAAATCCTGCCTTCTTACCTTTGGGTAATCATTCTCGTCCATTCTTGAAGAGAGCCTTTGATCTTAGACATCAAAAAGGGTATCTGAATCAATAAAACAAATACCAAATATCCTCAAATAGTCCAATAGAATGGATACGAAACTATCCAAAATCATCTTCCTAAAAGTTAGACATGCTTTATTGTTGAGATACAGATGGTGTTGCTGTTTCTTCGTACTTTTGTAAAAGAACTTCTAATTGTTCAACACATTCCTCAGCTGATAATCTTTCAGTTGGGTTTACCTTTAACATTGCCAAAACAAACTGCACAACATCATCTTGTTTAGCATAAATCTTACGCATATCTTCACTAATCTTTTCCACATACTTTTCAAAATTAGCCAAAGCTTTGGTATAATGTGAAAAACCTTTAACACCACAATTGAGTGTCAATAATTCATAGCACATTACTCCAAAACTCCAAATATCAGCAGAGAATGTATAACCATTAATTTGTTGTCCACTAGTCTTGACACCAATTTCAGGAGCCATATAATTCGTAGTACCAAGTGTTGTGTAAGCAAGTGATTTTTCATTAATTGATCTAGAAAAACCAAAATCACCAATTTTACAAGTATTGTAATTATCTGTTAAAAAGACATTCTTGTGTTTCAAATCTCTGTGAATAATTCTCTTGGAATGTAAAAACTCAATACCCTTAGCCATTTGAAGCATGTAACTAATGGATCGATGAACAGAGAAGAATTTACGTTGTTGTCTTCTCTTTAAAATCAAATTATCCAAATCTCCATCCTTATAGTATGGCATGACAAAGCAGACATTGAATGCAATCTCTTTAGTATTTTCATCTTCTGTAAATTCCAAGAACATGTCATCGTAGGAGGCCAAGTTTTGATTCTTTAAATTTCTGATATACCAAACTTCTTGAATGGCTTGATTGGCTTCATAATCTGTATCACATTTAACCTTTTTCATGGCTTTGTAATTTGGTTTTTCAGGAGTTGATGTCTTGTCCTCCAAATCAATTACTGAAATAATGAGAAATTTAAATGTCAACAAATTATTGAATAATTGATAAGAATCAAGAACATACCTTTAAAAACTGTGCCAAAACCACCCTTTTGTAATTTTTCAACAATTTTATATTGTTGCATCTTTCTTAATCTCTTCTTTGTATCAACAGAAACTTCAGCACTAATCATTCCAGCACTAGCTTCTTTAATTCTCAAAACATCTGAATTAGTCAATTGGAAAACTGCACTTTGTTTAGTACCATTCAAAACATAGGTATTCTTTTCATCAATTGTTTTAAATCCAAATCCTCTTGGAATGATATGAAGATGAATTTTACCTCTTTCAACACCAATTAAATCGAGAACCATTGTATGAAGATGATTCTCTACCAAATGAACAAGTGGAACATTGGCAGCACCCCTACAAATTAATATCATTATTTCACAACATCATTTTAGAATTATCCGAAATATTTCGAATAACAAAAAAACTTACATGAAAGTGTCCACTCCATTATTAAAAACACCCTTGTGCCACACTTGAATAGATAAAATTTCTTCAACCTTTCCCTTTTCCTTTACACTTGGAGAAACTTCAAATTCAAAAACTTCATTCCACATTGGATCGAGTGAATTCTTTACATTTGACGATTCTAATCGTTTTTGTGAGACGAATGCATCGTGACACATGGAAAGTACAACAAATGGAGAACTGGTAGCCTTTGATGACTTTCTAATAGATAAACCTTCACCTTTTTCTAATAAAATTTCAATTTTTGAAAGAGTTGTTGAATCCTTCTTCTTCTTGGATGTGAAAACTTTCCTTGGATATTTATCCCATGATGGTGGTGTTGTAGCAGAAATTATACAACTACTACATGAGGATGATGACTCTGATGATGAATAATGGTCAGACGTTTCGGTATTATTAATAAATGACATTTTTTTGATGTGTGTTGTTTTTATTGGAAACGAAACCACAACCTGATTTTCGTAAACTTCAATAGAATTAATTCATCTTCAAGAAGTTGGGACGAACATTTGGTTTAAAATAGCTTTTTGCAACAGCAACTTCCAAATCAAAATGGAATTTAGGTCAATTAATTACGTAATATTAACACTTTACAATTTTTTATGCCTACTCTTCAATAATATTGAAGTTTTCATTATTCAATTCTGAAGAGTCATCATCAGCTGTAATTACTCGTTCCCATGTTAAATCCATAAAGAAATCATTGTCGAATTTTGTGGATTTCAAAGCATCGTCAATTTCCATCTTGGTTAATCTCAAAATTCCATTATTAGGCATCATACCTACATGAAATGAAATACGAAACATGTATTTTGGTTTCTTTCCTTCTCTATGATGATATCCTCTAATATAAACATCTCCTCCCAGAATTGTATCAATATCTACATCAATTACACTATCTTCTTGTTTGTAAGTTCTCAATGGATTTTTATCTAAACTGGAAAATAATAATTCTTTTGGATTGAATTGAGTTGGTGCTGTGTAAATTTCAATAACTGGACAACAGGTTCCTTTTGAGAAATTTGGAATAGAATACATGGTCATGGATTTCAAACGTTGTTTTCCTCTACTTTTAAAATAAGAACTAACAAGTGTTTTAAGATTGAGAGTGTCTTGACCAAACATTGAGACCAATTCACTCACATATTGTACATATCGACGTTGACTTGGTTGAGCAACACCACGTTCTCTACTTGATCTTTGAGATGCAAAATAATCAAGTGCTTCTGTCCCTGATTCAAACATTCCACTATATGTCATATAACATGCAATAACAGTTCCCTAAATAGTGTTGAAATACAATTATTAAATTACAATTCCAATAAAACCTACTGTTCTACCTCTTCCAGCAAGACAGTGAATAGATACTACATTATTAGGATTTTCCTTCAGAAATTTATCCATCGCTTCACAAATTTCAATAAGAAATTCAACCGGAGGATTGTGATGATCTGGAAATCCCTTCTCAATAACTTTTCCAGCACCCTCTCCTTCCTCAAATAATTTATAATCATAGGGTATTTCCGATAGGTTGATAATCAAAAAGTGTCCTCCATGTTTTTCCTTGAAAAATTGAGCAACAGTCTCCACATGATTTCTATAATATGCACTAAATCCTTCTCCTGGTATTCCCATCGCAATAATACGATTGGTAATATACGTTAAATCCAAGTCATAAAATGTTGTTCCGACCTGATCCTGATATCGAACCTTGTCACCAGAAACCAATGTCCGAACAAAATCAAGCAATGCACTCATTTTTTTTTCTAGAAATTATTATAACCAAAAAGTATTACAATGTATTTATTAATGATTGTAATACAGAGGTTTTGAAATAGGAATTCATTTGAATGAAATTAATTTTTATTGAAAATAATTAAGTTACTTTTAATTGGTCTTTTCTTCATTAATGGTCTTTTCACTCTTTTTTGTAAAGAATTTAATTGCCATTTTAATGACAATCTTTGTAATAATCATAAACCAGAAAACATTCAATAAGAATAAAAGTGATGGAATGACAATTGGAACTCTTTGATGGTATGGTGAAAAGTTATATTGATCAGCAAAATAGAAAATGTGAACATTTTGAATGAAACACCAAATAACACGACAAATCAAAAACATTAACCAAAACAAAACTCCATTCAATTTGAACCAAACAGTTCCTTCATAATGTAAAAATGTGAAAAACCAACGGTGTTGTAAGAATGGTGTAGTAATTTCAGTAATTAATAAAGTAACACAATATAAAACTCCAATTCTAAAATTGAGACAATATAAAATACCCATAATGCAAACTAAATGGTGAATTACCATACTGGTATTATCTGGAAATGCTTTTGGAAATCTGAAACCAAAAATCAAATCATTAATGAAATATCCAACACTAATAGCAAGAACAACTTCATATGAAATTGACCAACCATGTCCAGCATCATACCAAGTTGTTGGTTCATTAATTAATGCATAAATTGCTGCTGATGTTGAAAACCAAGCATGAATATATGAAATAACCTTATTGTAAAATCTAATCTTATCTTCCAGAACAATTTCAGGTTTTCCAAGTGCTTTAATTCTCCTTTCCCAATATTTGTATAATTCCTTTTCATGAAATTCACCCATAAACTCCATTTTCCAATCTATATCAATTCAATTCAATATTATAATAATAATAATCTCTTATTATCTTTTAAATCTATCCGAGTAAAGAGGTCCAACAACAAATATTAAACCACAAATTCCGCACACACAACTATAAAAACGTCAAAATTTCCACCAAAGATGAACAAAGATGAAGAAGAAAAAGGCTGTTAAAAGTTTTCTGAGAACTCAACACAAGAGAACACTGAGTTGAATGTTTTTTTTCACCGTTATTCTTTTTTCACTTAATATTGTCGACAGTGATTTCAATGGTCATTGATAAATGAATCTTCAGAAATTACCGTTTAATATCCGATGATAATGAAGAATAGTATTGTTCATGAATGGTATTGTAGTGATGATGATTATTAATTCTGATGGTGAATGAAAAATTGTTTTTTGCTTCTTGTTCAATTATTCAATAAGAAAAACAATTAAGAATAAAAAATGAGCAACAGTGCCGCAGGTGATAATGATGCTCTTCCGCCATCACCTTCACAATTGGATCAAGAATCAGGTGATACAAATACAACAGCACAACCTCCTTCATCATCACCACCACCATCATCATCAGAAACAAAAGAGGATGTAGTGGATAGTAATGATAATGTTGTGGAGAAGGTTGAAATTAAACAATCTGTTGAAGCTTCTGCTTCCGAGAATGATCTCAAGAGGAAGGATTATGAGGATAGAACCCATAATGAACGTAGATTAAATGATGATAGGAGATCGGATAGAAAATCATATGATAGACGTGATGATAGAAGTGATTACAGAAAGGATGATAGAAATTATGATAGGAGAGACGATTATAGAAGAGATGATAGAAGATATTCTAGGGATAATTATGATAGAAGAGATGATAGGAGGGATGATTATAGAAGAGACGATAGAAATTATGATAGAAGGGATAGAAGATATGATGATAGACCACCACGTCGTGACAATAGATATGACAATGACAGAAGAAATGATAGAAGAGAGGAGAGTACACCAAAAACTGATAATGTGTACATTCCTCCATTCAAATTGAGAAAGTTGCAACAAAATACCGACAAATCGAGTGAGGAATTTCAAAAATTGAACTGGGAAGCCCTTAAGAAAACACTCAATGGTATTGTAAACAAGGTCAACTCTGCTAATATTGCTGATGTGTTACCTGAACTGTTTTCTGAAAATATCATTAGAGGAAAAGGATTATTAGTTAGAGCAATTATGAAGGCTCAGCTTGCATCAATCCAATTTAGTAATGTTTATTCTGCTCTGATCTCAGTCGTTAATACCAGGATTCCAGAAATAGGCGAATTATTAATTAAGCGTCTGGTAAGCCAATTTGTAAAATCATTCAGCAGGAATGACAAGCAAAAGTGCATTGCTTCTTGTCACTTTATTGCTCACTTGGTAAACCAACAAGTTGCAAGTGAAATTTTGGCTGGACAATTACTTTCCTTGCTATTGGAAAATTCAACAAATGATTCTGTAGAACTAGGTGTGACATTTGTAAAGGAATGTGGTAAAACTCTTTTGGAAGTAGCACCAAAAATTCTCTCTGCTGTTTTTGAAGCTTTCAGAAATATTTTACATGAAGGAAAAATTGATAGACGTGTACAATACCAAATAGAATCATTGTTTAATATCAGAAAACTTGAATTCAAGGACTATCCATCAATAACGGAGGAGTTGGATCTTGTTGAGGATGATGATAGAATCACTCATGATGCTATCGAAATTTCAAAAGATATTGACACAGAGGATAATTTGGACATTTTCCAATTTGATGAAGAATTTGAAGAAAATGAGGAAAGATACAAGGAAATTAAAAAAGAGATTCTAGGCGAGGAAGAAGAAGAAGAAGTGGGAGGAGAGGAAGAACCTCAAGCTCATAGTGATGAGGCATTTGGAGGAGTTCAAGAAATTCAAATTAACGCAGAAGGCCAAAAGAATACCCTTCTGGATCCAAAGACTAAAACTGATGAGGGGTCAACAGATCTCAAGAGAAAGATCTATCTTACTATTATGTCTTCTTTGGGATATGAAGAAGCAGCCCACAAACTGTTAAAGTCAGGTCTTGCTAAGGAACATGATATGGAAGTTTGTTCTATGATTATTGAATGTTGTAGTCAGGAGAGAAGCTATTTGGATTTCTTTGGTTCTTTGGCTGAAAGATTCTGCCAACTTCAAGATGTCTTCAAACGTGATTTTGAAGAATGCTTCCAATTGCAATATCAAATTCTCCACAGATACGAAACAAGTAGACTCAGAAATATTGCAAAGCTATTCAGCCATTTATTAGTTTCAGATTCCATTTCGTGGTCCATTTTCTCTGCTGTTAAAATAACAGAATCCGATACCACATCATACAGTAGAATTTTCCTCAAAATTCTTTTCCAAGAGTTACAACAAAAATTTGGAATGGAAGCCCTCAAGAACAGATTATTGTACAATGAAACTCAAAAACCATTCTTTACTGGATTATTCCCTAAGGATAATCCTAAAGTTGTTAGATTCGCTATTAACTTTTGGTTGCTTATTGATCTGCCTCAATTAGCAGAAGATTTAAAGGTGTACCTTAAAGAAATGGCAACTAAGGTCCAATCTGATAGTAGTGATTCAGATAGTGATGACTCTAGCGATAGTGCTTCGGATAGTAGTGACGATTCCAGTGATAGTGATTAATTTATTAAACCACACTACTCCAGTAGTGCAAGCGCAAGCATGTTGTTAGATATTTTGTCCTTTCTTTCTTTTTTAAGCTGAGTTATTGTGTTGTGAAGGTTGAGCAAATTGTCATTATTGGACATTATTTGTCTATGATTGATAATTTGTTTTGTTTCAATAAGGTTTAATTGTACCTGTTTTAACATTTTTCTCCTTTCAGCAATCATTTTCAATTTTTTGAAAATAACTACTGTGGCCTTCTTGGCTCTCTCCTTTAAATGTTGTTCATGGGTGATTTCTTTCGTGTTTGATGAATATTTTGAGTCAAAAACGATTCCTGTTTTGGTTGATAATTTTGGTTAAACAACTCATCCAATTCCTTCTTATCCTTCACAAAAAACTTTTGTTTTTTCAATTTTCCTGTTTTTAAATCAATAACAAATTGATTTCCGAAATATTCATCATTAGATTTTCTTTCTGCAAAATAAACACTCCTATCCGGTACGGAATTTAAATTAATTCTCGATGGTTTTAAAAACAATTTCGGAGTCATAAAAGAACCTGAAGCAATATCAGCTCCATTCATTCTTCAATGATTTAAATTTCTAATAATTAAAACACAATTTAAAACAATCACATGAAATTTAGCCTTTGATTTTTGGCGCTTATTTTTTTGTTGTATTTTAAAGTTTAAAAAATTGATTTCATTCGGGTTCCAGCGAAAACCTCTAAATTGCTCTAGTGCACAATCATTCATCTGTTTTTAAAAGAACTACTACAATATAACATTATAGGTATTCGGAGACGGAGAGGATAATATGGATTTTAGTGAAGTATTTAAATATTCTGGTATTTGTAAATTTTCGCCAAATGGAAAATACATTGCCAGTTCATCAGGATATAGGCTAGTGATTAAAGATGTAGAGTCTTTACAAGTGTTGAGAATTTATACTTGTTCGGATGTAATTTCTCAAATTGAATGGAGTGCTGATAATGAATTTATTCTTTGTGCTCAATATAAAAGAGCTTGTGTTGAGGTTTGGAGTATTAGTGATAACACTTGGAAATGTAAGATTGAGGAAGGTCCAGCAGGAGTAAGCTATGCAAGATTCTCTCCAGATTCAAGACATGTTCTTGTTACTGCTGATTTCCAATTAAGAATTACAATTTGGTCGATATTGAAGAATAATTCCTTAACTGATAATGATGAATTTTCGGGACACGTTGCACATATCAAATACCCTAAATTCACTTCTAAAGGAATAGATTTTACTCCAAATGGAGGAAAGTATATGGCACTTGCTGAAAGAAGAGATTGTAAAGATTACATTTCAATAATTGTTACAGAAACTTGGGAATTAGTTAAACATTTTCCTGTGAGGACAAAGAACCTTGCTGATTTGAAATGGTCTCCTGATGGTAGATTCCTTGTAGTATGGGATCATCAAATCGAATACTCAGTCACAATATATTCGCCAGCAGGATCAGAGATTGCTCACTACTCTGCATATAACGATTTATTGGGTGTCAAAAGCGTTAAATGGTCACCAAATGGACAGTTGTTGTCTATTGGCAGTTTCGATCAAAAGGCTAGAATACTCAATCATCTAACATGGAAATTGACAGCAACATACGATCACGGTACACCTGTATCAATAGAAACTCATCCAAATAATCCAGTAGTTTTCCAAGAAGTCGAATTTGTTGGAACAAACAAGTCTGCATCTCACAGCAAAACAAGATGTAAGTTTTTCAATTTGGCAAAATAATTTAACCTATTAGATGTTATTGCTGAGCTGCCTGTCAATTTGAAAACTGTTAAGGCTGTCGATTATAAGAAGGCTAATCCTCAGGAAGGCGTTGGATTGATGGATTGGAGTTGTGATTCAAAATATTTCTTTACTAGGAATGATAGCATGCCAAATGCATTATGGATTTGGGAAACTAGCAAACTTTCATTATGTTCACTTATATTACAAACACAACCAATTAGGTATGCACAATGGGATCCAGTTCATGTTAGATTGGCCATTTGTACAGGAAATGGAAAAATTTATATTTGGTCAAGAGAAGGATGCTCATGTGTTGATATTCCAAGTGCCAGCTTTAATGTACAAAACTTTAAATGGAATAGTGATGGTGAGTCCATGTTATTAATGGACAGTGCAGCATTCTGTGTATGCTATCCTTCAATAGAATCATGCTAACTTGTAAAAAAACTAATCTGTGTTGTTTGAAAAATCAAGATTAAATGAAAACAACTTTTTTAACACTTTACAAAAAAAATGAAAAATATCTTCCGTTCATACTTTAAACGCCAACTCTCCCTTTTAACACCAGAACAAATCCAATCGGAATCCAAAAGCATAACACAACGAATTTTAAATAGTGAATTTTATTCACAATGTACTCATGTTTGTTGTTATATTCCAATGCAAAGTGGTAATGAAGTTGATACAATGGATATTATTCATGATGCTCTCAAAAAAGAAAAACAATTGTTTATTCCGATTGTAATGGGAGATGTTATGAAGATGGTTTCTTTAAAGGATGAATTGGATTTTTCAACATTTAAAATTCACAATGCCAAATATAAATTATTGGAACCTCCAATTGAAAGCTTATCTCATAGAAAAGATTTGTTGAATTCTTTGAATGGAGATAGTAAATTATTAGTGGTAGTTCCAGGACTTGCATTTGATTATTCAAATAGAAGATTAGGAAGAGGAAAGGGTTATTATGATAGCTTCTTCCATAAAATGGATGAATTGAAAAGTAGGACTGAATTTGAAACTAATCTTGTTGGAATTTGTTTTTCATGCCAATTTATAGACGAAAACTTCCAACTCTCAGATAACTACAAACACCAATTAATTGAGAAACAATTAATCGATAGTGAAGAGACTAAATTCATCATTCCAACCGAGAAACATGATAAAAATGTAGACTCTGTCATTCATGTTTAAATTTTAGGCAATTGTGCATCGCTTTTCTTTCTTTTTAGAACGTTTTTCATAATAATCCTCCCTAAAGTTACTCAAACTGCAAATTATCTTTGCTCCACCCACAACATCAAAAGAACCTCCTCTATATCCCATCTTTCTACTGTTTTCGTTAATAATTTTGACCGTCTTGTCTAAGTGATTTTCTTGATACGTAATGGAACTATTTGGAAAATTTTTGCTGAGTAGGCCAATAACTACGGATTTCATATTTTCCAAATGAGCAAACTCTCCAACAACTATTATATTATCAGTCACATTTCTGCTTTTCCAATTTTCTATACAATTCTTATATTCTTCTATTGCATTTGTTACCTGTAATAATATTTCTGTTCCTAATTTGACTCTTTCTTCTTTCCCAACTATCTTTGGGTTATAATGTGTTCCAATATCTATTGGTTCAACATTCAAGACTGTTTCGTCAATTATGTCAACAGATGGAATGAAAGCGATTTTTAGAATTGATGGGTATGGGTAGCTGGTTTGATTTTTCATATCTTTTAAATGATAATATTTTCTAACCATCTCATTTTCCTTAACTGGAATGAAATAAATTCCATTTTCTGTCAATTTTATGATTAAACAATTCGGTTTCTGATAGTAAAATGACCTGAGTTTTGCCTCATCAATAAATATTACATCCAATCCCATGTTAATCTTTAAATAAACTGTTTAATCCAGTATTAATAAATAACTTACCAGTTCAGTACTAACTACTGATAATTGTTTATCTGTCCACACAACTGGAATGGAAATCAATAGAGGAGTAGCCATACTCTTTTTCAGATCATCTCTGTAAAGCTGTGTAATCATTTCTTTAAAATTACGCATGTCTAATATTTGCCCATTCCTTTCCATTAGTGGAAGATCATCACACTGGAAAGCAGATACAAAATACCTATCACCACAAAGGATACTCTGATAATCATAACCCACAAGAGAGAAATGAGGATGATTCGGTATTCCACAAGAGGCAGGCGAAACGTAAAACAATGATTGGCTTGAAAGTCCATATCTATAATTGCCTCCAACAAAATCTAGCAATACAACTTCCATAAATTTTTCTTGATTAGATCTCATTGCAAAGGCATGATACCAATCTCCCAGTGTTTGTTCATGTTGAATGGTGATTGCATTTTCCATTGAGTAGATTGTTCCTTCTTCAACTATTTCGTCATCATCCATTTGATAGTAATAATCTCGTTTAAATCCATTTGCTTTGTTGAGAGGGACTTTGGGTTTGTCTGACCACTTTTGACAATATCTTTCCTTCCAAACCTTTGAGTGTCTTGTGATAGAGTTCAGGTTTCTATCAAGTTTGATGAAAGAGTTTGAAATTTCCTCTGTTTTCATAAATGAAAATATGAGAAGGAACATTTCTTCTGGTAATTGCCCAATCCTGTTAGAAATGTTAACCTTTTGGATACTGTTGGCTTTTGTAGTTTGTAATTCATGGGCTTGAATATATTTTTGGGTGGAAAGCTTTAAATTTCCTTCCTTCTCTAATTGATTGCTTTCGTCCACTAATTGTTTCACTTTTTGAAATTCTGCTGTTTCTCTATAATCTTGTCTATATACACTTTCTGGATCTATTCTCTTGAAAATCATTTCAGTTCTGACAACATATTTGTACCCTTCATTTACAAAATCTCCAGAGTGATAAATATCATGATTAAATATTGCTATGGATCCAGCTTTTGGTTGAACTGTTAATAATTTCTTGAAATTCATTTTGGTGCTGGCAAGTTCCTCATTTGTTTCGTCTGGAATCTTTTTCCAAAAGGTAGTACCGTAAGGAGAATCATCTAAATAAATAAGAATGGTAAATATGCTTCTCTCATTGTCATTTCTGACAAAGTGAGAATCCATGTGAGGTTTAAAGAAATTTCCTTCCTTATATCTGTTAAATCTCAAACATTCTGATAATTCTATTGGAATCCATTTCCCGTTATTATCAAATCCGTATGGTTTCACATTAGCAATATCTTCCTTCTTCATCAATGGTCTATTCGAATTTATCAGTAAATGAACCAAACTGTAAAACCTACACTATCCTATTCCACAATATTTCTGCTACTTTCTTACTAGTTACCACTACTCTCTCACTATTTCTATACTCTTTCGAATATTCTCTATCAATCGAACGATAACCTAATTCATTAGTCACATTGATCAAATCTTGACATTCCTCCCTCGATAAAACCTCTTCCAACACAAACAATCGATCAAGACAAGTAATTTCTTCTAATTCATTCCCATCATGATGATTAATTCCATCATCAATTGGAGATGTATTATTATTATCATCACAATTTGCATCATTACTTAATAAATCAATTGAATAAATATTTGAATTGATCAATAGTTTCTGATTCGGAATTAAATAATCAATTCTTTTAGAAGATAATGGCGATGATTTTAAATCTTCTTCTTTATGTTTTTCAATAATGATAGGAAGTTTACAATTTTCATTTTCCCAAATATTTGCCAAGAGATGAACATGAGGCGAAACTCTTTCCATTTTTTTTTAAAATTTAAAGATTTAAATAGATTAAATCTATTTACAAAACTCTTTACAAAACCAACACTCAATAAGCATGCTTAATATTTCAGATCAACGTTTGTCAATATAAAAATCGTTTAATTATCATCCATGATGATGATAAAGCCATTTTCGGAGGAATCAAAAATAGCCTTCATTAAATCTTTAAAAAAAAAATCAAAAAAATGTCCCAAACAATTCCTCAACATATTCAACAACTCGTCGATCAATGGTTGGAGCTTGATCCTTTTGAAGTGACTAGAAAGGATATTCAAAACCTTGTCCAACAGGGAAATGTAGCTGAATTGGAAAAGAGATTATGTAAGCGTATTGAATTTGGTACAGCTGGCTTGAGAAGTTTGATGGCTGCTGGATTTTCATGCATGAATGAATTGATTATTTTGCAAACATCTCAAGGAGTTTGTAAATACATTGAAGAATGTACAAAAGATGTTAGTGATAGGAGCAAAGTTTCTGTAGTTGTCGGATATGATGGCAGACATCATTCTAAACAATATGCAAACTTGACTGCTGGTGTTTTCCTCTCCAAGGGATACACTGTACATTTGTTTAGAACAATGGTATGCACACCATTTGTTCCTTTTGCTGTCAGTAATATTAATAGAAGTAATAGTGGAGAGAGATGCATTGCTGGTGTCATGGTTACTGCATCACACAACCCAAAGCAAGATAATGGTTATAAATTATATTGGGAAAATGGTTGTCAAATTATTCCTCCACAAGATGAATACATTTCTGCTGCTATCATGCAAAATTTATCAATTTGGGAAGAAGTTAGAAAACAATTAAAGACAGACGGAAATGGAGGTGATGAAGAACAAGTTATTGATTTGTCTCCATGGTCTCACTTGTTGCAAGATCCAACCAAAACTCAAGCTGATGAATATTTTGAAGCCATTCGTAAATATAATTACAGCAATGGTAAGCCAGTTATTTCCGATGAGAAAATTGTATATACTGCTATGCATGGTGTTGGTACTCCTTTCACATATAGAGCTATTGATTTGTATGGTTTACCAAAATGCATTCCTGTTGAAGAGCAAATTGAAGCTGATCCAGAATTTACCACTGTAAAATATCCAAATCCTGAGGAAGGTAAAGGTGCTCTCAAACTTGCCATGGACAAGTGTGAAAAGGAAGGTGCTATTCTCATTTTGGCTAACGATCCAGATGCTGACAGATTGGCTGTTGCTGAAAGACAAGTTGATGGATCTTGGAGAATTTTCAATGGTAACGAAATTGCCATGTTGTTGGCTGATTGGGTTTGGACTCAATATAAGACTTCTCATCCAAACGAAGACTACGCCAAGTGTGTCATGATTGCCAGTACCGTCAGTTCAAAGATTTTGAGAGCTATGGCTGCTCATGAAGGTTTCAAGTTTGATGAAACTCTCACTGGTTTCAAATGGATTGGTAACAGAGCTGATCAATATATCAAGGATGGATACACTTTCTTGTTAGGTTATGAAGTTGAAATTGGATTCTTGGTTGGTGACTGTAGTTTGGATAAGGATGGTGTTAGAGCTGCTTCAGTTTTTGCTGAAATGGCCCACAGTCACTACAAGGGAGGTGTTGTTAAACGTTTGAGTGAACAAATTGAAAATATCTATAAGAAGTATGGTTTCTTTGCCATGAAGACTCGTTACTTCTTCACACCATCCACTGACTTGTTGCACAAGGTTATGGAAGAACTCAGAAAGATTGAAAATGGTGGATATCCAACCTTCATTCCAAGTATTAGAGATAGTTCAAAGCACTTCAAGATTGCTTCTCTCAGAGATTTGACTAAAGACTATGATTCTGCCCAAAAGGATAACAAGCCACTTCTTCCTGCCACTCCAACTTCTCAAATGATTACTTTCACTTTTGAAAATGGTACTTCTGCAACCATCAGAAACAGTGGTACTGAACCAAAGCTTAAATGGTACGTTGAAACCAATGACATGGATAAGCAAAAGGCCTTTGACTTGTTGGAAGAAATTACCCCTTCAATTTTGGAATACTTGTTGAAACCAAAGGAAAATGGACTTGTTGCTCCACAAGATTAAATTATTTTTTAATGTAATTTCTAAAGAGTACTTTTATCTTAAGGTAACTGTGAGAAAATATTTGAAAACTTCCTATCATACATCTTACAGTTGGTTGCCTTTTTGGTTTTCATTAAAAAAATGGCTGAAGAATTATGTTTAACAGACCTAGATGTCAACAGCCATCCTTCAACATCAGACAATGACCACCCAACTGCTATCGGAAGAGATATTAACTCATTCAAAGATATTGAAATTAATTCAGTCCAAAGATATTTACTTCTTCTATTAATTCAAATGAAAGATTCAGTAAAATGGAAAGAAGATTTTCTTTCCTCTCTTCAAGATGACACTCAACAAATTCATTCTCGTTCCTCATCATCATTTTCAATGGTTTTCTTTTATGCTTCTGCATTCAATATAATGTCAAAGATACCGTTCAATGAGATGCAGAACTTCTTGTCTGCAGTCTTCTCAAGAGCAATGAATCAAGTTAATGAAATAGCTTTACAAAACGAAATGAGTGGAGGTCAACATGAAATTTCGCTGTTGAAGGAATTAGGAGAGAAAACACCAAATATTAATCAATTTACTTTGGATTTAGATGATTTACAGTGTAATGAAATGACCATCCTGGAATTGTATTCGTATTTGATGAAAATGAAATGGTTTTATATGAATTGTAAAAGAATCTGTCTCTCTGTTGCAAAACAGTCGAACAGAATTTCAGTTTGCAAGTCTGTTATTGAAATGTTTCTCAAAGAAACTTGTAAATCATCCAAAATTCATTCTTTGCAAGAGAAATGTGAAGAATTAATTCATCTTTCAAGATTTGCTCTATTCAAACATTTATTGGATGAAAATGGAATGCAATTTCCAGTTAAAAAGATATCAGAAGATCACTATCGAGAAATGATTAGACTAACGCTGAAGCCTGGTAAAAAGTGTCGCTCGCGACCCTTAAACAAATGGCAAAGTTACAAAAACTCGCGCCCCCGCTTAATGTTTAAATTTAATAAAAAAAAATTAATTACTCATCATCACTACTCACACCATCATCGGAACTGTAGTCAGCACCAGAGGCACCAAGTCATCTTCCATATCATTGGTCAAAAACAAATATCTTGTGATGATGTCAATCCTATACACCTCGTTCGCCTTCCTACCACAGTGGAGGTAGTTTGTTATGTACTTTCTCTGCCTCTCTCCTCTAAGGAAAGTCTTTTCGAAAACTTCATACTCATCTCGTGGACCATTAATTAATTCGTAATTGTTGTATGATGGATTCCATTGCTGTAAAGAACATCGCCAAGTGCCGCAGGAAAACAAGTAGCCATAGTGTTGTTAACATGAAGAATGTGAAATGGTTTTAAGGGTTGTCTTCCTTCAGCAAGAATATCATAGATGGAAGTAGACAAATCCTTGCTGTTGACCACCAACGAATTTGGAGAAGTTACACCTTATTCTTTGACCAGTTAACTGAGGAATTATGCGAATTGGAGCACTCTAGGTTGCTTGTCATCCTTGTCCACTAGCTTACGAGGTACTCTGATACGGTTGTTGGTAGAAACATTACTTTAATCTTCAATAAAACCACTATTTAAAGGTGAAAAATTTCTATTTATTTCAAATTTTATTCGTAACGGTGTTGGCGGGCTGTTTTGCAAGGAGGGAAATCTCTGACTTTGCATTTTTTTGCCCATTTTTCTTGACTTGGCCATTTTTTTGACAAAAAATTTTTTGGGCCAACTTTCACTGCTTCAGCGTTAGTCTAGAAATGATGAGCATCTTGGAATTTATAGAGAATAGAAATTATTCAATGATTCATCAAATGTTTATTCTCATTGTGACAGATTCTCAGGATTTATCAGTCAAATCACTATGTACTCAATTCTCTCGTTTCAAGTCAACTCTTCCATTCGAACAAAAGACTTGGTTCTCACAAGATTACAAAAACTTTCAGAGATTATCTCAACAACTTTTTCAAAAAAGACAAATTCTCTTTCAATCCATTGAAAAGAATTGTTTCACTGACCTGATATGTAAAATTCATTAAAACACAAATTCAAATATCCCTCATTTACTTTGATCCTTAAAATTGCAATAATCGTTGTTTTATGATTTATTTAAAAATCGTAATTACATTTGGCGGGAAACAAGAACAAAAAAAAATGAACAAGGGTAGAAGGCCCAGCGTATTTGAGAGATTAAACGATCCTAGTAATTATACTGGAGTTTACTTTGAGAGGTTTAGAACACAGAATGGACACATTAATGCCAATTCCTCAAGTGGGAATGTAAATCATCTTCAGGAAATATTACGGCCCAGCGTTCGTTCTTCAACATGTGTTCATATAGGAAAGGGATGGGATGCTGGTCAACATACTAACTCGGGTTTTGTTCATGATACACCAGCTACGAGAAGTAATCCATTTGGAACATCAACATCATCATCTTCAGCCATTCCCTTAAAAACCAAAGAAGTTGAGGATACAATAAGAAGGAGAATGTCTCTATCTTCTCCAATGTCATGTTATACACCTTCCCGTTCACCTTCAGCAAGTCCTTTTTTCTCTTCTCTTCCTCATCCGAACAATGACAGATCACCTCCTTCTCAATCAATCCGAAGACCTAGTAGTTCCCTCAACTCGAGGGAAATTGTAAAATCTCTTCTTTTAAACAACAACAACAACATCAATAACAACCAACATAGGATAAAGCATCGATCACCAAGTCCTTCCTTAATAACAAATTTACGAGATATGGAAGATAATGAAGATGAAGTAGTTAAGCCAATATTTAGGGAAGAAAAATATGAACGAGTTGAAAAACCTCAAAAACGAGCTGCAACCCCAGTTTTTCAAAATCAACCTATTGTGACTAATATTGAAAAAGCAGAACCACCATCAATTTCAAACAAATCTAAAACCCAAAAACAGATAAGCGTATTTGAAAGACTGAATGATAAACAGAATTTCACAGGAGTTTACAAAGAAAGATTTGAGTCTGGTATTGGGTCAATTAATGGTTCCTCAGAGTATTACGATAATGAAAACAATCATTCCTCAATACCAGATAAACGAGTAAAACCAAGACCATCCAGTGCCTCTGCATCACGTCAATTCACAGCCGACCACATATCTGTTTCACTAAATCAATACCAAAAATCTCCTCCCCTTCCAACAAATGAAAAAAAGAAAAAGAAATCACCTAAGGCAGAGTTAAACAGTCCTAAGTCTCCAAGTTCTCCAGATTGGACTAATTATTACAGAGGATCCTACAAGGATATTGCTAGTTCTAAACAAAATAGAGAAAGAAGCTAGATAAACATATGAATTTTTTCCATTACAAAAAAAATGTCAACACTTCTTATCTTGATCGATTTCCATATTAACATGGGAGAAGAAAAACAAAATATTTATGCATTGTTTGATGGATTTAGATTCAAGATGAGAGAACAGCGGAAAAAATCCCTCTCCATTAATTTCTCACAGGTTGCAAAGTTAGATCTTTCGGAAGAACCACTTGATATTGTTATTTCTTACAAATATTCTCTAATTATTGTATCGTGCATGGGAAAAAACCATTCTAGTGACTCTATTTTAGATGATACAATGGCAGTCTTTGATTTACATTCTAGAAAATTCTTAGGCTATTTAGAATATAATATCAAGATATTATGCTTGTGTTTGGAAATGAATTATGATGGAAATCAGAATGAAGCTCTTTTATTCTCTAAAAACCATCGTCTCGTAAAATATGATTTGAAAAGTCTGATAGATCTGTCAAAGTTGGGTTCTGACTCAACGAAATCAAGTGATAGCAATAATTCATTAGCACCTATTTGGACTTCAGAAAGAGAGAGAAATGCTTTTGGAATGTGTATTGATTATTCATCTAATATTGAGAATAGAAAGCTTTATGTATGTGAAGATGAGGAAATTATAGTATATTCAGCTCATAATGGCCTATTAATCACTACAATTTACATTTCAGATGCTTGGGGAATTAGAATGAATAGAAATGGAGATTTGATATATTCATTATTCTACAAGGGTATATTGGAAATTATCAAAAGACCTAATCTTGAAAACTTAGATTTCAAAAAAAGAGATTTTGTTTGTGGAACAGATGAGGGAGGCTCATATTATGCCAGCGGTATTGCAATTGATCCAAATAATGGCAATATTATAGCTGCTTTGCATTCCCTTATTGTATTATTTAGTCCTGATGGAAGAGAAATTAGAAGAATTAATACACAGAGTGCTCAAGGATGTATTCTTGATGAGACCAGTGGAACTCTTTACATTGCATCCAATGGTACAAAGACAATTTATGTTTACAATTAAGAAAATCTCACTTTGAATTTGATTATAATTTGATTTATTACATGTCAACAAATACCGACATCCATCATCTCAAAAAAAATGTTCAAACCACTTGCTTTAATTGTGATCTTCCTCTTGGTTACTGGTAACTATTTGAAGGGATGTGTTTATTCTCACAATGCCAATAGAAGTACTCAATATGGAAGTACCATTGGTGAAAATATTTACATTGAAAGTGGTTACACAACTGGAAGCTCAATTGATAGAGGAATTAATTCTTGGTTCAATGAATATACTGATTACAATTTCAAGACAAATACTTGTGGTACTGTAAGTCATTGATGCATGATTCATAGAACATTTAACTTTAATTCTAAACTCATTATTGATGACGAAAATAATAGGGAAAAGTTTGTGGACACTACACTCAATTAATTTGGGCTAAATCTACCGAAATTGGATGTGCTAAACACACCTGTTCAAGTGTTCAAGGTTTTAAAGGAGTCACTGGTAAACCAGTCATTCTTGTTTTGTGTAATTATGCCACTGCTGGTAATTACATTGGTCAAAAACCATACACTACCGCAGCTGGATAATCTGAAAATTGTATCTCATAAAGAAGCAATTTTTAAGAATATTACAACAATTTACATTTTTGTAGTTGACATTCTAAATCAGGAATATTAATATAATTGGATTTAAAATAACGATTTAAAAAAAATGAAGCTACTTGTATTCATTGCCATTCTCTTGGGAATGTTATTCACTCTCTTTTATATTTATCCACTGAGTATTATTGATGTATTCAATATTACCACCAAACAAGAAGAAACTAATTATCGGAATTACACTAAAATTCATTATGAAAGATTTGGAAATCCAAATGCAAAACATAAATTAGTAAGTTATTAATGATGGTGTGAAGCAATAATTCTCTTCATCAGATATTTATTGTTGGATTGGGTATGTTTAATATCGGAATGTATTTTGTTTTTAAATTACTTGATTAAATTATTCATAATTTTAAATTACAAAATGTAATAATAATAATAATAGGAACTGGATGGCATTGGTGGGATAGAAATGTTGAATACTTTTATGAAAATCATGTAAATACAACTGAAGTACTTGTAATTGATAATAGAGGTTCTGGTAAATCGAGTGATTTCCCATTTACTTGGAGATATTCAATGAGTGATATGGCATTGGATGTGTTGACAATTTTAAGAGAATTGAAATGGTTGGGAAATGAGAATTTCCATTTAAATGTTATTGCTCAATCGATGGGTGGCTTAGTAGCTACTGAACTTGCTAGGTTGGAAAAGGAGTTGTATCCAAAGAAGAGTAATTTCAAATCGATTACTTTACAGAATACCTTTAGAACTGTATTTTCAACACATGCTGCACCAATGCTTGATACAACTATTTTCTTATTGAAACAAGTAACTGTTGGATTGATTTCTTTGGAGATTAGAATGAGATTAGTTTTGGAACAAATGTTTAGTGCAGATTTTATTAATGCAAATTATGATGACCTGTACAAAAGATATTCCCATCTGTTTGCTGATGTACGAACTGTTGGGCAAATCAAACAAACTTTAGGAATAATGACACATTACATTTCAGAGAATGATTTCACTGCTGCCTATGAAAATATTGGAAAGATCCTTCTCATTAATAGTGCCTATGATAGAATGGTTCACACAGGCAATACCAAACACTTATTTAATTTACTTTCAAAACCAAACAGAGAAATTATTACCAAATATTATGAAACAGAATCGAATGGCCATATTATTAATTCTGAGCAGCACAGCTCTTATAATGAATTTTTGTACAATAATTTAATAAAGATTGACAGCTAATCTTAATATTATTACTAGAATAATATTAAACTTTACAATGACATGCCTTCTTCCTCATCATCAAAATCAAAAGTTTCCTCTGTTTGTTTTTCAGTCGTTGAGTCTTTGAGTTCCTCTTCTGTTGGTTCCTCGGCTGGGCTTGCTTTTTCTGGAAGTGTATCAATATTTTTCATGTATTCCTCTCTGAAAGTCATATATCTTTCAATGTAGGATTGAGGAACTTCAGTGAATGGATCATCATCCAAACGAGGTTTTGTTTTGAAGGATTTGGTTCTCTGCTTTCTTTGTTCTGGCGTTTCTGGTTTGGTTTCGTTTGATTCTTCATAGTAGAGTGGTAATTTCTCATTGGCAGTTTGCTGCTGAGCTTGTGGTCTCATTGTAATACTAATTGGAACAGAGGAACCATAAAAAGCTGGTTTAACAACAACTGGTGGTGGTTTTGAAAATTCGAGTCTTCTTCTTGATCTTGTTTGAGGTTGAGGAGATGTTTGTTCAGCCATTGATTGTTCTTCTTCTTCAACTTCGTCTTCCTCTTCTTCCTCTTCCTTTGTAGGTTCCTGTGACTCGGCACCTTCTTCATCAAAAGAGAAGAATGCAGATGGAGTGTATGTTCTGCTCATCAATTGAGTTGTCATCTTTTTGTAATGGAAACTCTTTTGTGTTAATAAATCTTCATCAACATCTAGGTTAGTTGCCTTGAATTTGTTGGCACTTGGTTTAACCTCTAATCTAATCTTCTCCTTTGGATTCATTAAGGTTGGATTTGGTTTAAAAAAGGTATTTGTACTCATTGCCTTTTTAATCTTTTCATCAACTGCAGATGGTGAAAGAGAGCGACTAACTCTCTCATCTATCAAATCACTCAAGCCATCTTGTGATACTGCTGAACTCATTCTTCCTCTAGAAGATTCACTCAGTTCAGTATCATTCTCTGCTGTTACTGTATTTGTTACATCAAAAGATTGAGTTTCACTTGATTCAGCCAAGATTGTCTTTGCTTTCCTAAAGATTGTATCCTTTTCCGTTTGTGTTTTTAAAAGCAATTTTTGATATTGAATCTTTTCATTTTTCATAAATTCTTTAATTCTCATCTCCATACTAATTCTTTCATCATTTAATTTCTTTTGCATGTCTTTTTGATATTGTACAAGAAGTGGATGTTTTAATAAATTATCACTAGTGTTAATATTAGTTGTTTTAGGAACAATATTAAATATTTTGGAGAAATCTTCTTGTTGTCTAAGTTTTTCTTGAGCAACTTCATCCTATTTCAATAATTTTCAAATGATAATAATAAATAAAAAAAGATCTTCCATTAAAACACCTACCAATAGTTGAGTAGTATTTACAAGGAATGTTTGGAACTTTTCAAAATAAAAGCCAAAGAAAGTTTCACAATTTAAACATTTAAATGCTTTTACAATAGATTCCGATTCATCTAGAGCATTATTTTCCATAAATATATCCAAAGATGATTGAATACCAGCAATAGACGTTCCTCTCGTTAAACTTAATTTTTTACAATCAACATGAGAGAATTTAATTTTAAATTCATCAAGTTGTGTTTTTGAAAACAAGCCTTCACCATCACATGTACACCACTCTTCATATTTCATATCCCTTGATGATGATAAATTAATACTTAAATTTAAACAAGGACAAGCATAACGTTTTCCTCCACCCATCACCTTTGTACCCGTAGAATTTCTTTGAAATACTGCTGTTGATCTTCTAATGATCAGCGGAGATGTTGGAAGTTGTTGTTGGTCCGTTGTTGTTATTGTTGGTGCGAGAGTTGATGAAGTTGTTGTTGGGGGCGGAATATTCATTTTTTTTTATAATTTTATTATTTAAAAAATATTTAACAAAATAATAAATTAAATACATTAAATGATGATGATCAAGTTTTGTAAATATTTTATTGTAAACAACAAGTTAAATTGGTATCTAGTTTAAACATTTGATTGAGAATCCACAGCAGAAGCAGCAGCAACAGTAGTAGTGGCAGTACTTGTACTCTTAGTAGGATTCGTCGTCGTTCCCTTCTTATTGGTTTCCCATTTATCATCCCCCAATTCACAAATCAGACAGCACAACTTTTTCATCCACTCACCTAAGGTTTTTCCTCCAAACATTTCAGAAAATTGTTCAGAATGATATAACATATAGTTCAGTAAGGATATTAAGATTAGGAATACTAAATCCAATTCCACATTTCTGTACTCTCCAAGGAATAAACCCACATTATCCCATCCAGTAATATAACCCATTACGACCCATGCTGAGACAATCATGACAATTACAAAGTAAAAATCAATGGCTAGCATGAATTTGGTAATTCTTAGAGAGGAGAAGGAAATGTTTTGAGTTTTACGAAGGGAATACTAGTATTATTGTTGTTGTAAATATTATGGAAATTAATAGACAATTCTCATTTCAATACTTACAAAAATTTTCAATCCATAAAATAAAAATCCAAATAAAACAAAAAACGAGTACAAAATTCCTGAAATTCCCAACACAATGAAAGCATAAACGTTCACAAGTGTTGCTGCATAGACAATAATCATTACCAAAATGCAAACAAGTAAAATTCCATAGAAAACTGAAAGAACTATTTTGTGTTTGAGTCCTAGACGAGATTTAGCTTCTGGTTTGTGAGCCATTGTGGCTGTAACTACGTGAGACCAATTGACCACCATAGAAACAAAGCTGCAACATAGGCAAGCAACAGAAATGGCTCTGAATAAACCATTAATGAAATTTTGATGAAATGGTCGATAGAATGAAAAATTGGAAACTATTTTCAGTGTTAGAGTTTCTAAATTCATCAATTAAAAACTTACGTAAATCATGTAAATTCTCAATAAGAATGAAAATTGAAGCAGCCACAAGAAAATAAACACCCTGTAACTTGATATTAAATACTCCAGCAAAAATTGACCTAGCTCTCTTCCATTTTCCTTCAATTGTCAAAATCTTCTTCTTGATAACCTTAATTTTGTTGTTAATTTGAGGTATACATGTTGTAATCATAATAATTGGGGTTAAAATCCCATAGATTATTGCTAAAAACAGAGGAAACCAATTATTAACCAATGGAGAAAAGAAAACAGAATAGGCATCACATTGAAATCCATAATAATTTCCATGATAGCAATAGCATATAATTGGATTGTACAGAATTTCTTGTTCTTTGAGTGTTGTAACATTTAAAACTTCAAATGCAGTTAATTTTCTATTCAATTTTGTAATTTTATCCTTAATTCTCTGTCCATAATAGGAAGAATACTCAAAATAATACTCATTAATTATTCCCACTGCTAGTGAATCAGTAAAATTATTCGAAATTGAATATTGTGAATTGCAATGTCGAACTAGTCTTGATTTGATTGAATAATATTCAGGAAATTGAGGGCAATTCTCTGATTGAATTGTTTGCCTCCACTCCACAATATCATTTTCATTCCAAATTGTTCGATTCTCATTTGTAATGAACTCTCTAAAACGTTGGGCCTTCTCACTCATGCAAAATAAACAATGATTAATCATTCGTGAAAAGGTAAATCTCTCTAATTTAGTGGCAAGTGAAAAATTGGATGAATTTTCTCCACAAAAGAATTCAATACAATCCAAATTTGAGAATGAAACATTGAGTGGTTTGTTAGAGTTATCAGTTTCAACGTGTGAATCATCACATAAATCAACTAACTTTGCATCAAAACTAATTGGATGTGGCATATAGGGCTGATGAACTGGATACAGATATGAAGTTAGAAAATCCCTCGTTTGCATTCTATTCACGTTAATATCTAACAGATCAACAAATGAATAGTCCTCAGTTTGAGAAATGTTGAATTTCCAAAACATGTCCTGATTCTCATTTCCGATTATTGTTGTTCTTGATTGTGCAGTAGAAACAACAAATTGAATATTATTGAGAAGATATATAACAAATATGAGGGATATTATAATACAGGTGGTGTGATTCTTTCGTACAGTACTTGCACTGTTTGTCGTTGCATCATCATGGCAATGAAATTTGTGTTTCATTGATGAGTTATTATTGAATGAAGGTGAATTATTGTTGGTGAGTGAGTGAAATTGAGAAGAAAATAGTGGTGAACTGTTATCATCAGCACCAACTAACTCAGCTGCGAAAATTTCATGTGTTTTCCATCTGGTTGTCAAATCAAAGGGTAAAAGATCAGTCAACAATAACATTTGACAGATCAGTTGTGTTTGTTTTTTTGAATTTATTTTCCATTTGCTCTGTGTTACTTCTTGGTCGATCAAACTAGATACCATCGAGTTCTATACCGACCGGGTAAAAAAACGCCACAACAGTTATGAAATTGTTGTAAAAAACATGAAATCACTTTACTTTAGTATGTAGTGAAGGATGGATTAAAAGTTGAATGGGTTTTCCAATAGGTACCAAACAAGTTGACATTGTTGTTTGCTCACTTGTTGAATGTTCATTGACAAGAAGGGAGTACTCATCTGAGATTTGGGTAGAATAGGAAGTGCTTAGTGAGATTTCAATTGGACATGATTCACTCCACCACTCTGTTCTCAATTGAATTTCTTTAGATAACAGGAATTTGGATGAACCAATATTTGAAACTTCTGTTGTTTTGTTGACAGGGAAAATACTATTGGTACCATCTGAGAAGGAAACATCAATAAATAATTTGTCATTGGCATCTAAATCTCTAAGTTTTGCCTGTACTGATATTGGGAGTGATATGAAAGGTTGGAATTCAATTGGTTTTTCGAGATTTGGAGTTGGTGAGATTATTTGACAAGATTTGTACGTCATACTATGAATGTCACTTTCTTCAAGTTTGGGAAAGAAATGCTAAAATGGTTACCTCATCAAATAAATTAATTTTAAACTTACATTACTATTTTGCAATTCTGATGTTGAAATTTCGTCATTAGAGAGGAAGTGTAATATTATTGAATAAAGAGATTCATCTATTGGAAGACCAAACTTATTTGAAGAATCTTGAATCATTTGGCATAATTGTCGAATCTTTCTAGTATTTACATGTTCAGCAGATAAACTAGCACCTTTCTCAGAAGAGTAGAGTAAATATTTTACATAAACAATAAATCTGAGACACATCAGTTGTAAAAGCAGATTATCACTCAAGTTTCCAAAAAGTGTCTCAATCTTGTACGTGGTTTGAATAATATTTTGAAATACCTTAGGACCAACTTTTTCAGTTTGGGAAATGTTTCTAATAGATAAATAGTAATAGCAACATGTACAATATAATTTCAAAAATTGAATGAATACGTTCAAATTTCTATCAGAACTTTTTGCAGTCTTTTGAAGTTCATTTCTTAAACTCTTCATAGCATCCAAGGTATCTTCCTTTTCATTAGTCATAGAAAGAAATCTAATTTCATTAAAAGTTTCAATAAATGGCAATACAAGTGTTAAATGATCATTTTGAGTACTGGTTTGTTTTGTCTTTCCATTTGCAAATGTGTAAGCTAATGAACTCGATTGCATGCTCAGTGTACGGATGTTTAAGTTTGGAAATAAATTAGGGTGCTTAGATCTTAGGTAGGCATAGTGCTTAAACATATATTCAATCAAAAATTCTGTAATTTTGGAATGGTTTTTAGCAATATCTCTCAAGCACCTGTAAATGTGATCCAAGTCAGAGCTGTACTTTTTCAAATTGTTAATTAGTAAGCCCCTAATGGCTGCATTTAAGCACCTAGCATTAGACAAAACAATTACGCTCAATAAATTTCTTATGGAGGCTCTTATATCTGAGTTAGAATCTTCCAAAATAGCAAGAACGATTTGTAATTGTTCTTCATCAAATCTCAGAGAAGCTGCACTAATTTTGCTTACAGAGTCGATAGCATGAATTCTTACAGAGTCAATTTCATCGTTAAACATTTCTATTAAATAATCTACTGATTTTCTGCTAAACAAGTCTGACTCTCTGTTTAGTTCACATATCGATTCAATAATTGCCATTCTTACACTTCTATATTGATCTTCTAAAGCTAAAACGAATGTACCAACAGCTCCACTGTACAAAAGAGCATCCTTTTCAGTTCCTTTGATTGAAATATCACCATCCACATCTTCGGAAAAATCTTCACTGTTGAAAGTTTGTTCCATAATTAATTGTCTTTGTTGAAGAGCTTTCTTTTTAGTATTTGCATCCTCTTCCTCTCTTTGTCTTCTCCTATTATATTTTGGAGTATATTCGAGTTCTATTTTTCCAAATCCTTCCAATAAGAGTTTTTCACTCATTCCTTTCAACTTTCCAAGCATTTTACACGCCTTAGTTCTAACGGAGACAACATGATCTCTGACTGCATTACAAATTTTTCCAAAAGCATCTTCCACAAGAGACAATTGAGTACCGGAGTGAGAAACTACTCTATTTGGATATAATTGTGCAATTAATGTTACAAGTTCTAGTCCTTGCTCTCTTACCTCCTCCACATCATCATGTAATGAACTAACAGCTTCAGGATATAAATCAAATGAAAGTTTCAATCCTCTCTTACTAAGCAATACTAGTGACTCTACAGCTTGCTATTAAAATTTAGAATTAATTTATCATATTATTTAACCACTTACAGTTCTAACTCTTGAATCTCTATCAGTGAATGCTGTTCTTATCATTTTCAATACTTTGGAAATTTTTTCATCCTCCAAATAATCATTATCGAAAGGACATGATACAGATAATAGCTTCAAATAGGATCTTCTGATACCTTGATCCCAATCAGATAACATATAGGCATGTTGTGACATTTTTTCAAAGATTAAAGTAGCTAAACTCTCACTCCTCTTTGAAATGTCAACTAGTCCATTAAATATTTGTTTTTTAATTTTGTGAGAATCATATGATAACTAAATAATTTTAGTATAAATCCAATCCCAACACTTACCAAGTTTGACCAATAATTAATTCTTGACATGAATTTTACAACATCATTATTGGAAATATTCGAGCAAACCATCACTGTAGAAAATCTTACAAATAATACAATTGTATCCCTATCATAAATTGAACTTAATTCAATATTCAATTCATTTAACACATAAGTAAACACTGTTACTAAATGTTCTAATAAATAATTTGATGAATTAATATAGGAGAGAGCATTTGGTATAAAATTATTTGATGTGGGAGTTAAATAAGTAATCAACACAGGGAGAACAGCTTTAATCTCGATTGAATTCTTTGAATTTACTAATTGTTTAATAAAAGTATCCAACTCTTCAATTTCTTTTTTCCTTCCCTGATCCGATAAATTTTGTTGTTGTTGTCCCTGAGAAATACCCTCCATATCATCCATTGGTTGAGTATCAGCATCACCATAAGCATCAACTTCCTGTGATATTTGATCGAAGCTTCTCTTCATTTTTTTAATTATTTTTAATTGAATTTAGTTTTTGTATTTTTATTATCAATTCATTATTTACATATGATGATTAACCAATTAATAACAATCAAAGTGAACAACAGATAAGACACGGATAATATAGCGGATTGACATTGTGGCTTTTAAAAAGTGGATTTGTATATTTACATTGTAAAAAAAGACCCAAATTGTTGCATGTCAGCAGTGTTGATGGATCGTTTGGTTGCCAAAGAAGAACCTCCTGCTGATCTTTTAACTATTAAATGTGAAAATGAAGCCTTTGTTCCTGCTTTCTGTTTTCTTTGATGCATTTGTGAGTGGAATAATCTTGCTCTTTCAGATGCTTCCTTGCTATCAATATATTGATATCAATTCATTTGATCAATATTAATAATCCTTCATAATCAATAATGTAACAAACTTACCTTATTCCTTGCTTATCTGCTAATGAAAATTTTGGAACCATGATAGAAACTGTATTGTACATAATAATATATGAACATTCCGAAATGATGATTGGATTATAATTTTGTGAATGTCTTGTCAGAAGAAATTTAGATTATGCTAAAACTAACCTGATCTAGTTTTGGTTAATCTTGATTCTTTCAACTCTGCTAATCCTTCAGAAGTTGGAGACACCTTCTTGATTTCCGATTGCAGGTTACTAGAGGTCTTTTTAGAGAGCATCATTGAGAGTCCTCTCTTTACAGAAGATGTTTTTGGTGTGGAATTATTGCTTGTATCGACAGTTACTGAATTTCTATTGGAGATCTTGTTTTGCAATCGATCAAAGAGTTTGACCTTGGTCGAAGAAGATGGTGACTTATCTTCATCTAGTCCGTTAGTATTGTTTTGAACAGAGGCAGTTGTGGTGGACATTGGAAGCTTGCTATTTTTTTGACAGTTTGCTGATGTTTGACAGTAGTTTCAGAAAAGCCAAGTTGGCCTGTTCGCCTCTACCAAAGATACAAGATCTTTTAATAGCTGTTACTTTGAAAACTAAAGTTATTAGAAAGTATCTCCATAAGTTTTTATTCATTCTTTTTTGATTGTTTAAGAGAATAAAAGTGTTCCTTTAAATGATCTCTTGGAGTAAAGTAGAGTGGATTCTTTTCCAAGTCAATATAAAGAAGAGCCTGATCGTAACTTGTTGGAGGGAATGATTCTGGATTACTATGTTCGAGTTTGAAATGTCTTACTGTATTAATGATGGCCATGTGAAGTTCGTGGAGAGCAATTCTACTTCCAGGACATTTACGAGCCTATTTAAATGTTAGAAAGTGAAATAGTTCATAATTCAAGCATTAAAATGATTAACAATTAAATAATGTGAAATTTAAAACTTACACCAATACCAAAAGGTGTACTAATATAATTATTGGACAATCCAATAGGAGATCCCTTTTCATGACGTTCTGGAATGAATTCATTTGCACGTGGAACAAATTCGTCACGAGTATTAGCAAATCTTTGAATACATAAAACTTGAGTGTCTTTTGGAATTTTGTAACCACGAATAATCATATCATCACTCAAAATTCTACCACCTCCAATGAAGGCAAATGGATTAACACGCAACACTTCCTCAACAAATTGTTTGGTGAGTTTCAATTTCTTATACTGCTCGGCAGTGATGTGCAATCCATTTTCAGAGGTGACTTCTTCCAAAGTTGGTTCACCAAAAACTTCTAACAATTCTTGATAAACCTTTTCCTGATATTCTGCAGAGTGAGCCAATCTGTACATGATCACTGTATTATTAAGTATGACTCAAACACATGAAATTTAAATGAAACTTACTCACTAACATTCTATATGTATTGAGAAAAAGCATTTTAGAAATAGAGTAAAATATTTGAGAAATTGACAAATTAATTATACACTACCTCATAGTAATATCAATGGCTGCTTGTAAGAACGTAATCATTACAGATTGAACGAGGGCAATTTGATTTGGTTCGTCCTTAGAACGTTCCATTAAAGTTTCATAAAATCTTGGCTTATCACTTGGATTATTCTTAAATCTATCCATAACATAATTGGCATAAGATAAAGACTTTTCCATAGCTTGTTCCATTTGCTTGTACTCGGCTGTTTTGAAATACTTGTAGAGAGATGGTTTTGAAATGAGTCTAAGGGGATCATCGAGGAATTCAGTGGAAACTTTAACGAAATCAGCAACATCGAATGGGAAAGTTTTAGTTACATCGTCTGTGAGTTTAGCACCTAGAAAAACTTTCAACACTGCATCAAATCCATATCTTGAAACAGCACCGACACCATCAACTAATCTAAACTTTTCTGGATTATCAGTTTCTTCCAAATATTTGATAATTCTTCTAATATATTCACCATTAATTTCAGTTAATTGTGGCAAAGTAACTTGAGTTTGGAAGTCTGGTTTCATTGCAATATTATAAAGTTGACGTGTTTCATTCCATGGTTCATGCAAATACATTTCAATTGGAGTTAATGGTAACCCTCTTTCAAGTTTAAACTTTCTAGATGGATCAACAACATTTCTTCTTTCTTCATGCTTGTAAAGATATTCCATATCAGTTGGATTACCTAAGAATAGCATTTTCTTTCCCACCACATCAAGTTTAACAATTTCTCCATACTCTTCACATAATGAGGCAAAGTAAGGAGAGGCGTTCTTCTTGACTCCTTTCATGATGTGGAACAAATTACCAACAAGTGGCAAACCCTTTGGTCCAGGAATTTCATCAAATGATTTAATGACTTGTGGTGGTTGCTGTGGTTGTTGATGATATGGACACTTGGAAATATCTTGTCCAGCAGCATTAGTAGAAGAAGCATCCTGTGCTTGTTGATGTAAAACCTTGTTTCCTATTTGATTAGTGAACATGCGATGAACTGTTTCACGATCAAACACCAATTGTTGGTACTTATTAATGTTGTTGGACAAGCTAACGACTCTTGATCTTCTAACTTGATTAATCATTGTGTTTTTTTTCTTTATTGTTTGATAATATTGTCCGCTCAACATCAAACAACATCTTACTTTGAACTGATGTTTCATCTGAGGGACACGCAACGGAGGGGTACTACTCCTATTGGTTTGTAAATAGAGGCATTGATAATGCGCTTAATGCGCTATTGATCATACGGAGTTTTGTTGCAAGACCACAGCTTAGTAATGTAGCTTTCTTCCCTCAATAATTTAAATTCAATTATTGTTTGTTTATATTTTAAAGAAAATTCAAAACAAAAATGCAAAATGAAACACAACAACCACAAGAAATAATAAATGAGGAATCGATTGATTTTGAATCAAATGAACAAGAAGATGAAGATTGTGATGTGGATTTGAATTCATCACCACCACAAATTATTCAAGATGATCGAACAAGTTCTCCCACATTTGAAGATGTAATATCGGAATCAGGTGATAGTATTGCATTGGATGATACCGAAGAAGAAAATCGAGATGACAAGGAAAATAAGAATGCCAAAACGACTTCGGAACAAACCACAGAAACAAGAGAAGGAAATAACGTTATTGATATTACAGAGGAATCAGAAAGTTCAATTAATCTAAATAATAATGAAAATGTAAATAATAATATAGAATGTGTTTCTATTGATTCGAGTGATGACGAGGAAGAAGAGGAAGAAATTAACCAAAATGACAAAACAACTGAAAATGAGGAAGATGAGGAAAATGAGGAAGAATCCGATGAAGATTTTATACTCGAATCTGATGAAGAAGAAGACTATCATCCATCATATACAACTAGGAGAATGCACAAATTAATAGAGGAATTAATACCAACTGTTACTGCAGGTGGAAGTTTTTCTGTGGGAGGAGAATTTGATACTTATCCTGCTGTTGGATTGCAATTACTTGTGCCCAATTCAGAAAATAATAGTGTGGAAAGAAAGTATGTTTCACTCCCACTTGTCACAAAACAACAAGCAGATGATATAATTCAACTTGCAGCAAAAGCACCTTATGGCAGAGGAGAGGAAACAATTGTGGATGAAAAAGTTAGAAAAACCTGGCAATTAGAGCCAAATCAATTTGCAATACTCAATCCAAACTGGGAAGATATGATAGATGAATTGGTTGGAAATCAAATTAAAAAAGGATTGGGTGTTGGAGATAAGGAGATTGGATTTAACTTGTACAAATTATTGCTCTATGAAGAAGATGGACACTTTCAATTTCATAGAGATTCAGAAAAGGAGGAAAATATGTTTGCCACACTAGTTGTGCATCTCCCATCAATTTATACTGGAGGTGAACTAACTGTCAAACACAACTCTAAGGAAGTGGTGTATGACTATTCCTCTAAATCTAGTTATGCAACATCATTTGTTTCATTCTATTGTGATTGTGAACACAAAGTTAACAGAGTAACAAGCGGATACAGATTAGCACTGGTTTATAACATATTTTTCGAGGGACCATCACATTTAACACCAAGTGCAGATTCAAATCAAAATGTTATTGACTATATGAATGATACCCTAACTAGTTGGGAAGGAAAATATATCATTCATATTTTGGAGCATAAATACACCAAAGATGGAATAAGTGTGGGTAATTTAAAAGGTGCTGATGCTAGAGTTTACAAATGGCTTGAAAATTTTAATAGAAACCGGGATGAATTTTATCTTTGTATTGGTCAACTAATGAAAGAAGTGTCTGGAGATTTAAATAGCTATTCAGGCTATCATCATGGTTATTCTTACAGAGGTTATCATAGATATGATGACAGTGATGAGGAAAATGATGAGGATGTAGATTCTGATGACATGGAAGAAAAGGAAATTGATTATTTTGTGAAAAATCTCAAAGATAGAAATGGTGATTTCTCTTCACGCTTAAATCGTGTTGATATATCTTCAATTATTCCCTTAACTTCTTTACTAGAAATACCCCATCAAAGATCAACTGTAAGTACTCTATTTTAAATCAAATTCTAAATAATATTCTCTAGGTTGAGCATACAGGAAATGCTGGTGTCAGTGCTAGCAAATTTTACACTTCTGCGTGTTTGGTAATTATACCAAAACGAACATTCGGCTCATTATTGGATAACTTGGATGAAACCTGCAAAATAAGATATTTCAATATGATAGTTGACAAACAGGTGCAATCTCCTAGCATTTTGAACATCAAAAGAATTACTGACCTAATAAGCACCTATTCACTATCAGAAAAGATGCTAATGAACACTATTGAAAAAGTCAAAGATGTCAAATTGGCTGTATTGATTGCTACTAAAAACATTTCTTACACATCTTGGCAATTCTTAATAACAAACTTTGGTTTACAACACCTTAAAAAAGAATTTTTCAAATATACCATACTGAACCTTAACAACAAATCAATTGCTGAAAATGCTTTCCAAACTATTCAATCTCAAAATGATCCTTGCTTAATATCGGAGCTATGCTTTCAAGTATTTGGTTATTTACGGACCAAACAAGGTGTAAATCATGCAGACTTTATTCAAAAGATACTGAGTTGCATGAGTGAGTTTGCAATTCCATTTACTCCCAACACTACAGCATATATGGCTGAACGTTGTAAAGTAGCAGATCCCAATGAGGTGACAATTATTTTGAAATACTTAGAACCATTCCCAGGATTGATGGTTGCCTTATTAATATTGTTTAGTAACAAGGAGATATTCATCAAAAATTATCCTTCTGTAATTGGCTACCTCAATACATTTTATAATGAAAGTATTCAAACTTGCATGGAACCAATATTAAGAGACATTGTTTCATCTAACTATAGTCAAGCTCTAACTTTATTGAACTATTGCACAAGTTTGACTACTAACCCTGGCGCAAATTTCATTTCTTCATATATTAGAGGTAATATTGTTCAGCAATTTATTACCAATACATGTAACATTGATCTGGAAAATTGCAAAGAAATTATTTCTACAATTTGTAAAAATGGAATACCAGATGACCTATCAAATGTTACCGCAACAATTATATCAAAAATTACAGACCTAAGTGGAGTTTGCAAAATTCTTCTTCCACTCATCAAATTTATTGAAAATTCTTATGGCAAATCTGTTTTCAACACTTATCCAGCATTTTCAGTTTTAATTCATTGTAGTATTGGATTTTTAGGCCCAACACTCAGAAAACAACAGGAAGCAAATGCAACCAATTGGCGCCTTCCAACATTTAATTGTACTATTAATTGTCCCCATTGTCTAAGAGTTAATTTATTCCTTCAAAATAGTACTGAGCAAGTTTGTGAAGTGAAGGAGGCTTTAGGAACAAGAAATCATGTTGAATCCAATTTACATCCTCTTTCAAAATATCTATCTCTAAGCACAGTAAGAGTTGGTTCCCCTCATACTTTAGTTATTAAGAAAACGAGCAATCCACAATTAAGACTAGCACAACAAGCAAATAATACAAAATCATGGGTACAATATCTAAATAGTTTGCTTGTAAATAATGCTCCTCCAATTTCACAACCTTCCTCTACTGATCTAGAACCAATTTCCCAAAGCATTCCCCAAACAACATCCAATATTGCTTCTAGTAGTAGCTCTGTACCAAGCTCTATGTTCACTCAAACTATTAATCCAAGTAATACACTCAAGAGATCAAATTACTATCCCTCTCTTGCAAGCAAAAAGAAAAAGTAACTGCTGATCATCTCCTTCAAAAAGACTCTTCGTCCTCAATAAACCATCGAGTTGAAATTTTGAACCAATCTTCACAGTTCCCAGTGCTCTGTTGCAACACTAGCGAAAGGTGATACAATGACGGGAAACGACCAAACAACATAATAAACTGTCATAAAAGCAAACACAGAGAAAACTCATTGCAACGGCTGAAGAAGAATTGAAGCGACGCTGAAATTACCACCCATCAACAATACCATCAAAGACATCCAAAAACAACGTTAAAAAATATTCAATCCACTCTCACCACTCTACCTCCATTAAACATGTCTGACATGATTGATATTGATGCTGAAGAAACCAGTCAATTGGGAAAGACTTTTAAAAGTGATATGACAGATCTGAAAGGAACTCGTGCTCTGGTAAGTGATTTTATTTGATGACATTGGAAAGGATAACTGTTGGTTTTACACAATTTGTAAAATTTAAATTTACACAAATGATGAACAACAATTTGTTTTTTATGATATATTGCTTTATATAATTCTAATTGGTTGAAATTACTAATCACTTGTGATGATGCGAATATTTTATTATATATTTCTATTGGAAACTATCACTTGTGATCATTGATAATTATTTGCGAATGTGTTGCCAATGATTATCTTGTTTCCTTTCTAATAATATTATACTAAACTCTCGCAACACTAATTTTATACTGAACAACAAAAACACTTTTTCTACTAATTTTGTGTTTTAACAAATTGGTTCAACACTATTGTTACATATATTCCAATGTGATACGATACTATACGCATATTTTACAACAAATATTGAACACAATACCAATAACAATTATAATAATAACAATAATAATAATAATAACAACAACAATAACAAATCATTCTAATGATGAACAAATAACAACACAACACAACAACAATAATAACACAGGAAAGAATCATTGAGGAAGGTAAAAGACAAATCCAAACAATATTTACTTACAAGACAGCAATAGGTAAACTTATCCAAGTTAGAGGTGATGCTGATAACAAGAAGGAATTATACAAACAAAACTTGACTATTTTGGGTCCAAACATTCAAATTATGAGAGATTTGTTCCAATTCAATGATGTCATGAGAGAACATGTTGTTGCCTTTGTGAAGGGATTTTGCAAAGATAATGCTTCACCAAGTGCTGATGAAGCAAAGGCTTTGATTGATGTTCTTGATGTTGTTATTATTTTGGATTATTTGAAAACTTGGCAAGCAGGTTTAAATAACGATTTTGCCATGTATCGTAGAGCCATTCAACACGTTAAAAAAGATTACAATATGAGTGAAGATGAAACATTACGTCACTTCCTTGTCAATCCACATAATATTAATAAGGCTTTGAAAACATCTTTCACTGAAGATGCTGATGGATATGAAAAAGTTCTTTCATATTTGGCAAATGAATGTAATAATAGACATGAAAAGGAAGAAAAGAATGAAAAATATGTGAGAGTTGCTGTTTGTTGTGTCTTTTTATTCGATCAACTCATTTCAGATGCTAACAAGTTTGCAAATATGAAGAAGAATATGAAATTCCACAAGATTAACAAATTATTCGAAACTAATCCTAAAGTAGCTCTTCACAACGATCTGCCTCTCAACGTTCCAAATTATTTGAAGAGTTGTCCTAATTTCACGAAGAACGCAGATTGTGATAAGGGAGTCTGTACAATTTTGTAAAAAGTGTACACTAATAAACATTCTAGAAATTATTTATATTTTCCCTCCTTAATTTTTCCATTTACATTTCAAAAAAAATGAATCAAGAAGAAATGGATGAATCAATTAAGGATAATCAACAAGAAAAGCCTATTGATCAATCTACAACAGCAACAGAAGAGGAAGTAGTAGGCTTGTATTCTTCTTCAGAGCATGAATCAACTTTCACCGAACCAATGGAAACATCTACATTAGAGGAGGAACATCTACAATCAGCAATGGTCGATGATGACACACACAAGCCTTCCTCAATTCTTCTGCATAGTGAATTAATTGCAAAGGCAGAAAATATGTTTGGAGAAACAAAGGAATATCTACTTGATATGATTCAAGAACTTCAAGATTTGAGAGTAAGTAATTGTCAATTATTTCAACTTCAATTTGTGATCATCAATAAGAGGGAGCAAGAACTGGCCAAATATCAATCCCTTTGCGCAAAGGATTTAGATTCAGCAAGAACAACATCATTAGCTGAAATGGATATCATCTCCTCAATAGTAAAGAAGAATGAACAAGAAAGAGAGAGGTTAGAAAGACATTACATGGAAAGGATCAAAGAATTGTCCTCAGAAAGAGATTTACTTATGAAAGAATCACTGGATTCTAAACTAAAGTTCGAGGCTCAACAAGTGGTGTTTGAACAAATCAAGGTTTGTTTCAGTGTATTCCATTCATTTATCATTTCTCTCAGAGAAGAAACATTGAGCTTGAATGCAACTGTTCCTTATTAAAGGAACAAAACAAAAAGGTGATTTCAACACTGAGTTCCACTCAACAAGCTAAAGATCAATTTCAGTCATTATATGAAAATATTCAATCAGAGTTGACAACAATCAAATCTCAGATACAATCCTTTGAAACTATTGGTAAGTAATATTCGCAATCACAATGTTAATTGCTGAAAAGCAATGACAAGCTCCATTGAAACTGAAAAAACTAAAAAGAAACTAACAACATTGGATTCCCTTCTCAAGCAAACAGTAGAAGAAAACGTCAAACTACAGAAAGAAAACACTCAATTAAGAAAAACAGAAAAGACCTGTAAATGAAATACTTTAAACGTAAGAGTAACGCAAAGAAGACCAGTAAAAATCAAAATAATATAACACTTCAATCTTACTTGGACATTCTTATACTGAATGGTTTTTTAAATGTTCAACACCAAGTACATCTTGTTTGTGTACCTTAGAATGCTCTCTTAAGAATTCATAAAAAGTGATGAGAAGAAATCAATTTTGAATATGGACACAAAGCTTAATATACAACTTGGATGTCATTGTGGATCCACCGAATCAATTTCCCTTTGGTCAAAATGAACAACAATTCCGAGACTTTCGTGTTTGTTCTTCAAGGTGTGCAAACACGTGTTCATGTGCCACTTTACTTGGGCGCCATCATCTATTTCCAACAGAAAACAAAAAAATACAAACATTCATAAAATAATAATATGGTGCAACACTCTCTATCGGAAAGGGCTCTGGCCAATGAATTTGATATTGATGAGGCTGTTCAAAGAGCACCTGAAGAGATAACAGAAAGTAAGTACATTATCAAAATAGCTTATATTTACATGACAAGTTTTTGAAACTGATATAAACATTGGTTTGACCGAGAAGGAAGCTAGGAGAAGATTGGATATACTCGGTCCAAACGAATTAAAAGAAGAGGAAGAAGAATCTTTATTTTCTAAATTTATTGAAAAATTCAAGGAACCAATGATTTTACTCTTGTTGGGAAGTGCTGCAATTAGTCTTCTTTTAGGACAATATGATGATGCTATTTCTATTTCTTTGGCAGTATTCATTGTATGTACAGTGGCGTTTATCCAAGAATGGAGAAGTGATAAAGCTTTGGATTCATTAAAAGAACTTACAACACACAAAGCTACAGTGATTAGAGATGGTAATCCTCAAGTTATTTCTGCTTCGGATATTGTTCCTGGTGATGTTGTGGTATTTTCATCTGGTGATCGAATTCCTGCAGATGTTAGACTTGTTGAAATTTCGAGATTGGGAGTTGATGAAAGTGTTTTTACAGGAGAAGTTAATCCTGCAAGCAAAACAATTGAAAGAGCTGATCTTCCTTTCCATCAATCTGAAGAATCATCCAGTAATCCATTCCCTAAATCTACACATGTTTCTGATTGTAAAAATATTGCCTTTATGGGTACTTTGGTATCTGTTGGTAATGGTAAAGGTGTAGTTGTTTCAACTGGACAAAAGACTGAAATTGGTAAAATTTCAGATTTATTGAAATCAATTGAGGAAAAGAATACACCTCTTCAAGATGCTATGGATGATTTATCTCAAAAGATTTCCTACTTATCTTTTGGAGTTATTGGAGTTATATTCTTAATTGGTGGTTTAACTGGTAAGCCATGGTTGGAAATGTTCCAAATGGGTATTAGTTTGGCTGTAGCTGCTATTCCAGAAGGTTTACCTATTGTAGTTACTGTCACTCTTGCTATGGGTGTTATTAGAATGTCTAAAAAGAAGGCTATTGTTAGAAAATTACCATCGGTTGAATCTTTGGGTGCTTGTAATGTTGTTTGTGTCGACAAAACTGGTACCTTAACAAAGAATGAAATGACCTTGGTCAAGGCTTTCACTCTTGCTGAACAAGATGCTGTGATTAATGTTACTGGTCTTGGTTATCAAGCATACGAAGGTTCTTTCCATAAGGCCTCTATTTCTTCTCTTAAGAATAGATATGATCATAATTTGGGAGAAGCTATCAAACCAACTGAAGTTTCTCATCTTCATACCTTACTTAAAGTTGGTGTTGTTTGTAATAACGCCTCAGTTGATTTTGCTACTTCCAAGATTGTTGGTCAACCAACTGAAGCTGCTCTCATCACTGCTGCTCAAAAAGGTGGATTGGATGTTGCTGATATTAGATCTAAACATAAGAGAGTTGAAGAAATACCTTTCAGTTCTGAACATAAGTGGATGGCTGTCAAGAGTAAGAATATTGAAACAGGAAAGGAAATGTACTATGTTAAGGGTGCTATTGAAAACATTTTAGGAAATTGTACTCATTATTGTATCGGAACAGAAAATCAAAAGAAACCACTGAACGATCAATTGAGAAGAGAAATTGAAAATACATCTTCACTCTTTGCTGAAAGTGCTCTCAGAGTTATGGCTTTGTGTGTTGGTGACAAACCAAGTTCTGAACTTACATTTGTTGGTGTTGTTGGTATTTATGACCCTCCAAGACCAGGTGTTAAGGAAGCTGTCTCTGCATTATATAAGGGTGGTGTTAAAGTTGTCATGATTACTGGTGACTCTATGAAAACAGCTGTTGCCATTGCTAAGGAGCTTAATATTGTTCCTGAAGATGGTGATGAAAAGGAATATGCTTTGTCTGTTGAAGATTTATCTACTTCAGACTTTGAGGATAAGATTTATAAGGCAAGAGTTTTCTATAGAATGGCTCCTGTTCACAAGATGAAGATTGTCAGCGCTTACCAAAAGGCTGAATACGTTGTTGCCATGACTGGAGATGGTATTAATGATGCTCCAGCTCTCAAAATGGCTAACATTGGTATTGCTATGGGTAAATCTGGTACAGATGTCAGTAAGGAAGCTTCAGAAATGATTTTAGCAGATGATAACTTCCCAACTATTCTTTCTGCAATTGAAGAAGGCAAGGGTATTTTCAGAAATATTAAGAGCTTCTTGAGATATCAACTTACCACCTCAGTTAGTTGCATGTTTATCATTATTTTCTGCACATTTATGGGTTATCCTTTACCATTGAATCCAATGCAAATTTTATTTATTAATATTATCATGGATGGTCCACCAGCTCAATCACTTGGTGTTGAACCAGTTGATGAAGATGTAATGAATCAACCACCTAGAGATACTAAAAAGCCAATTACCTCTGGTAAGATTGTCATGTCTGTTGCCCTTTCTGCCCTTATTATGGTTATTGGTACATTATACGTTTTTATTCGTGAAATGGCACATGATGGAGTTGTCACAGCACACACAACATCAATTACATTTACTACTTTTGTTTTCTTCCAAATTTTCAATGCATTCAATTGTAGATCTGAAAAGAAATCAGTTTTCCAAGTTGGTTGGTTGACAAATATTCCACTTGCCCTTTCTGTTGGAGGCTGTTTGTTAGGTCAATTATCCATGTTATATGTTCCAGTAATGAGAGGTATTTTTGAAACAGAACCTTTGAGTTTATCTGAGTTACTTTATGTTACTCTTGTTTCTTCTAGTGTTTGGTTAATTGAAGAAGTTATCAAATTTTTTGAAAGAAGAGTTGAATCAAAGTATCAATACAATTAAATAAATATGTTGTCAAGTGTCCGTATATTGTGCTGATATTGAGGTTGTAAACCTTACTTGTTATTCCTTCTCTTCAATTTATTTTTAACTTTAAAAAAAATTTCATACATTCATTTCCACCTTCATCACGTTACGTGGATTCTTTTTTGTTGTTGTAATTTGCATTGTGTTCAGTGAATAACAACAATAATTTCTTGTACAATAGTTGTAAAGTGATCTTATATGATCATAACCCGAGCGAGTAGTAATTAACCAATTTTAAAATTTAGCATGTCTTCCGCCACTTCAAACAAAGTTTCATTTGAACACCTTTGGAAGGAATTTGTATATAAATCTGTAAATCTTATTTTGAATAATCGTATTAACTTCCCTGTAGTGAAATACGAGAAGGACAAAGCATCATGGGTACGTTTTCCAAATAATTAATTCTTCTTCTAATGCAACAACAGTTTCAAATTAAACTTCAAGAAACAGAAGGTGTAAATTCGTTATTGGAGAGACTTTTCAAGAGTTTTTCAGGAAATACAAATAATAATAATTCTAATCCAAATCAACCAAAAAACATTTATATTGATATTTATGCGGAAGAGACTGGATCTTCTAAAAAACATTTATTGGAAAGATGGTGTATTGAAGTAACTGATAAATCAAAGGAAAGTCCTCTTTCAGACAAACAACAAGAAGATTTAAATTATCATCTCCGTTCTGCATATAGGAAATCTATTGTTTTAATAAGATCCCTCTTCTCATACATTTTATTATTACCATCATACTCTGTATTTCAAAAATTACAAAAACATAGAACTGGATTGGGTTATACCCTTAATTTTACTATTTCCCCAACTGAAACCTCTCCAAATGAGACAAGTAAGTTTTGAAAGTTTTGAAATTCTTACCTTAACTATTTAGCATATTTGAGAACTGTTGATTTTTCATCAATAGAAGCCACATCCCTTTGTAAAATGAAAATTAGTGTAAAATATAGAAAACAAAAGCTTTCCGAGTTATTGACAACAAATGAACATTCAGTCCTTACAGAAAGTCAAATAGATAAGGATTACTTCTCTGATACTCGTGATCAAGAAGATAAAAGAAAGAGAACTCAATCTATTGCGCATATGCATGTTAATTTCAACGATCAGAAAACTGAACCTTCCTCTTTAAAGGAGAAGGTTCCACCTTTGGAATTTGATAGAAAGAGAACAATGAGTATGCCACCAAAAAAGAATACTCCAATTATTCAAAATCCAGAGGATATTGATGGACCAACTATTAACACTGCAACAAGTAGCTCATTGAGTAAACCAATGAATATTCCACTCACTTTTGAAAGACAAAAACCAAAATTCCTTCCAACTGAAACACCTCCTTTCTCAAATCCAATGTTGGGAGCATCACCTGCTACCGGAACTTCTATTCCTAGACAAAATAGTGGTGCAAATTTGAATCTTGCTTATCAATCTTCAGTTTCTCCACCATTTGGAAGCTTTGGAGAAATTAAATTTTCTCCAATGGGATCATATCATCCACCATCTATGTTATCAGAATCATTGAAACAATCACCTGGATCTTTGAATAACTTTGAAAGAATTGATACTATTCCTTCCCTATTCACTGGAAATGGATTCCAAGATATGCCTCGTTCATTGGATAAGCATAAAGTTATTGATTTTATGCCAAATTTATTGGAAGGACTGGATTCCAGTGATGATGAAGATGAAGACCATCAAGAAAGTATAATTGATGATGATTTCCCTTTCATTGGTTCAGTTGATGATATGACAATGCTTCAAGAAAGTGATGGCTTTGATGATGAAGAAGTTGTTGGTACATTGTTAAACAGCTTAAATAGAGCTCCTAAACGTCTTTCTGAATCTAAACCTATCTCAATAGATGAACTTCATAAGCAGTTCGACGACCTTAGAAAGTATTTAGATGGCATTAATCAAAACTAATGTAAATTAAATTTTATGTACAATTTCAAATTTATCAAATCTAATTAAACCTTTAAGATTGAACTTTCCTTATCTTTAATTTGATCTTCTAATTCAATTGTTCTTTCTTCTTCCAAATCTGACATTTTCTTTTTTCTCTTTAATAAAAGTAATTCAGCTCTCAATTCACGAATTTCATCTTTCAATTTCTTTGCTTCATACTTATTTTCATGATATCTGAAAGTATCCTTTTGTGACATTGCTCCAAGTGATGTAGCTTTTGTAAATGGATTATGATCGAGTGTTCTAGATCTTCCTCTTCCAACAATAACATCAACAAATGGATTAAGTCCACCAACAGTGTTAATACCACTACTACCAGTACCACTACTTGAAATAGATGAATCATCCCTTATAACAGTGTTTGAAGTTGAAATATTATTATTACTTGTCAAATCATGTTGAATATATTTTGGAAAGCCAATGACAAGTTTAATTGAATCTAAATCTAGTTCTTCTTCCAAAGTATTGTATGATTCTTTTTGTAGGAGTAAAAGATCATGTTCCAATCTATTTAGATTTTCAAATTCAACTTTTAATATTTCAACCTTTTGTTCATTCGGAATATTTGGATCGAATCGAATATTTTCTATTTGTCTTCTCTTCTCATAGATGTCACTATATTTACCATCAATATAGTGGCTAGATGAGAGATCAGAGGTTTTCGATGGCAAGATGTGGCTGCTCATTGTTGAGATGTTTTTTTGATATTTGTTCGAAACTATTTTAATCAGAAGGACTAATTTAGACGAAATGAAAAAATTTACCAAAGATGTCCTCAAGTGTGTTGACCTTCAACACATGGTAAATCCATTCCACTTGTCCAAAATACCAACTTGCCAATAATATTCATTATGAAAATTCATCCCTTTCTTTCGTAGGTTTAATTTATTGGCCAATAAATTTAAATAAAATTTTTAAAAATAAAAAAACCTCAAAAATTGATTGGAAAAAATGCGTCACTTAATAAACCTCGCCAACATTAGTAGTAGTACAAGACTTGTCGGTACCGTCGCTTCAAAGAAGATGGAAAAGACTGGTGTCTTGTTGGTCCCTAGATATCACTGGAATACAAAATATGGTGTTATGATCCGTAAACATAAAAAGATATTGTAAGTAGAGAAAATGTTTGAAACGCGGAAATTAATTTTGTTGTTCAACATTTTGTTTTTTATGGAATGTTTTAATGTTGTTGAATTATTTTGTGTGGTATCTTTATATCAATTAATTTAATACGGAATTGTTTGGAATTTGTTTTATTTATTGGAAAATAGCTATCATGATGAAACTAATGAAACCGATGTTGGTGATATTATTCAAATTATGCATAATGGACAAAAGATTAGTAAGAACAAATCATTCGTTTATGACAATATGATTGTTAAGAACGTCGTTGCTAGTGGATTGAAACAACAAGCACTCGATGCTGAACAAGCACAAAAACTGCTGTTACAAATTGAACAACAACTTCTCACTGAAAATCCAGTTAAGGTTAAGATTAACCAAGAAAGATCCTCATCTGAATAATCCCAATAATTTTGTGTGTAGAATAATAATAATGAAATTTTTATATAACTTTCCAAACAATTTTAGTAATTGAATTGGTTCCACAATTCATTTGTAGAATCAAATCATTCCTCTTTCCTTTACGCTTATTTTCAATAAATTCCAATGCTGGTTATTAAAGAGTAAATGTGATTATTGTAAAAAATAACTTACCATTAAAGGAAGTAGTGTTTGCTCCAAAGTGATGGAAAGATTTCAAAGTTGGTTCCAAGGTTGATTCTTCAAGTTCTTTAAAAGATTCATTTGAAATTAATACTAAGTAAATTTCACATACCTTTCTTTACAGTATTCAACTTTTCTTCAGTAATACCCAAACAAAGATGAGCACATTTAGAATTATTCCATGCTGAAGCAATATCAGATTCTGAATTTTCACTGGCAACAACTGTTTCAGATTTAACTGAAGAAAGAGAATTAAACACTAGAATTCAAAACATTCACTTACCTAGAATGTACTTGGAGATTTTAACATCTTTTGGATTATTAGAAACCACAACAACAGTTGTATCCTTATTTCCATTATTTGTAACAATCAAAGCTCTTGACTTCTTTGGAAGAGTATCCTTAACTAAATTGAATGAGGAAATATTCATTCCACAAAGTGAAACCATTTTGATATTCTTCTTACTTTCATCCAAATGAACCATCAAGTCATCAATTACCTTATCCTTATTTGTGGTATCAACAATAATGGTATCAATATCTTGAATGTTAAGTTTGGTAATTTCAAATAATTGATCAATTAAACCTTTGATATTTTCAATGGTTCTTTCCTTTTTCAAAGTCACTTTTCAATTTTAAGAATTAGAAACAAATTTTAAAACTTACAAAAGTCAACCAACATGAAATCATCAGGAATAGCTCCAAAAATCAATCTTCTCAACCATGTAAAAACAATAAGCTTTGTCATTACAACAACTCTCATATAAATAACCAATCCAATCATTGATGTTACAATAATGGCATAATTCAATTCAGTAAAAGTAAAGAATGAACGTAATTTAGCATGAACCATTTCAACACTTTGTTCAGCAGACAACTTGTCAGAATTTACCATATTGATCACCTTTCCAGAGTAGGAACTAGTTAAATTATATGCACTATTACCAAAATGTTGCAAATAATCAATTCTTTCTTTTTCTGTTTTAAAATTAACTGCTAAAAATCCAACAAAACTACTCAAGGCAACAATTGGAATGATCATGTAGAGGAGAATGGAAATGGTTGGGATAAAATAAAAGAATCCTCTCTTTCCGATATTAGATCTTGTTCTCTCGATAAAATCTTCGTCACTGATGTTTTGAGCCATTTTTTTTGTAAGTGATCCAATGATATTAATTTTGATGATTTATTGATGATTGGTGTGGAATAATATATTGGAGTTCAACCTGATCAGAATTTTACGAGGACAATTTGTTAACAGGGTGGACTATTTCTTGGTAAAATATTTGTAATTGTATGGTTGTTTAACTCTGTCAATATCATACCATTGTCCATTGTGTTCCACACTCATGTTATTAAAATTGAATTTGAAAAAGCCAATTTCACATTCTTTTCCAGAAAGGGTTGACCGATTTCTGTATTGTTTTTCAATTTCAATGATCATTTCTTTATCGAATAGTTGTTGCTTCATTCCATTCGTATACCAATACCAATTGATTTTAATCTTCTTTTTCGTTAGAGGTGAGGAAATATCTGTGTATGCATCTTCTAAGAAGTTTCTGAGTTAGTGTTAATATCAAGGGAAATGTATTGGAAACTTACTTGTCAGAGGGATGGAATGATCCGATAGATTGCCTTCCTGGTTCAATTGTTATCCATTCAATACGTGATGGAAGAGATGAGATTTGTTGGTCTGGTGTTGGTTTGATAATTTTCTGGATATCATTCAAAGCAAATTCAAAAAATGGTTTCTTTTTCAATATTTTCTGCTCTTGTAAATAATTAATCTTTTTTTCAATTTTTCTGTTAAAGATATGTAATCCAAAAAATTGTGAAGAGAAATCAACTTGTGCATAATCATGATCTCTTGGTGGATTTGAAATTTCTTTCTCAGTCTTTTTCAAATCACTTCCTGTTCCTCTAATTCTTGTGAAAATTCTAGTGTGGTCATCACAGTATTTATAAGCAGATCTAATTAATAGAATTCTGGCTAAACCACTGACAGATTTAATATTACTTCTGGGGAAAGAAAATACACTACTAACAAGTGAGTGTCTAGCTATTTTACTGGGATTATAGCCTGCGACACCAATACGAAATCCTACATGAAATAGCATTAATTTCTTAATTTCATTACTTACCTCTCAGAGCATACTTGACTAATCTTGTTTCGTAGGACAATGATTGTCTATCTGGATCGACTAGATTACACCGAGTCAATAAGGCCTTTCTAGTTCTTGGCAAGCAATAAACTTCATGACCATCAAAGCCAATAGAACAAGATGCCAAATCAAATCCTATAAGTATCTCAGCAGGGCTTTTGTATAAACGCAAAATGATTTGAATAGAACGAATTGGATGATTCATACGAAAGGTTATTGCATGTTCTGTTCTAATGATCATAATATCTTCAGGATCATCATATTTATGAACTGGACCACTTTCCAAATATTCTCTGGTAGGACGCCATGCTCTATAACTTCCTTTTTCCTCAATGGACACTGATTTGATATCACAATATTTGTTTGGAGAAAGATCTTTCAGGTTTTTCTTGAAGAGGTTATAGAGATATTCAATTTTTTGTTCTGCTTGTTCTGGTGTAAGATCATACAAGAATATATCAATATCAGAATCTTTCCACATAGATGCCCCTGTAAAATATTTGGCTAATCTTTCATCAACCAAAGATGTTTTCTTAGAGTTTTTTTCTCTTTGAGAATAGTAAGGCTGATAACCATCATATTCAATGGTACTAGCATCACTATCTGTGTCAGAAAAATATTCATTATCGCTGTTCATCACCACATCTTCCTCTTTTTCCAAAATTTGATCTCCATCATCAATATCCCAAGAAATGATTTTCTGTTTAGAATCATTCTTTTTAGTTACAGATCCAGCTAGATAATGTGAAACCTTCAAGAGAGTTGCCAACACAGATCCACCTAATAACAGTTAACCACATTGGAATAAATTTAAAAACCTACCTGCAATGAATACATTGGCCCAATCCATGTTCCTAAACATTCCATAAGTAAAAGCATTAAATTGAGTATAAAATTCCTCCTTTGTTTCACATAACTCTGGAACTTTTGGTGGTTGAAGCCGATTTTTTGGTGTACACAAGTCAGATTTCTCCACCTTTTATAGAGTTAACCACAATCGAATATAAAATTAAAAACCTACTGGATTTTCAAAGTCAAAAATTAGACCAATATCTTTTGGAACTTCTTCCTTAATCTTGAAAGAATTTCTTAAATTACCATCCTTTCCAAAAACGTTAAGTAACAATAAATAAGGATCATTTAAAACAGGGTTCTCTCTATCAGTTGCAAACATTCCTCTCAAAATATCCTCCTCTTTCTTAATTTCTAAATTCTCTTTACCATACAACTCCATAGGAAAACGGATTGGATTAAAATATTCTAAAAACGAATCCAATTTGAATAATTTAGCTTCCTTATACAATTGTTTCTTTTTAAAATCTTCAGGTGGAATGTTTGCATTTCCAGTTTCAATATAATGGAAAAATACTGAGAATACAGTTGGATCTCTATCTATAAAGATGACCTTCTCACCAGATAATGCAATCTTTTTTACCATTGGAATAAAGAGAGAATTGCTATGTTTCAAAATCTTTTCAATATTGACTTTGAATAGAACTCCTCTAACATTAAATGTCACATCAAACATTTTCAGAGCCTTTTCCTTCTCAATAATTTCTTCCTTCTCCTTTTGTAATTGTTTTTCAGTTTCAATAAAGTAATTATCTAAATTTTGCTTTTGTTGAATAGTAAGCTTGGAGAATTCTTGTATCCAATCTTCATCTTGCTTTTCTTGATCATCAAACATTTTGTTGTTTGGAGGAATATCAACTACACCACTATCAACCATAGTGGAATCTTCTGTTTTCTCTTCTTGACTATCCTCAGTCTTTTCGCCAATCATGATACGAATAGAATCACTCAATTTTGCTGTACCAAAAAACTCAGATTCATCTAAAAGATGTCTCAGTTTAGTCAAATATTTGTTTCCCTCCCAAATACCAATATGTGTTGTGGAACCTTTAAAAGAATTAGTAATCTCGGAAATTATTAGAAACTTACCAGTTCTCAAATGCTCTAAAATTAACTGAAAGTAATCAGGGTTTCGATCAGCAAACAATATATTACCATTATCATCTGTATCAATTTTAAACTCTGAATTTAACATTACTTTTAACATGTTATCTCTCTTCATAATTGTGGAACGTGTGGTAGTAAAGATCTTCCCTCCAACATTCAATTTAATTAAATTCTCTGCATCTTGTGAGTTTATAATTTCCTCCAATGTTGGATCTGATAAAGTTTCCACTTCTTTATCAGTGGAAGGCTTTAAAAAATCAGCTAAAATCTCCAACTCTTTCTTTCTTGTGAGATGATCTTCCTTCTCCTTGTTGAATTGAACCAATTTAGTCATTCTATAGGTTTCCAACTCTTCATAGGCTAATTGATGGGGACAAAGTTGGTCATTTACTCTAAGTGTTGTTTCTTCATCATCATTAGCTATCATTGGATCTTCATTGGCTCGTTTACGTTTTTCCATTTTTTTTCGAACTAATCCTGGCTTTGTTTTACAATGATTTCAATTAATTGTTTGGCTTGAACTTCAACCATCACATTTAAATAATTGTTCAATCAATACTATTTTGTTACTATTAATTGATTATTAACTTTAATAAATTAAAATGAAAAAAATTGGAATTAGTAATGGTAGGGGTGTTTTATCATCTCTCCGATCACCATCAAAAGGTTAGTAATCTATAATCTTCCATAACTGTCGACTTAATAAAAACCACACACACAAATTTCTTCATTTGAAATCACATCATGATGACAATCTTTTCTCGGAATGAATCTCATCAAGCCTTTCAATCTTTAATTCATCATCAAAAAAATACAAGTCTTTCATACTTTCATACTTCATCATCATACAAAATGAGTAGTTCGGGAGAGAAGCCTGGAGTATCAGCCGATCATCTTGCTGTTAATCCAAGTGAAACATTGTTTGCCAAGTTTGCTCGTGGTGAATTGGCTTGTGCTAAAGTTTATGAGGACGATAAGACTCTTGCTTTCAAGGATATTAATCCACAAGCCCCTGCTCACTATTTGATCATTTCCAAGGTTTTGCAAGTTGGTAATGTTCATTCTACTACTGAAAGTGATGCCCCTGCTTTGGGACACTTGTTGTTTGTTGCTGGTCAAGTTGCCAAGCAAGAAGATTTGTTGGATGGTTATCGTTTGGTTATTAACAGTGGTATTCATGGACAACAATCTATTAACTGTAAGTAGAAGTGATTATTGTTTTGTGGATTGTTCTTACTCTTAATTTTATCAATTTAATGAATTTATATGAAAATCAGATCTCCATATTCACATGATTGGTGGTAGACAACTCAAATGGCCTCCAGGATAATTGTACAATATTGTTTGCTATGTGTAGATATTATAATAAATAATAATTAAATTATTATTTGATTAAATTGTAAAAAAATGTCATCATCAAATGTGGATGATATTGTCATTCAATTTGAAAAATGTTTTGTTTTTAATAGAAAATTTGAAGGAAGAGCCGAAGAGGATGATTATTTGAAAATTATTGGATATTTTCCACCAAACAAACCACTCAACGACAAGATGATTAGTGTTGGTGTTGTGGAAGCATTGACACACTTTTCAAAAACATTTGGATCGGAAACAGTTTGTGATTCGCTATTTACTGATAATTCAAAATTTGTATTTATTGAACCTGAACCAGGTTATTGGATGGCATTATTTGTTAAACACACATATCAGGGCGTTACAGCTTTGAGTACAACTGGTCCAATTCAAGATTTTTCTGTTTATAATGACGGAAATTTACCCTATTTATTATTAAAATCTAAATTACAAGATGCCTATAGAACATTTAGAATATTTCATGGTGAAATGGATAATATTGTGAATACAAATGGTATTGAATCTTTGAGAGCAACTATGGACTTGTTTTTGGAAAATTACTGGAAGAATGCAAGTTTCAATAATTGGAATATTTTTGATATTCTTGGAGGAGTTCATTATCTTCCAATTTTACCAAATGATTTTCTCAGTATTCAATCATTTATCAATCAAGTTGTTTCAAAATTCAGTTCATTTAAATCTAAAGCTAAAATACCAAATTCATCGAGCAGGGATGAAGTAATTAGAGGATGTTTATTTATTTTTGATTCATATTTAGTTTATAATGGAATTTCTCAAGAGGAGAGTAGAATTATTTCACAATATCTTTCCAATATTATTGATGAGAGAGTCAAGTATAATTCTCAGAATGCAAATACTACCTCTGGTATTTTCATAACTGGTCCAGAGGATATTCAATCTTCAGTTACACGATTCAGTGCACCAAAAGTATTTATTAATGGTGATTTAACAGAAGGATCAAATGTTATTATTTACAAGGTAAGAATATTTCATAATACAAGTACAAAATATTAACTTATGATATTTAGATGAATAGACTTCAATTAGTTTTATTCGTGGATCCAACAGTTTGCTCAAATTTAACATTTTACACGAGTTTGAGAGATTATTTGAATGAGGATATTAACAATCTTTACAAGACACTATCTGATTATATTTTCAAAAAGTAAGTTTAAACAATTGTGATAATTTTGTTGATTACATACTTCTTTAAAATAGTGGTGATAGTGTTTTGAAATATATTTTCTTTAATGGTTCGAGTTTGGCTCTTAAAACAAGTCTCAACATGCAAACACCATCATTGGCACTTAAGGAAACTCTTCAAAATTTGTGTACCATACGTTCCCAATTGAAAGTGTAAGTATATTATTGTCTTTAATGTTGAATTGAAACAATTTCCTTAATAGTAATCAGGCAAAAGAAATTATTCTGAAAAACAAGAAAGAAGGTTGGGTTGCCTTAAAGTCTGTTGCTGAAAAAGAACTATTTTTTATTATTGAGCAAAAGAACTATACCTTAACTGATGTACAGCAACAAATTGAGAAAGCGAGTGTACTTTTCAATTCCAGTAAATAATTTATTTTCCTCTCTAATCTTAATTTTCTTCTTTAACAACACTGACAATCATAATCATCATTGTCAAAATTAAAGAAATCCTGAACTAGAGAAACATGTTCGTGGTGATTATCGTGATGATGGAGGGAAGTATGGCAAGATTGAATGAACTCACAGAATGAATGGTTAAGAAGAGGAGATGAAAGTGGAAGATTTGATAATTGTCTTGAAATGTTCGCAATTATTGAAATGGATAGATTATTGTTACTTTCAACCATGGTATTTTCGAAATATTCCTTAATGACTGGTGTAGAGTTAATTTCTATCAGAAATTGTAGAACTTGTGCAATAGGTTGATCTTGTAAATTAATGATAACATTCGATAACTGTAAAAATTGGTTGGCTACCTCAACATCACATTCCATTGATGAAAACTCAACAACAGTTGATATACACTTCACCATAGTTGGATTTTCTAAAATGTCAGTCAGTGTTATTACCTTTTTGACAATCAAGTTTTTGCAAATCTCAATAGCTTCCTTCTTAATGAAATATTCTGTGTTCTGGTTGGCTGTCTCAAATATTTTGATTAAAAATTGAATAGTCATTGGTGATTTCTTTGAATTAACCATAAATAGTATCATTGAATAGAGAGCTTTGAAGGTCATGAGTACAACAAAGTGTTCCTTGTCAACAAGCTTTTGGTCAATTAATTTAAGGAGATCTGATTGCTTTTCACAACAATAATTTGCAATCTTTAAGAATGAAGGATGATTATTGCTCTCAATAAATATAAATCTTAAAAAATCAATTACTGAATCACGTATTTCCCAATTCATATCCAAACATCTATCAGATACAATGGCAAATGTTTGCTCTTCATCCAAACATACAAGTGGAATAATCTTGCTAACTACGGTGAATGTCTTTGGTACCAGTGTGTTGTGAAAAAGAAACCATAAATAATTAGAATGCTCAGTATCAAGTTGAATATTTGAGTGGTAGGACCAACTATACAGTAACTCAAATACTTTAGAGCAAAGGGGATTATTAATGTGATCGTACAATCTAGCAGTTTCAATAATGGTATTCTGTAGAGCCATTTTTTCAAATAGATTTGAGATGGATTTATCATTAATGAATCTAGTGAGACATTTGGTTATGCCTAAAATAAATTTTCCCTTTTGTTTCATGCTCATAAAGGTAAAGTTGGTGAAAGAGTTTGTTTCTGGATTAATTAGAGATTTCCACATATTGATTAGTATTGACATGAGTGGAATAATCTTGTCTGCAAGCTTAATAAATAAAATTTCTTTGGAAAAGTTGGAAATAATTTTGATACCAATTTCTTGGAATCCATTATCATTTGATAAAAGGCATAGTTGAATAATTTCAATTGTATGTCCAATAGAATCACATGGACCTGATAACTTTAGCAATGAATTTGAATTCTCAACACTTGAGTGATTAGAAAGGTAAATTAAAATGTCGTATAGCCTTTCTACAACTCTCAAATCATGTGTCTCAGAAATAGAATCATCCTGAATCAAAATTTCAATCAGTTTTGTTTGTAGCAGAACCTCTTGAAGAATGGTTGTACTCAAAGGCCTCATCATTGTAAAATCAAATGTATTATTATGGTCATTAAAACTCAGAGTTACTAATTGAAGAATAAATTCCAAATATTCTAAAATATTTTCCTTCTTAAAAGGTTCCAATAAATCTAAAATCTTTCTGATTAGAAAATCCCCCTTTCCATTCTGATACCAATACTGCGAAACTAATAGTAAACACTGTATACATGCCTGTCTTAAATATATATTTTCACTCTTAATATTATGTTTAAAAATCGTCTCAAAGCAATCAATCTCATTCGTGAACCAATTCATTGAACTGTTGTGGCAATCAAGGAATGTACAAAGAGAATTGAATATTGAAGTTTTCAAAAAATCAACATCATCTAAATTCATTGTAAAATCCATAGAAGATTCATTAATTCTCAACATTTCAATCATGTAATTCTTAAATAAATTATTTTCAATCTTTTCATTGGTCGGCAATGTCCAATAATGTTCATTGAATAATCCTTCATTTCTATAAAACATTCCCAATGTAATAATCATACATCTTTTCATACATAGAATAGGTGATGACTCTTCACTCTTATTTAAAACAAATAAAGTATTATAAATTGCATATAATCCAGCCTTTGAAATGAATAGATGACTACTATTAGCTTGACAAACTTGATTGAAAATATTCTTATCGAGGAATGATAAAAACTGATCATATCTAGATCTTTCAAAACACTCTTCAACTTGACCATTCCGAAGAAAATGATCCAAATTAACCTTTAGAGTTTCTTCTACTAAATCTAAACAAGTAATTGTTTGCGACATTTTTTCTTTTCAATTAAATTGAAGGTGTAGTAGTAACTTAGCTAATGAACCACTCAATCAGCTGTAATAGTCATGTATAATATATTGTAATACACTTTTTAATTTAATATATTTAATATTAATATTAATAATTACACTGAAAAACACGTAAGCAAAACCTCCTCTTAGAAAGAGCCACACAGCATATTGTGATGAAGTAAAACATTTTTGCAATCAAAAAAATGTTCACGAAAAGCATCGGGGCTAAATCATTGCTGCCCTTCATCGCTTTGATTTTAGGCTTATTTATTTTGATGAATAGCCTTTCTATTATTGATCATGTGAATGCCCAACAATCAAAACCTATTAGAAAAGATGCTGATCAACCAAAGAGTAAATTTTCAGAAACTACAGCCGTCTCGGCAGAAGATGTTAAACATAACACTGATGCAACAAAGATTAGAAACAAAGGAAAATGTAAACTTGATGTTGGTATCACATGGAGATCCAATGTAGATAGTTCCGTCTATCAAACACCGATCATTACAAATTTGATGAATGTAAAATCAAATCAACATGGAGACAAGAAATTTGTTGTTGTACCAACATTTGTTCGCTACATTCAAGTTTTAAATGGTGATAGTGGAGCTGAACACAAGGAAGGTAACAGCCATTGGCCTTATGCTCATAGCCAACTTGCCTCTCACTCTTCAATTGTTCTTCACGATATTGATGGTGATAATATCAAAGATATTGTTGTTACCACAGCAAATGGTGAAATTTTGTTTTTCAATTGGAAAGGTGAATTACTCAGTGATAAGACATTTGCAGTTCCAGGATTAATGGTAGATAAATTCTGGTATAAGGGTTTGGAAAATGAAAAATTTGATGTATCTATTTCTCTCTCACAAAAGGAATCTGAAAAGCATGCTGAGGTTGCTAAGAATAAGCCAAAGGATGCTCCTAAAGAAACACCAAAAGAAAATCCAAGAACTCGTTCCAAGCAAAAGAGAAAATTACTTCAAGTTGCAAAGGCTCCAACTTCAACAGAAGGATCATTGAGCTCAGAAGCAAGAGCATCTCTTTCATTAGTTCAACAAAAAGTTCACACTCCTCAATCTTTGAGACCTTTCATTGGAGAAAAAATTGAATCAGTAGAACACAAACATTTCTCTCATCACACTACTGTTAAAAAAGATGGAAAGGAATTTATTACTGTAGATGCTCACATCTTATCTACACCAGTTATTGCTGATATTGATAATGATGGAAAGGAAGAATTGATCGCATCAGTTTCATATTTCTATGATAGAGAATATTATCATCAAAATATGTTTGAGCTTGACGTTGATATTGATATGGACAAATATGTAGCAGGTGGCATTGCTGTTTATGATTTATCTACAAGAAAAATTAAATGGCATGCTCACCTTGATATGACAACAGATAATGTTAAACAAAAGGCTTATATCTATGGTAATCCAACTGTTGCCGATATTGATGGTGATGGATCATTGGATGTTATTGTTGGTACTGGATTGGGATGGATTTATGCCTATAACAATCAAGGAAAATTATTGGATGGATTCCCAGTTTTGATGGGTGAAATTCAAGGACAAGTTATTGCTGAAGATATCAATCAAGATGGATATATTGAAATTTGTGCTGTTGATTTTAACTCTAACCTTGTTTGTTTCGATGGTAAGGGTAAGGAAATTTGGTCTCAAAGACTTTCAGGATCAGCTGCTCAAGCTCCAACTGTTGGTGATGTTGATGGTGATGGTAAATTGGATTTGGTTGTTGGTACATCAACTGGACATATTTGGGCTGTTTCAGGTGAAACTGGTAAAGTTTTACCACACTTCCCGGTTAAGACTGGCTCATCAATTTACAGTCCTGCACTCCTTATTGATTTGTCAAATGGAACAAGATCTGATAATTCTCTCGATATTGTTTTGCCTTCATTTGATGGATATTTGTATATTGTTAATGGTAAGAGTGGTTGCGTTGATAAGGTTGATATTGGAGAAAAATCATACAGTCAAGTTCTTGCTGATGATTTAACTGGAAATGGAAAACTTGATCTCCTTGTCAGTACTATGAACGGTAATCTTATCTGTTTGTCTACTGAATCACCATACCACCCACTTAAAACAACTGCTTACCAAATGCAATTCGAGAATGGATTCAAGTATAGAAACGGATTGTATGGTATTTATATCAAAAACAGAGAATATAAGGATATTGTTGGATCCAAATTTGCCATTGAATTCGAAATTATTGATAACAGAAAGAATTCCAAAGATCATCTTCCAATTACCTATGATGTTCGTGTTGTTCTTGGTGCCTCTAAAGTTCTTTTCGAACAAAAGTACACTCAACCAGGTTCATACAGAGTTGAATTGACTTCTCCTGAAGACAGATTGCATAACACTATGGTTTCTGTTGAAATGAGAAACGAATTTAGTCAATTATACACTGACCATATCACATTGAGCTTTAACATTTCATTCTTCTCCTTCTTCAAATGGATGGTTGTTTTACCTTTTATTGCAACTGTTTGCGCTATTCTTTATTCATTAAGATCTGATAACTAATATATTTTACATATTTACAGAATTTCAATATTTTACACTAATCCTCCTTTTTGTTTGGTTGTTCTTGATTTTGATTTTGAACAACACGTTTAACAAGGTTAAGAATCCAGCTAGAAAATTGAATTGCTGTAGCGAAGATTTTAAATGGTTTCAGATTTTCACTTTCAACTTCACTTGCTGATGGTGGTTTGCTTACCATTGCTAAAACAATAAACTAAAAAATTATTAAATATTCAATAATTAAATTTCAATAAACTTACAATTGGGAAAATCATGGCCCAAACACCTGAAGATAAAAAGAATGGGAAATAATTTGATATTAAGGCATTTGGCGCACCAAAAGCAAGCATATAACCCCATCTTTCTTCGAAATACTTAATTCTCTTCTTCAATGAATATCCCTTATAAGACCATACATATTCAAATGCATAAAATGCATAAAGCCAACTATATAAAACAAAACCTGCCACAGTTCCAACCATTGGAATTAAGGAGAGTAATGAGGCTTGAGTTACAAATACCAAGAAAATAATAGGCCTATAAATAAGGTCACTAATTTTCTTAATAATATTACTAATAATATTCAAAATTGAGAATTTCATTTAAATTTCAAATAATTACCTTCTAAAATCCAAACTATTCGTATTTGTATTCGAGTTGGCAGCTCTTGTGTGAAGTGAGAGTTTTTTAGCAACATGTTCTGCAATTCCATCATACCACGAAGCAGAAAGAATAAAACTGATAGTATAAAGAGGCCAAATCCAAAATAACTATTAATCCGAAATAAATCATCCACCACAACTACCTAATATTACAACAACATACATTCTTCAAACTAGCAAATAAAACTCCAAGTATAATAGAAATATAATCATAAGAACCTCCCGATACATCCATACTATTATCATTATTTATATTATTCAGAGCACCCGAAGAAGAACTTGCAGAATCAAACAATGGAGCAGCAATATAATCGAAAAATATAATACTTCCAACAAATAAAAATCCATTCAAAATAAAACATTGCACAAATAGTGGTTTCAAAGTCTTTGACTTTGCAAAAATTTCAATCGCAAATGGAAAATTCATTCCATCACGAAGACCCTTCGTCAAGTTGGCAAACATTGCCGAGAGATTTGGCATTTTTTTATTATTATTAAATTAAAAAACGTGAAAAGATTACCGCCAAAATTATAAGAACAACTTACAATGAATCATCACGGTCTCGATTCAATTTTAGAATTCAAAAATGGTACAAATTCTCATACTAACCGAATAGAGAAAATTAAGCAAAAACTCATTTAAATTCAAATGGTGCTGAAATATTTTTACAACATTTCTTACAAACTTGGGTGTTACCAAAATTTTAGTTGTTTCAAAGTAAAAAAAAATGCAACAACAGGATAATAGAATGTCACTTTGTAGAAAATTATTCAATCGTTCCATTGATTTTAGGGATCAGTCAAAGAAAAATCCTCATAATTATTATGCATCTGATGCATTTCATTACAAGGAAATACTTTCCGAATCAATGATTCAATCCCAATTATATTCATATAATTATAATTATCATTTGAAAGATAAGGATAATATTGTATTTGCAGAGAAATTCTTTACAACTAATTATAAGAAAGTTTATAATGATGATGGTAATTTATTTCATAACATTAGTCTTGATACGAAATCAACTGGAAAAAAGAAAAAGAATAGTGAGGAAATATTGGATGATAAGATTTGTGATGTGATGGTTATTTCAAATCCATCAAGTTCTTATTGGAATCAAACCATTTGCCTTACAAAATCAAATTATCTCTATCATTTTAATAGTGAGAATAGTCAGGTAATTAAAGAGGATAATATGCCTCTGTATTTATATTTGGGGTCTCAAAAGTCGGAATATTCCTCAGTTGGTTTAACGAAAATTAGAATTAATCATCATTATGAATCAATTTATTTTGTTTCAAATTTAAAAGATAGAAGTGCTATTGAAATAACTGTGTTGAATTTTAAGAAGAATTCACATTCATTCGGATTAAAAACAAAGTTTCTTCTAAAGAGGAATGTATTCGGCCGACAGTTATCAACAGTTTCTTTACAAAGTTCAATGATGTTTCTTGGATATGAGAATGATGAAATCAAGATTTATAATCTAGATCAATTTATTCAAAATTTTACAACATTATTGGCAAGTGATATTGATCTTGTTCAAGATTATTATGGAATGAAAAAGAGAATACCAATAACTCTTGATATTGATCCGAATTCTCTTCCATTAATGACGATTGACACCTCAATACCAATAAGCTATCCATTATTGGCATTTTCTTCAGCAAAACCAAAGTGTTACAAAAATTATACATCTAGTAATGGAATTATTCAATTGAATACTAATGGATTTTGTAAAGTAATATTGAAATCTGATTTCATTTACTTTGATGTTTCAATACCAGGTGCAATTACAACACTTCAAAAACTCAAAGAAAATAACAAACTAAGATATGAGCTCTGGGCAATCAATCAAAAGAAAACAGAAAACAACAGGCTATGTAAAATTAATGATCCACACGATTTGATCATGTTCAATGAAAAACTAACAGGTGTAGCCGTGAGCCCAGAATTAATGGTAGACAGATATGAAAGAATTATTTTCATTCATCCTAATTTTATCAGAAATATTTCGGTTAATAAGAGATCTAACGAATTGGTATTGAATTATGAAATCAATATTATGAGTTTAGTCTCAAGAAATAGAAATAATCCAAGTACAGAAAGACCTAAGAGAGCTGCTAAAAGAGTTGATTCATATTTCATAACAGAATTATTAGCATTCGATTATGATAGTGAAACAGACTTGATGTGTGGATTACTATCCAATGGAGATATATTTCTGATAAGAAATAGTAGTGGCGATATCATTTCCAAATTTAATATTGCTGACTCTATACCAAAGAAAGTATTTAAGCAAATTTGGAATGAAACGCCATCCTTTGAAATAACTCTATTTCTTTGTATGGACAAAATAATATTAGAATATCAATTAGAAAATTCCAAAGTATTTGCTCTATGTTTTAAATTAGAAATGACCAATAATCGAGAATAAATTATTCCATTTCTTCTAAGAAAATTAAAATTTATGTTTCGTTGAATAATCTTTTGGTGAAATAACCAAACCTCTTCCTTTTTTAGCTCCTCTATACACAGTTTCAATAATATCAATCATTTCTTGTTTGTCAGTTATTGCCCAATTAATTTTGTTATTATCACCAGTTCCTAAATCTATCATAATATGCTTATTTCTAAAGAAAAACATCACCGAACAGGCATCATATAATTCATACATTTTGTTAAAATCTGGTACTTTAGTAATATCCACTAAATAAATAATACACATATTCTTTACTTTTTCCGCAATTTTACTCAAAGTTTCATCCATTTCCATACAAGTTGCATCCCAGTCATGTCCAAACCGTATCACAATAATTCTATCCTCCTCTGTTACTATTGCCTGATCAACAGCCCATCCAGAATTCAAGTGTGGAAGTAAATAAGCCATTATAAAGATGATGAATTGTATACTTTAAAAAATCCGATCAAAAATTTGTATTTGTGTTTATGATGAAATATTAAAGTCTGTCACACAGCCTTTGTTTTCTGATTGAATTTTTTTTTTAAAATAACGAAATTTAAAATCTTCAAGCCTTTTCAGTACATGTTCAAAATCATCCGTTTCTGGATTTTGTAATCCACACCAAACAATAGATTCCAGAAATAGTTGGTTTATAGTTAATAAACATTAAACTTTCCATAGTTAAATAAAGGTTCATTAAATATATTTAATTGTTTTTATTTTACAATTATAATTTAAAAAATAAATTTAATATCATTTAAAGGTAATCTGTCATTTCCAATTAATTTAATAAAGAATATGAAATGTTCATGAATTGGATTATAATCATCTCTATAAGTATGAATAATAAAATGATTTCTTTGAGATGAAATTCCAACTTGTTCAACCAAATCATTAAAGTTAAATTCACCAGTCAAATCAGTTCCATCCAACTTTCTAATAAATCCAAATCCTTTAGTTTTTGGATTAAATTCCTTTGTAATATAAATGTCATAATCACCTGAATGAAAATTTTCAAGAAATTGATCTTCAATTACTGAACTTCCATGAACCAAAAAATCACTTGTTTGAAATGATTGACAGAAATATCCATTTGATATTTTAATAATATCTGAAAACCTCGAATGA